AAAAATAATTTATATCGATATTCTGGTTCACTGATCATATAAAATCTATGCAGTTGTTACCAATAAATGGAAATATATATGTAAAATAAAATAAAAAAATTGTAAGTCCACTGATTAAAAGTAAAAGTCGTGATTGTGCGTTGGTAAAAGAAACAGAATCGAATCAGTTAGAAAATCTGATAAATTTTATTGACTAGAAACATTACTAAACTTCAGTAAAAATGCTTAAATTTTTATTTGCTTTTAGCAAATGAAAATTTATGTATCCGAATGAAAAAAATAGTCTAAATAAGTATGATAACTTACTTCATTATGTCCATTCGGTATATTATGCTTGGCTCTTGAATTTTTGGGATCTATATCTAGCAACGTATAAGTCCACTTTTCCATGTCATCTGTAAATGTTACGCAATATCAGACTCCTGATTCGTAGTTATGTGGTTAGAGCTATACCTACTCTCACTTCAGAATTGAAGATCATAAGTCTGATTTGTATGTTTTTTTATGTAATGTACTATCGCTATAAAACTTTAGCATTGTTACATACAACCAATATTATCCGATTTACAAAAAAATATCATCATACGAGTACATACATACACTCACGCATTTTGCCCGAAAGAGGTAGACAGAAGTGTAGATTGTAATCTTAGTCTCACTTACGGATTAGGGGCATGCCTATAGACGTCAACCGGGCATATTTATATCTAAATAAAGATACTTACATGTTTCTGAATACATGATATAGATAAATTATTCCAGGACACAGAATAAACTGTTGTGCTCAGTCAACGATATTTATCCTGCTTGGAAATCGAACCCACGACCTCTAGTTCAGCAGTCAGAATCGCTAACCACTAGACCAACAAGTCCGTCATTTACCATTCATATAATATTAAAAGTCCGAAACGTGCAACAAAGCAGTGTCACGAGACAAAGTAGTGGTACGAAACTCACTACTACGCGAATATAATATATTCCAAAATGTCAACGTCGGTGAAGTTGTAGTCGTGTTTTTCTTTGTTATATTTGTGGAAGGCTTCAATCATCCATACGTGTACGTTGACATAATCTGAGCATTTGTGTAACATACGCCCTATTTCGTAACAGTCGCCAGCAGTCATTGGCATTCTGGAAATAAACAAATAATAACTAAAAATAATTAGAAAGCAGGATCTGAACATCATCTAGTGAGGACAAGTCGAACTACCTACTGATTCTATATACGGACAATAACAAATTGTTGCTGAAAGTTGTACTTGAAGCGTAGTCTGGTATCAAACTGTGATATCGGAGGATCTTTGTATTAGAGCAAAAGAGATCAGTTGCTTTTTAAGTGTAGCCAGCGTTGGCTTGTTCAATCAATTATACATGTGTAAGTATTATTAAGGAGAAATCAGAATCGCTTTACAATCACACCTACCTTATCGTAAAGCTGTAAATGTTACATATAAACAACGCCGTTCAGTTTTCCAGCTGCTAGCTCCTTTACATCTAATTTATAAGTTTGTTGTAATCTGGCAATCGCGTCTGCAGCTCCTTTCAGATTTCTCAGTAGAGAACACAAGACTTTTATCTTTCAATGTAAAATTCACGATATATTCTGCAAACTGAACCGAATCTTATATTTCCAAAATTGAAACACGGTTTTGGTGCTATTTTATAACATAAACATAAGGTATTAAAAAAACAATATTACCTATGCTGATTAATTGAATATTGATTTATTCGATACCATTAAGATCAATCGATATCAATCAATAATTCTTTATGACAAAAATGTTCAGTTCTGATGTCAGCATATTCAATTTGGTAAGCACAAATGTCATGTCTAAGCTCCATCCGTTGTGAAAGCTAATACAGTAGGTATGTATTACAATATGTGCTCTCAACACAACGGCAGCCCATTAAATTTAACCTATTGTGTCTATACACATTAGGTTAAATTTAATGGTCCAATGGTCCAATGGCAGAACATAGGCCTATGCCTATGTTCAGCATTGGACTATTAAAGGCTGTTGATGTGATGATGTGATGTGTATAAGCTATTGTAACAAAATATTAAGATCTGCTTGACTACTAGTGTACTGTATACGTGGTTGAACCGTTTGATATCAGATTTGTTTGAAAAACAAAAATTAAAGATAGTTTTTAATTCAGCCTTACTTTTTTAAGCTAGCAACTCTCCTCTCTTCATTATAGAAGTAAAAATCCAAGTTTTCTATTAGTCTTTTATGAGTTTTTAGTAAAGGTTCAATTTCAGCAATTGCAGAGAAGATTTCTGCATGTACTTTAATGTAAAAAATACATTGTAATAAAACATACGTGATATTTATAACAGTTAACAGTTTAAAACTGTTAACTGTTATAAATATCACGTATGTTTTACACTTTTAGCACTTAAAACTACTTTTACGAAATAAGTTTACCTACGTAAAAGCCTTGACACATTTTTATTCCGTTGTATTAACATCATCGAAATTCTGTTCTGGGTTATGTTTAAAAAAGGTTTTGTTTGCATGTTATAACCAAAATTAATGTTGTATTCAACGGTTTTAAAATTTTGTCATTAAATATGTATAATTAGAAATTTCTTAAAACAATCACAATTGAATTTTTATGTCTTGCAATTAATATAGGTTTTTATGGACTGAGTTAATGCTATTGATATAATTTTTAAGTACAGGGTATAAAACTCACGAGAAAATTATGTATGTTATGTTAATAAAACACAAATGTTCCTTCTAGAAAGATCCAAAATAAACCGAATGAATAAAACATCAGTGGTCATAGAGTCCTGTAAAGTAGCTACCTAAGAACCTTCCTACTACCTACGCTCATTACGGGTTTTTACATTACACGTATCGTACACGCAACCAACGCTCCTGTTCTTCTAGGTGTAGTCATTAGTTAGACACTCTAGTTTAAGGATGGGCTATCGCGTATTGAAGGGTAGAGAATTCAACAGTCGTACCGTATCATAACGAACGTACGTATTATTAATCGTGTATTAAAATATGAGGGATTTTACCGATACTTATGAAAATAGATTAATATTTTCAGTTATTTCAAAGAATTCTGTCTTATATCACTGTATAATTGCCAGAACTGAAAGTATTTTTAACCGACTTTCAAATCACAAAAGGGGAGGGCTTGGCACCGACTTCAAACAGACTTGAAGGGACTATTGCTATTATAATGTTATCTGTTATAATGAGTGTACGTATTATAGTTTTTTTACTTAGATTTGTAATTATTTTTTAATTTTTAGTGCTCTTTGAGAGCATTGTTTGAAGTCTGTGCAACTTTTTTTTAAAAGGATTTATTGATTCTAAGGATAATGTCCCACATATTTAGACCTGCCTTAGTTAAAATCTTAAACACAACCTGTACAATTATATTTTCACATTTACATTTTTATGTGTATTAATAAATAGTCTTTGTAATTAGTATTTATAACTAGTTTTAGATTTTGATGTCTCTCCGATCTGTTCAATACAGATGTGGAATATCAACATTATGGAAATCTTGCTGCTATGATTCCTGATAGATATTTATTAAAGATGTTTATTTCCTTTTATCATTGCTGGGAATTATAACATACCTTCAAACGTCGACTTCACTAAAAATTCAAGGTTATCGAATTCGAAATCATTTTTCCAAATACAAATTGTACTTAGCTGAAGATTCGAATTCAAAATGGGTTGTGTTTCGAATAAATTGCGAACAACGTTCTTACTTCTACTGTTTAGTTTTTGTATGCCGATCAATGCAGATTTTTTTACGGCAGTGACAGAGCTTGAATATTTGCTAGTGCCTCACATGAAAATAATGAAAAATCTAGAGATTTATGTAATTATGCAAGAGATAAAGCTTTTATCACTAAACCGGTAAGACTTTATTTTGAATGAGAACTACTTACTAAAGTTTTATCAATTTATAAAACTGAATCTTTTCTATTCTTGATTATATGTTTTAGATATTTGAATCTTTATATAAGACATCATAAAAACAACACAGAAAATGGCTACATGCATAACCCATTTAATATATTTATACTAATAAAAAGATTATTAGTAGACTTAGACTACTTACCGACAATAGTTAATCAGGGAGCAGGTAAGTTATTCTTAAATCTTCTTTTCTTTATCTGAAGGGGATACTTTTCTATAACTTTTTGTTGTTTGAGCAGATGGTAAACCGAACACAAGTGCGTTGTCGACCTATGGGTCTCCCGTAACTTTACTATTTTCTCTCTCTCTAACGGTTATCTGTTAGACCATGGTATCTCTCCTGGTGGAGCCGACGCAACCCATGTATACCGGCCGGTAGGGCTCTGCCACGGTTAAAAATAAACGTAATTTTATTCTGTTACTTAATCCAGGTTTTTCAATGCACTCATGCGTACGAGTTTTATATCTTTATATACTTTTCATCATTTAAATTAAAAGAAATAAATTTAGAAATATTTTCAGAATACATGCCATTTCTGTTTATGAGACAGTCGGATATGTTGTATCCTTCACAAAAGGATCTTATAGGAGCTGCCCACGGAATGGCTAGGTTACAAAAAGTATACAAGTTAAATGTAAAGGATCTTGCTGACGGAAACCTCAATAATCTTGCCTATACGTAAGACACTTTGTATTTATTTTACTACAATGAGGTTACTATACTACAAATAAAAAGAGAGGCACCGTTCCTCCATAGCGATGGAGGAACGGTGCCTCTCATTTTATTTGATCGTTCTTCCTTTTCGTTTCTCTAAGATTGCATCTAAGAAAAAACCGTTTCCAATTTGTGGATGTCCTCACATTAAGTTTGGCTTGTAACACATTAAGTGTAGCTTATGCGGAAGGAACTAGAACTCATTGATCTTCTTAATCGCTGCATGCCTATTAAAACTATTACTGACTCTTTATACTGGTAACCCGCTCTCTAAAATATTTATAATTTGTTATATCATATCACATTATAACAATAGTATTTTCAGAACGCCAATGACTGCAGGAGACTGCTACGTTCTGAGTCAATCATTGGCGATCAAAAAGAAAGATTTCAAAGTCGGACGTGCATGGATGATGGAGGCCCAGCAAAAATATAATAAGGAAAATGTTTCATATCCATTTACTGAAGTCGATATACATAAATATCTAAGCAAAGTGAATAATGTACCAGGTAAAGTGTATTAGGTATATCTAGAATTATTATCTTCGTACAAACTAAATGTGAACAGATTTTGTACATTAATGCAACCGTAAGTCAAGTTGTAGTTTTAGTTTTTGGATTCTTGTAGAACTTCATTCTGCGTCATAACTTTATTCGTGATTGTGAAAGAGTAAAACGCTACCACACTATCGCGTTTTGCCCACCTTGCTCTCTATAGTCACATGTACGGAAATAAAAACAGAAATCCAAAAATATGGTTGAATGGAAGATAATACCTAAGGCATTAAGTACGCTAATGTACTACTTATGCAAACAGTTTTAAAATAAATAAATAAACCCATAATATAAAGTAGAGAAATCTAAACAAAAATGTATCGTCCAGCAGCAACTTAATACCTCTTTTTTTTACACGGTGAATGCTTATAGTACCGTACCCCTACCCACCTACCCACTAAGCAATTACAGGCTTATTTGCGCTAAGAATTTTGATTTGTAAGAGCTTTTATTTTATTTCATTATGCTTCTTCTCAAAGCCCACTGATCTTTTTTATACAATTCGTTTCTAACATTCTAGTCTAGTCTAAGTTATTTGAGGCAACCAATTTTAAAATTCAGAATGCACTAAGAAATCAAATTTTTGCAAATATATATATATTTTTAGGAAATTTAACCACAGTACTGTCTTCAGCTAGACCAAATATCTCAGAAGCTGAATTGATAAAGACTTATGATGAAAAACTCGAATTCGAGAAGGAGTCAAACAAGGTATGTATGTATGTACACTAAAACACCAGTATCTAAAAAGTTGTTACGATTAGAAATAATATATTGATCATCAATATTTACATTGCCTGTGCCTATACATATTATCGTATGTATATATTTTATAATTCGTATATTGAAAATAGTTTTTCTAGCTTTTGTCCTAGTAGTATCCCATTTGTAAAAGAATTTTTAAAATCTGTTTAGTGGTTTAAGCATGAAAGCGTAACAAACAAGAAACCTCACACATTTATGACATAAGTATGGAAGTATGGATTCGGTTTATTATTATAGGTTTTGACTTGTTTTTTTTGAACATCAAGGACGAAATATAAGTTATTTAACGTATTTACATACATTTACATCTGTATGCCGATGACCTGCAAATCTATTCGCAAAGTAAGGTTGAAGATTTCTCAATAGCAATAGATATGGTAAATAGAGACCTAGAAGCAATTAAAACATGGTCTGACAAGTTTGGCCTATTTGTAAACCCTACAAAATGCCAAGCTATTATAATTGAAAGTCACCGATTAATGAGCAGAATAGACATTAAGACGCTTCCAGCTGTTATTTTTAACGGTTCTATTATACCTGTTTGTGAATCTGTTAAAGATCTTGGCATGCACCTCGACTTCTCACTGAATAGGCGTGATCAGGTTGTACGTCAGTACCAGAGGGCTACTAAAACTCTTCGAGCACTATATCACCTAAAAAAAAATCTGGCTGCTAAAACCAAAACCATGCTTATACAAACTCTCATTTTCTAAATAATCGATTATGGTGACGTGTGCTGTTACGATCTGGATGCAGATCTTCTCGATAAGTTGGACCGTCTTCTTAATAACTGCATTCCATACATCTTTAACCGCCGTAAATATGATCATGTGTCCTCTTTCCGTTTGCAGCTTAACTGGTTCCCCATTCGTCTACGTTGTAAATTACGACTGTCTCATTCACCATTCTATATAATCTATCTTCGCCAACGTCTCTATCTTCCTACTTTCAACTCATATGCAGCAATCGCGATAGAAACCTTCGGTCCTCCAATAAAATTTTTCTTCCCTCCCATACATCTGAGTTGGCCCATCCTTTCTCGTTCAGTCCGTTTTCAGGATGATCCATCCTGATTCCGTCGAAATCAGGATGGCAACCAACACTTTTCCTTTTAAAGTAAAAGTAAAACAGTATCTGGTGAAACAACTGGCAGAATCAACTTGCTCGTGTTTTTTTTAATATCATGTGTCATCAATAAATGTGTGTACCTATGTGTAATATATATTGGTGTAGTATATGATAGGTTTATATATGTATGTGTAAATATGTGATTTTGTATTCATGCAACAGATGAGCCACATTATTCATAAACCCCAATCAATTTGCTTATTTTAATAATTTCATTATTTGGACTACTCATTTAGGGCATTTTTAATTGGTCGGATATGAGTATGTAATGATCACTTGTTCGAAATAATAAAATAAATACAAGTATTTTTGAATCATCGCTCTGCTCCCTTAAAAGAACCACATAATTTTGTTTAGTTCTTTTCCTATTACGAACCAATGTGCCAGCCATGCCTGAAGTATAAACTATTTTTCTAAAAGTTACATATTTTGGTTTTTGTATACACAGGAAACGAGCACTGACATAAGAAAAAAAAATTCTGAGAATTACGAGGCGCTGTGTCGTGGTGACTTAGTCGTACCACCGATGGTATCCAAGAGGTATAGCATTAATGCAAACTATTGGGAAAAGGAAGAAAGCAAGCAAGTTCGTCTTACGGCTTCAAATTTACTTGTTTATCACATTAAGACTAAAATACGTAACTGGCTATTCAAACGACACTGCGACCAAAAGTAGGGCTTACTTGCTTTACAGGCAAAATATCGGTCACTCTACGTATGTGTATTGGTGTCTATATGATGTGTATGTTTGTTTATATACAGAGTTACTGGGTAAGTCGACCTAGATACTTTAAGTTGTTGTAGGTATGTATGTATCTATGTAACGGAATCTTTGAACGTGATTTTCACCCACTTTGAAATTGGGCCGATTATCCTTATCAGGATCTTCAGGATTAACAGCTTTCTCCATACCTAAAAATACGGTAGTATCTTTTGCTACGTTCTAAGAGGCATGTGCTAATAATTTTCTACGAGTTCAAAAAGAAAAATCATTTTATTATAAATAAGCGTGGGATGCTTTTTAAGATAATTTATAATCTAATAAATTTTCTTTTAACAATATCTATCAGTAAAACTATTCTGACAGAAAATTTATTTTCTATTTTTTAGTTCGGCTAGTTACAAAAGCGAGTTTCTTAGTTTTTTTAAACTATGTTTTATTTTTGTTTTTTAAAACTATATCTTTTAACAAATCTGCAGTTTAACTGCCATAGATTTTTTTATAATATTTGTGAGAAAAAAAATTACAAATATATTTCTTTTAGCTATTATTAACCATTTATTTCGGCCCTGTTTGTTTAGTTAACTACAATTTTAGTAATTGAAATTATAAAACAATTTATCAACTACACAAAAACAATATAAAATAAAGGAAATGAGTCCTAAAAAAATTGTGTCAGGAAAATTTCGATCTCTCGAATCTTGAAAATGGTTAGGTTAAGGATATGGTATTTCATAGTGAAATCTATTAAAAATTATGACAATTATAACCCCTTACAGTATGTAGGTCGATTTACCCAGTAACCCTGTATGCATTATATAAGTATGTATTTCAGTGTTTGGTTAGGTTTGTTGATTTACTCCATATTTAAGTGCTCTAAGTAATAAACAAGCATACGAGGCTTCAGCTGACCGTTTACTTCATGATTTAGTAGTTTGAGTCGTCCTATTTTAGGAGACAGAGCTAAATTATCGTATAAATCTTTACTTATTTTTTTTGTATCAATGTTGTCGTATAAATGTAAATATAACAATGTTTTTGGCAAATGTAGTTGTAGAATATTGATTTTCATACATGTACTTTTTTCAAATTATTATTTTTACAGATTAACTTGTCGTTATTTAACTGAAAATAATGCATTTCTGAAAATAGCACCCTTTAAGATAGAAATGGTGTACGTCAATCCAGACTTGATTTTATTTCACGATGTGTTAAGTGACAGCGAAATTGAGACTATCATGGAAATATGTAAACCTAAGGTGGGATTTGAATAAAATACTGTTTTGATAAATACCTGTCACTAGCATGAATGAAGATATTTTAAAGCCGATCTTTAAAAATACAGCATCTTTGTGTAAACCTCAATGCATGTGGCTATATATTTATAGTTATCTTAATTTTGTTTCTATTTTACAATGATTTTTGCACTTTGTATTTTGGGCTTTATAACATTTATTACACTGCCGTGTTCACTTATATCTATGTGTATTAAAATGTTAAGTTGGTTTGACTACGCTTCAAAACTTATTGTGGCATAGAAACAGCGAAGTGTGGCAGCTAGTGACTTATCAAAATAATTAGGCCAGGACTTTTTTAAAATTCTTAAAATTTTAAATACTTATTCTATTTCTCTTTTGCATGGATAAAGCTTAAACGTGCTAAAATTAATGACCCTAAAACTGGTCGCCTACAAGCGGTTAGTACCCGCATCAGTAAAGTAGCTTGGTTATTGGACACCGATTCAGATGTAAGTGCTCGAATTGAACGACGGATAGCTCATATGACTGGTTTGATAATGGGAGAGATGGGAGAGTTTCAAGTGGTCAACTACGGGATCGGTGGTTATTATAAGTCGCACTTTGATTTTTCTACGGTAAGAAACTTTAAGAATGCTATTACTACACGCTTCCACGTTTAATCTTAATAGTGTTCGCTTTATTCTAATTGATTTGACAACTCTTCATCCTTTTTTTTTCAAATTAAGAATTCATCACCCAGTACATTCATCATATCCGTAAAGTTTTGTATATTATTTGTGTTTATTTGTATGTATGTAACTTAGCAAGTATATATGCATATGTGTATTTCGGTATGTTTGCATATACATATATCTGTCCCACTGTTTCTGTCCATCTCCTCCATTATTACTATTATATTTTTAAAGCAAATTAAACTTAATTTCTAGTGCACCTATTCATAAATTTCGCCACGACCCAAAATAGACTGGGAGAAAATGCATGAGGCATTAAGTCCGCCATTGTACAATTAATTTGTAATTTGTGCGTAAAAAATAAAATAAATAAAGCGTTTCAACGGCAATAAAAAAAAAGAAAACCAAATATCAAACGCAACAGCGAAAGTTACTGAACTGTTTTATTTTAACTTATTTATAGAATTTAGATTATACGTACAATAGCCCAATATTTAGTTCTGAGTCTTAGTAGAATTAAATTGCATTTATAAAATTTAGATTTTTTAATATACAGAATGAAGAAAAGTTCGCACCTAGTCATGGAAAGAAATTGGCAACCATTTTATTTTATGTAAGTATAATACAAATTTCTACCAACAAGCCATTTATAAAGACAGGACATGAATAGTTTTATCATCAATAGATTAACAATTCTTTCTACCTGTGTTGTTAAACCTACATTTTAAAAGGTTTTTGCCCTTTAAAAGTTAACTCATCAGTCAAATACATCTCTAGAGAAAAGAGCGGGGCTTAAATATATCGAACTTTTGAGACAAGTTCGCCAGTAATATCATTATAATTTTTTTGCAAACGATGTCTTAGTTTTGAACAGTGTAAAATGATTTATTTTTACGACTGGTAAGAACTAAACCGTCTGTGTGGTAACGGATTAAGAATACGGACTGTCACCATCTCTATTCATCCCATTAGTGTCGTTAAAGCCGACTAAGTGAGCAAATCCTGCAGGACAACAGCACTGCAAAGAGAAGAAAAACTTGAAATAAACCCTACACCAACCCGTCTGGCCAGCTTGGTATAGTATGCTAAAACCTCCCTTTCATGGAAAGGCCTATGTCTAGCAGTGGAGTGTTGATGATGATGATGATGATGATGAGGTATATCTATATTATAAGTATTTTAGTGTATAAAGTCAGTAATGATAAACAACCAATACACATAAACACCACCGCTTAATTGAAACATAAAATGAAACATGACAGTTGGATATTTTTTTATAGATGACAGATGTTGCTCAAGGAGGTGCTACAGTCTTTCCTGAGCTAGGTGTCAGGTTGCTTCCAGTGAAGGGCACAGCCGCTTTCTGGTTCAACTTACATCCTTCACTAGAGGGTGATTACGCTATGCTACATGCAGCTTGTCCCGTACTACAGGGTGACAAATGGGGTATGTCTTAGCATGTAGTTACTAAGGTTAATAATGTTTCTTCACAAAGGTTACAAAACAGTTAGTCTGTACTTAAGAATGATTTTAGTAATCCTAACTAACTGTTTGGATAATTCCACAAATTTATCTTTTTATCTCTGCACCTACCGCAACATTACCTGGTTAACTGGGAGAGAATGCCTCATAGCATTGAGTCCGCCTATGTACAACATGTGTAAGAGAATATAGTGAGTAATAAGATATTGCAACCATTAAAGTACGAAGTCCTACAAATACCTATAAGTATTATCGTACTCATATTTTCCAAGATTAGAGGACACGTAAGTTCCGGCAACACCTAGTTCCTGTTACAGATACGCGACCCTCACCTGGTCGATCTATTGCTTACAAAACCAACCTAATCCATGCTTCTTACCAACATTTCTTTTCATTATACTGCCAAAGTCTTGCTTGATAATAGGCCTGCTCCCTATTACGAGTACATATAGAAGTGCTAAAAATAGTAAATAAAATTTCGGGTAAATAGATGTGAGAGTATGTAATGATGAAGTATTTTTTTTTTTTTAAAGGGCTTTGTCGCTGTGCGACCACATCGCCCTAATGAAGTAATTGATGATGATGATGTATGTAATGCATACTTTCCAATTTTTTTTTGTAGATTCAATATTTTTTGTTATCAACATAATTACCCGATTAATAATACTAAGAGGGTGCTTGTCCACCATAAAAACAAGGCGGCAAACTGTATTATTAGTAACATTATTGCTTATTTTTACAGTATGCAGTAAATTTGTCAATAAAGAAGATCAGATGTTCACCAGGCCGTGCAACCTCGAATACCAAGAAGAAGGTTTCATTAACAAAATTGCTCCTCCTGTGCCCAAGGCCATCAGTTAGGAATTGTTTTTAATCATTAATTTTGTAAAATGAAATCTTTCTATACCATTACGTGAGGCATTTTTTTGTATTCCGTACCTTCTGTCCTCTATTTCTTTTTACATTTATGGGTAATTGTGGAATATACTGCATAATACATTTAAAATATTCACTAACCAAAGAACATTTAAACAAAAGTAAAAAATGTCTTGTTCAAGTCGAAAACGCTAGCAATCAAAATCGAAAATGTCCACAATGGCAAGGAAAGTATGCGAATATAAAAGCATGTATTCTGTGGCATTTCTATATTTGAGACTAAAATAAAATGAAGTGGCTATTTATTGAATAAATAATGTAGTGCCGTGTGTGAGATGTGTGAAGCTATAAGTATTATTATCTGTACATAGTATTAAATCAAGTCTCTTCCCGTTCTTGTAAATTTTTAACCGACTTCAAAAAGGAGGAGGTTCTCAATTCAGATTTTTATATATATATTTTTTATGTATGTTCGGGCATCACTCCGTCATATATAGACGGATTTTCAAAATTGTTTTTTGTTGGAAAGGATCAATTTTAAATTTCATATAGATCTGTGACTTTCGGAGACAGAGAACGGAACTTTTCAAAAAATGACAGCAAATCAACCGCTATTGCTGCTAGGTTTTTAGTGCTCTTTGTTACTATTGTCTGAAGTCGTTTCAACTTTTTATAGAAGGATTTATAATCAATAGAGAGAGAGTGATTCATAATACAATTATTACATTGCACCCGTGCTAAACCGGGGTGGGTCGCTAGTAAACTATATAATTAAATTCATTCAAGCTCATACATTAATCTAATTTATTTGTTCAGTAGTTTAAAACTGTATTTATTTTTAATTAATTCATAAAATTCATGATTGTTCGCTACATTAAATAAAATATATGTTTGATAGGCACTCGCAATTATTTTATTTTATTATTATTAGCACAGCGTGAGGTGCTTAATTTTTACAATAAAATGATTTTTCTGTTTAAGTTTATTTTTTAAATGTATTAGTTTTTTTAAACTATAATTTATTACATAGTCGTATCGATAAAAAATACTTTAATCTTTTGAACAACATTATAGGTTTTACAGATCCACACCAATCTCCGTTATCAAAATTATTTATTAAAAGATGTTCCATTTTTAGGGGTGCACAGTACTAGGAACATATATAGTTTCGCCATGTCCGTCTGTCTGTCCGTCATATACAGTTCCGCCATCTCTGTCTCTCTGTCCGTCCGTCCGTCCTTGACCTAGCTTAGAGCCGATCTTAGAGGTCTAGTCAGCTAAGATCAGATCAAATATTATTTATATGTTAAGTGTACGTTAGTAAGGGTAAGCTTTTAGTACCTATTGACTAAGCTTTTATTAAATGTTATTACAGAGATGTGATGTGTGTGCAAAATAAAATGGTTTACAGTTCGAATAAACTGCGAACAACTTATTTATTTCTACTGTTTAGCTTTTCTATGCAGATATATGCAGATTATTTTACGGCAGTGACAGAGCTTGAATATTTGTTACTGCTTCTAATGAGAATAGTTAAAAATTTAAAGATTTATGTAATCATGCAAAAGAAAAAACTTTTATTACTTAATCGGTAAGACTCTTTTTGTAATGAGAACCACTTAGCTGTAACTTGTGCTAGATACTAGATATTTCGTTAACGAACGAATTCTATCAAGTTTAATAGGCGCGCTAAGAGTAGTTCCATATAATTTGTAACTGTGATGTACACAAGATATTTACAAACAACAATATACAATCATTTTTCCTCTAAAAATATATAAAATTGAAGTGTTTGTTTGTAATATCAAAAAAATAGGCTTGTTTTATGCTCACACGGTTATTTATACGACCGCTATGCCTAAAAACTAGTTTAAATATTTTTTGTCTGTCTGTCTATATGTTCCGGTTACTTCCAGTAAAAGGCACAGCCGCTTTCTGGATGAACTTACATCCTTCACTGGAGGGTGATTATGCTATGCTACATGCAGCCTGTCCTGTACTGCAAGGTGACAAATGGGGAATGTCTGTCGTCTAAGCATATAGTCACTCATAATACTTGCTTCTAATAGTTGCAAAACTCTTACTCTATAGCTCTGATTTTAGTAACTAGACCTATTGTTTAATTTAGATAGATTTGCCAACCTTTTATATTTTTTAACAGTAATATTTATAAAGATAGAAAATATAAAAACTATACAAGGAAGGTTTACACTTAGAGCGGTTTGCACTACGTCCGATCCGAATCCGATCCGAACCCGTGAAAATACGGAACTACAAATCTGATTGCCGTTTTGGAAGGCTAACTGACTGAATTTGTATATTGTCATGCACTATTACGATCTCAGATTCTAATCCAAGCAATTCGGGGTCACTTTTAACATACGTCATTTTACGCCGAGCGTACGTTCGTCGATTACGAATCAGTCGGTTCTGCGGCTAATCACAGACGACAGCGTAATAGTTATATACTCGTATACATACATACATAATAGCAGCAGGTCGTGTTATGGTAATGGTAGCACACACAGTGGTCTTGGCACGTACACAAATATATTTCCACGATGTAGGGACATTATTATATTAAAAATACAATAAATAAGAAGTATTTCAGAGATTGTATTTTCATAGGTATAATAGTTTTTTTGTTAATAACCACAATTATTGCTCCCATGTACTAATGCTCCCTCCCTCCTCCTTAAAAGGTCGGTGCAAAACCATATTATTAATAACATTACTGCTTGTTTCAACAGTGTGCAGTAAATTTGTCAATATAGAAGATCAGGTCTTCACCAGGCCGTGCAATCTCGATTACAGAGAAGAAGGCTTCATCAACAAAATTGCTCATCCAACGCCAAAGGTCATCAGTTAGGAATAGATTTTATAAGAATAAATCTTTCTATGCTAGTACGTGAGGCATTTGTTTAGTATTCCACACCTTCTATTCTCCATTTTTTTTTCAGTTCTTCTTTTATATATCTAAACAGCATGCTCCACAATCCATATCGTGGAGCAAACAGCATTTATAAATTTAAAATATTCTCCAACTAAAGACCTTCATAATCAAAGAGGAAGTCAAAAATGTCCTTGTTATTATCCCGTTTAAACGTATACGTATATAACTAGAAGTTTTTGTTGCTTATTATGCGTGACATTAATAATAATGTTCCTCCGTGCCTTTTTTCCAAACGAAGATGGGGTCGGCTTTAAGTCTGTTGCGATACGCCTGAACTTCGACTGCCATCAGATCTCCACAACCCAAGTACTAGGTGATATCGAAGTCCTGTAGAAAGACTGTTGTTGGACATTTTCGGTCTCCAACTATCTGTAACGATTGCCACAGATGTTCGTATGACAATCGCCGACGGCTCAACAAGTCTGTGGTGAGCAAGGTCTGTGTTAAGAATGGTCATCCATCCATAGCATAACCTGGCTATGATTGCTTAACTATGCAATGTATTAACCTACTCGGTTACCACTTAACCACGAGCCACGATTAACTAAAAATAATAAGAATAAAATTTCTTAATAATAGGTCTTTACCTATGAAATTGCCGTTTTGTATGCAATAAGTGAAAGTACTTATTTTTTTTCAAACTTTTTTATTTCTGTTATTCGAAGTAAGTACCCATGCAATCGACGCATCTTTGCCAACGCATTGGCAGTTTATTGATGCCCTTCTTGAAAAAATCAGCTGGACGGGAGGAAACAAACTCTTCAAAGGCATTTTGTACTGCCTCTCGGGAATTGAATTACCCACTAAAAAGTTGTCTAAATTTTGGAAAAAGTAATAGTCGGTAGGTTCAAGGTCTGGTGGTCACATCTGCAACCAGCTTTGGTCAATCGGTCGTCCCCACTGCTTCTTCACGACAACGCGCGACCCCATACTGCGCAACAGACAGTCTCCAAGCTGCAAAGGCTGGGGTTGGAAGCTCTCCCTCATCCGCCATACTCACCAGACCTTGCACCTACCGACTATTACTTTTTCCAAAATTTCCATGGGTGAATACTTCGAATAACAGAAATAAAAAAGTTTGAAAAAATAAGTACTTTCACTTATTGCATACAAAACGGCAATTTCATAGGTAAAGACCTAATTTATTAATTTATTTTTTGTAATGTATTTTGAATTACTAAGGAAAAAATAAAATTGAAGTTGTTATCTATTTATAATAATAATAATAATAATCTACCACATCCACACAACGCCATCTAGTCCCAAACTAAGCAGAGCTTGTACTATGGCTACTAGACAACTGATATAAATACATATATACTTTTTTTTTGGTAAATACATACATATTATACATAGAAACACCCAGACCAAATCAAACATTAAATGATCATGCACACAAACGTTTGACTTGAGCGGGAATCGAACCCGCGACCTTTGGAATAGCAGTCCGTTACACAAACCACCACGCCATCCGGTCGTCGTATTTGGTAGTAATATAGATTATCCATCTAATACCTTTAAACGAGCAATTCTTGTATTTATGTATTATGAAACTCCGCAACGGCTCCAACGATTTTCATGAAATTTAAATTAATTATTATAATTTAATTTAATGTCAGAAAATTTATCAAAAGAAAATACTGACCAAAGCTCGGTCATCCAGGTACTAAATGATTTAATTTAGGTAATTCGTTAGTAAAATTAATTTTGTAAATAATTTAAAACTGTTTTCATAGTCCAAAATGTAATCTGTCTACTCAATTAATTTAATCGACTCGTAAAATTCATGATTACTCGCCGCATTTAATAAAATATATAATTGATTACTCCCAGTTCTTTTTTACTTAATCATGAAAATAATGTTTTGGTTTTTACATTACATTAGTAGGTATATTGTGTAAATTTTTATAACGTAGACGCACCTCGTAAGTACAACCATTTAATTTTACATAGTAATCACGGTAAAAAAGCACACCTGCTCGCTAGATTCTAAATATTCAGCGGCGACTTTAATTTGTTCAATTTGGGCTTATTGTCACTCGTTACTAGTTATCATATTATTACATATTCGTTACTATGGCAAGTTTACTCACGCACAGATCTACTGCATTCTCTGTTGTCAACATTAATCAATAAAAAGAAAAAGAAAACAAAGAATAAAACATAATAGTATTTGTCTTTTTATAAGATGTTATCTTCACTCTCAGAATGTTAATTAGTAATTTACATAATGGTTTTAGACACTTTTTTAGTCTGTAGCTTGTGCGATTCATAGCACTACTAGACTTGCAGAGCAGATGATTTACATTTGTAGTCATAAAAGATGACTATGAGGCATCAAACCTAATACTTAGCATTGAAAGCATGTCTGAAATGGAGATGTCTAACGTGCATGTAACCTACGGAGCTACTTTAATCAAAATTTATGCAACACGTCCGGCGCGCGGTCCAGTCCCACTGCAAATTCAGCAGCAACGAACTTTAAAAGCTGTATCGGTAGCGGCTACATTGTATTAACTGAATCGCTCGAGTGTATTTCCAATGTATCAAAATGTCCGGTACTCACTAAACCAGGCTGTTTTCTGCAACTGAAATTCATCTTAATTCAAATTAATTCTTTCCACCTCTTATCCTTTTGGAATGTACGACTCTAAATATCTCGGTTGGTAAGTATCTCATCGGTATGTATGTTTTTGCACCTTCATATACACAGTTTTCCGATGTATGCAGCTTCTGTTTCAGAAAGACAATGCGCTTTATGAATGCGATTAGCCCAAAATCGATCTAAGTAGCGTGCAATGGGAGAGGCCGATGTCCAGCAGTGGACTGCGATAGGATGATGATGATTATGATGCGCTTTATGACTCGTGCTTTGTCATTTATTCTTTATATTATTTTTTAAATAGGCAGCTTCCACACTACATCCTGTGTCACAGGGGACTTTACAAATATTTATGAAACGGACGCAAAGAACACCCAGACTCAGAACAAAAATTTGTGGAGCACACAAAGTGTCATCCTATGTGGGACAGGCTGCACTAGGAAGGGGACTGATAGTCCTTTAAAATCGATTCACAAAGCGCATTTCTCTCGTTGTTATAAATTAATTGTTATTATTAAATACTTTCAGGACGTTAAGGAGAGTATAAACCAGAACTAAAGTGTAAAATTGCTTTATCCAATATTAAAGTTATTTGAAAATTTTATTCTCAATTTGAATATGTTGCAAACAATATACCTTTTACTACTATGTATTCTTTGTGAAAGAACACATGCTACAGTGACACAGCTCGAAAACCTATTTGAAATTAACAAAAGGGTAAAGGACGACCTAGCTTTATATATTCAGAAAGAAGAGAGAAAACTTTCATTTGTTAAAAGGTAAACATATATAGTTTAGTTTTTTTTAAATAATATTTACAAACGTGGTCTGATATTTGAATGTCCCAAATTTCAGGAGCTTAGAGATTTTTAAAAGGGAACATGAAAGAGCGATGAAAGATATCCCCGGGTACTTAGGGAATCCCATCAATGCATTTACCCTAATAAAACGACTGACAAGTGATCTAAAATATTTAAGGGATAGTGTAAAAATACAAAAAGGTGGTAACCCAAAATAACCATGTAAGGTATACTTAAAATAAAGTAATTTAAACACATAAAGAAGGACTCTAATTTATCTTCATGAACTTAGATATAAAATTTGTCTTCTTTTCTTCTCTTTGTGAAAGCTTTTAGTAGAGACTTATGTTATATACGTACATTAACAAAGAGATCAACAGGCCTGTTATTTAAATTTATGTTAAGGAAATGTACACATTTAATTCTCTTCAGCAAACATTAAACATCCGGACGTTCAGTATCCTACTCAGCAGGATTTGAAAGGCGCAGCCCTACATCTTGGAAAAGTGCTTGAAACATACGAATTGAATGTGAAGGAACTTGTTGAAGGAAAACTGAAAGGCATTTCTTACGGGTAAAGTAATTTATTAAAAACTGGGTATTGCGTCAGATTAAAAACCACAGGCATAATTATTTTTAAATAGTAATTTTTAAAATTCTGATTAATAAAAATAAGTTATGTATTACCTTTGATGAATGTAGAGTGAATCTAAAAAATAATAATATAGGCCTTATAGTCTTTCAAATAAATTTATGTAAAGAGAAACAAATGATTGACCTTTATTTTTTTCAATAATATAGTACACCAATGACAGCAGGCGACTGCTTCGAACTTGGGCGGATTTTGTATAAAGAGTCCAGTTATGACAACATAAAATACGCACGTGAATTCTTAGTTGAAGCTTACAGAAAATACAACGAAAACGAAATGTATTACCCCTTTAATGAAGTCGATATAATAGAATATATCAGCATGGCTTGTTCTAAAATGGGTAACCTTGAGTAATTTAATAATTTAACACATAGGTAATAAATATTAGTCGTACATTCATTCTAGTAACCAAAAACTCAGTGTTCTTTGTAAATTACTAGCTTTTGCCAGCGACTCCGATCATCCGTTATAAAAAGCCTAGCCTATGGTGTTGATAATGTAGGCTTTCATTCGTGAAAGAGTTTTTAAATCGTTTTAGTAGTGAAAGCGTAACAAACAAACAAACTCACTTTCACATTTATAATATAAGTATGGATGTTCTAATTAGTAGCGTACTTGTTCATATATCTCAAGCCATATTTAATTAGTCTAATGGTAATTTCGTATACGTAACGTTATACCACGACTCTCTACGTGGTTAGAGTTAAGCGTAGCCAACGGATATTATAAGGAATTTAATATTTTAAATATATAATTTAGAGCAATGAGAGCCACCAACTACCTTTTTAATTAGTTAGAATGATCACATAATACTTGAATGAATATGATACTAATGCAGTTATTTCATCAAATAAAGCACTCCCATTTATTAAACTTAGATTTTTTTACTAATTAATTTCATGAAATATTCAAAATATTATTTTGACACATTTTCATTCATGCCAAACACAGCAGTCTCCATCCTTTAAAATTATTATGATTAATGAATAATCGTAACTTGCTACATTAGGTCTACTTAAACAGATATTAATAATTCAGTAACCCGATTTGCTTGTAACTTAAGACAAGTTATTACAGGAGACATTGAAAGCGCTTTACACTGGACAAAAGTTATATTAGAGATAGATCCAGAACACTCTCAGGCTATGGAAATAATCGCATATTTCCAAAGAACATTAGCTACGGAAAAAAAACTTATTGAATCTGGAGGACAGGTAAATTACTTAGTTTAAATAAAAGTGGGGTCAGATAATCATAGGTTTTTAAATAACCATTACTGAAGTAAGTTTAAAAAAAAGGTTGGGAATCAATTAGTAATAGAAATTAGAAATACAGTCATAGGTAATTAGCATTTACTATATTCTTAGTTGTAATAAGTTACCTTTATTGTCATGACTTACAACCGGTTGCACGTTGTTTTATAGAATTTAGTTTCACATAAAATTTGTCAACAATGGCACGCCCACCACCTTTTCTTTTTTTTTTTTTCCGTGCGGAAATCCCCACGGATACCACCTATCGGTGGAATGTCGAACTCGAACCGACTAAAACCGCACGCCGTCTCGGGTACTAATAGCCGGGAAACCAGCTATACCCTAGAAAGGAAGTCCCTGGTGCCCCGACATACCTCTTGCCATCTACAACAACAGGTAGACGACCCCCCCGTGAGGAACCCCATGTTCCCTCTGCTCCCTGGAAGCGAGCGCGCTTCGCAACGCGCTCACCGCCACCCGGCCTGCTTCTGCTAGGGTGACAGATGGCCTCACCTGTCACCCCCAGGCCTGCGCTTATGGAGGACGGAGGTCATTCTGCGACCTCCGGCGCCTGAGTCGCCTGCGGTACCTGGCCCGTTCCCGGGCCTGGCGGGCCGGGAGAGTCCTAAACCTCTCCCTGTCCCTGCGTCAGTCGGTATGAGAGGGTCCCGTGACGCCTCTCGAGCCGTCATCGCGGCGGTAAGACCCGTTATGGAGGATTGCCTCCATAACGGGTCTTACCGCCGCGATCACGGCGTGCCCGGCGCTCGGTTGCCCGAGTCGTTCCTTCCACTCCCCTATGATGACCTGGCGGAGTTGGGATTTCCGGTCATCAATTTCTCGAGTCTCGGGACACCGACCCAACTCCCGCGCCTCCTTGCGCCACTTATACAGAGCCGCAAGGGCTCTCGCCTCCAGGTCCCACGGTGGAGTTCCGGCCAGGAGACTCGCCGCCTCAAAGGAGATCGTGCGGTACCCAATTATGATCCTGATGGCCAGCACTCGCTGCGGTCGTCGCAGTATCGCGACGTTGCTGGCCTTCAGGGCGGGGGGGCCATACTGGGCACCCGTAAAGGGCCATGGACCGCACAACCCCCGAGTAGAGTCTCGGCAGGAGTCATCGGGACGCCCACCACCTAGATGTCTCTATTCAGGCGACGCACACGTCAGTTTTGTTCTCTGTAAAATACAAATATGTGATTATAAAATTCGTTAAAGTATGTTTCATTAAAGAAAATACTTGTTGAAACAATAACAAAGAAAACTTATTCGTAATAAAAAAGAAGAACAAAATATTTTATGAAATAATTTCTACCTTTTTGTTTGCGAAACAACGCAACACCGTTAAAACCACTTAAGTTAAGATTTTGTAAGTATTTCTATTTTGCATGTTACATTACCATTACCTAAGAATATAGACTTCCTGCATGAGTAAATAGTACCTTTTAAATTAATTATATTTCTTAAATGTAATTTACAGGTAAATAGCGACGAAGAACAGGTAAATTTCACTGTTTTACAAGCTACATACAAGGCACTCTGTCGTGGAAACATGGATATACCTGCAGAAGTATCTAATAGGTATGTTTATATATAAATTATTCAGTAACGACAGAAAATATAAAAAAAAATTGCTAACCTCCATATGCCAATAACGGAGGTTTTGTAAATTAATATGCAAGAATCTATGTGTTTACTCAAAAAAAATGAAGCAATTAGGTAGGTAACAAAAGCGCTTTTTATTTTAATGGAATATCGATCCTCGGATATATCATCAAGCATTAGAAAGCAATAGTTTCAATTTCAATAAAAATATTTTAAAGTCCAGAATCACAGAAAGACGGTAGGACAAAAATGGACATATCTTATAAGTAAGGTTTTGTTGTATCAAACTGCACAATTATGGAAAAGGCAGTAGTTATATTCTTGGGGTTCTAACGTTCAATTAAAAACAAAAAAAAGAACTATGTAACTGAGTGAAGCTTAGCACATACAATTTGAACTGCTTTCACTTATCTCTATCTAATAAGAAATTACATTTTTTACAGATTGACATGCCATTACATAAGTAAAAACCATCCGTTTCTAAAAATAGCTCCTTTTAAAGTAGAAATGATGTACCTCAACCCAGACATAGTTTTCTTTCATGATGTATTGAGTAATGATGAAATAGAAGCCATCAAAAAAATGGCCTCGCTTAAAGTAAGTAGCACTTAATTACTCTGTCCAAAAGACATTCCACTTAGCTAATGATTGAATACTATTTTTGGATTGCTAGTATGGCCAGACCACTAAAGAGCTAAGCTGGTAATTCAGTCGAATTACTATCTACCAAGGCTAGCTAAATCCTTTGACTTTGACTAAAGATACTGTAAACTTGAATATTATTATTTTGAATTGAGGTAGTGAATAGTTTAATAATTATACTAAAAAATGGTTGAAATAGCATAAAAGAAGGTATAGGAAGAGTTTTGTCTTTATGTGTTTACATACGTAGATTATATCATCACCCTAATAAATATAAAACACTCTTATAGTTCACACGTATCACAGAACAGTCATTTACGGCAAGCGACCAAACATTCTCGTATGACCATGAGCGCAATATATCAGTTTGGTTTCATGATGCGGAATCTGACACCATCGCACGGGTCTCACGCAGAGTAACACATATGACCGGACTTAATGTTGGTACAGTACAAAATCTAAACATTTTCAAATATGGATTTGGTGAAGACTATATTCCACACTACGATTTCAATAACGTAAGTGATATAATATAGCAACATATTGAATAGCCAAAAATTTAAAAAGGATTATTATAAAATAGGGAAACCGGAAGAATACAAATTTTAGCCATCCAATTTTGACCATTCATTAACTTTGAATCTTTAAATAAAATATCTCCAGTAGTAGTGAAGGACACCTGCAGGATAAAACGATTCTTAACACTTTGTAACTTAGTACCGTACAAAGCATCGATTCGCAGTGTCAAATTGTCTAAAAAGCTTTAGAAACAGGACCTTTGAAGTTAAAAAATAAGACCTTGCAACATAGAGTACGTTGCAAGGTCTACGCCGCAAGCTCTCAGGGTGACCCATTTATATCTATCCAGTAAAATTTGTTTCATGTTACTAGGTTTTAAAATTATAGAGCTGGCATATTAAATTACATTTTTAATTTATTATTACATTCCTTTCACATCACATCATATGATGTGTGTGTGATGTGATTCCTTTTACCTTACATTCATTCATTTCATTATAAACATTCATATATTTAAAAAAATCCGATTCTATATTTCTCTGTCCACAAAATTCGCTTACAAAGAGATACAGGGTATACTCTTTACGTATGCTGTGAATATTATTATTAATACATGTTTTATATGTGTTTGCCTGATCATGACATGACATGACACATAGGGAGGCGAGGTATGAAAAAACACTTTTTGAGAATGAATTTATTCTGGAACAGAATCATAATGTATTGTTAAGTACTTTACTAATATTATTTCTGTTTGCAGCAGGGTACAGTCGAGAATACTTCTGAAACCTGTGGTAACAAGATTGGCACTGTTTTATTTTATGTAAGCGTACAAACCAATATTTATAAATATGATTAACATACATAACTCCTCCTCCCTCCTGTAACAGCTTCCTGTCTGTTACAACTGTAGATTGATTCCAAAAGAATCATAAAACACACGTTTAAGTCATATAAAATTTTGCTTTATCCTCGTTACCAACTAGAACAAAACATGTTTCCCCTTTAATATTATTATTATAAAAACTAATATTTTTGTTACAAGATAATATTTATTATACTCATATTAATACATTTCTTCATTAATTACAGTTACATCCATTTAAATTACAATTACAAATAAATATTTATTATATAAATAATATAATTAATAACTTTAAACACGCAATTAGTGTATATTTTCTGTATCTCAAAAACGGTTGTGTTTAGATGAATATAAAATCAAAACCTTAGATTTCCTTTTTATATTTATTAAAGAAATAAATAAATTTACATAGGTTTATTTCTTACAAACCCGATTTTACAAAAGCAAAACCGTCAAATGGAGATCTGTTGCCCGGGTACGAATTAAAAATATGCCAAATCCTTAGTTACTTATCAATTTAAGTATTTATTATAAATAGTATATAGCAACACTTTGATTCGATAGTCGTATCAGTTAACAGCGGTGTCAATAATTGCTTAATTAGATAATCATGTTATATACTATTTCAGGGTACTGGGAAAGTTGCCCTTTGATCATAGTTTAAACTTAAGTCAAAAACCACTAACAAGTAATCAATGGTTATAAATAAATTAATTTTTTAATAATAAAATAAATAAATCTGGTGTATTCTACACATATCCATTTATTAGCTAGGATCAAAAATTAGTATTTTGTCTTTCAAATACATAAACTGAAGTGATATCTATATTTAACTGTTATCGTATTTGGTTATTTTATATCAAAAAATAACATTGTTCCTTATATCAGAAACCTTTCATCGGATTATAAGAAAATAAGAACTCCAAAATATAAAATTGACCTATACCAAATACAATCAATTTAAAGTAGAAATATAATAGTTTTTACAAAAAACTATTATATTTCTACTTTAAATTCTAAAGTCTTAAAAAAACTTGTTTATTATTTCTTTGCCCTTGTCGCAGATGTCCAATGTAGCCCTGGGAGGTGCTACAGTATTTCCGGCCCTAGGTCTGAGTGTGTTCCCGACAAAAGGAGGCGCAGTGTTTTGGCTCAATGTACACACTTCAGGAGAGGGTGACTTCGCCACGTTACATGCAGACTGTCCGATAGTCCACGGCTCCAAGTGGGGTATCTATATCTTTAACTTCCACTGGTTTTCAAACAAACTAAAACATAAGATAGTATTGAATCTCAACGTTGGTTTATAATTGTACCGCCTTATTCGCCTTGACTTATTCGCTTTTCATTATTAAGTAAAAAACGTACACGTATACTGATTAAAAACGTGATAAGGCTTTCATGATTACATCTAACAAAGCAATAAAAAATGCGAAACATTAAATATTATATATTAATATACATAACTAAAACCTAATTACTACCGCATTATATTTTATACTAAATTAAAATATATTAATATAATAATAATAAAATAACCTAAAGTGTAAAGTTTAATATTTTAACTAGACTTGCATAGAATTACTTATTTATCGAGTATAGTTTATAAGTCAAAATAAGATAGACTAACTTAAAAAGAAACTTATTTTTTACTAAATGTAATTCTACGTTCAATTTTTTAGTGGCGTCTAAATGGGTCTGCGAATGTGATCAAGACATCTTAGGACCCTCCTGTAGTGACAGAGAAAATCCAATTCATAAGTTGTCCCGATCGACTTCTTTAGTACTCAGGTAAAAACAGGTTATCATTCAAAAACCATGTTGTATGAAGTTAGAATTCAGTTTCTGATCATTATCACATACTCGTCTGTTGTCATGACTTTGAAGCTTCTAACTCATCAAAATCTCATCAATAAAATATACTTATATAGGACATGTTTTAGGGAAAAACAATTCTATGAAGAATACAAAAAGGTTTATATGAATGCGGAAAAGGTTACAAGGAATGAATCGGGTTCAAGAAAATGATCAAGTTAATAATTTAAATGAAGAAAATCTTAATGTCTTCTTAATCTCAACTGCGATGAACTATAAGACTTATAAATAAATAAATATCATAGAAGTGTGTTTTATATGATTAGTTCTATAACTCCTCAATCCTATTAAATACTCTATCTCGGAAGGGTGGTTGCATCAACGTCGGTGCATATATGCAATCGATTTCTTCTTCTTCTTCCAAGTCTTTTTCCCAAACTAGGTTGGGGTCGGCTTTAAGTCTACAACTGAACTTCGATTTTTTGAACTTTCGAGCGAGCTCAACACAAGTAGGTACTAGGCGATATCGAAATTCTGTAGAAATACTGTTGTTTGACTTTTTACGCCTCCAACTATCCGTAACGATCAAGAGGTCTCAATGTGGTAAGAATCACCCATCCATAGACTGACCTGACGATTGTTGCTTAACTTTGCGATACGTTAACCTACTCGGTTACAACTTAGCAACAAGCCCTTCAATGCCATCGATTTCTTGTCGGCTATATATCTCATCAGCCCATTCATATATGCCGAAGCACTTGCCTCCTATAATTAAAGTTTTAAGTTAATATTCTTAATTTTTAATTATTATAGTGCTATGGTACTTCGTTGATTTAATTAGTAAAGTTCACATAATTGAAGTTCCAAAGTAAAGTTATATCTATTATTGTGAGGTAGACAGATTCAGTTAATTACGTTTATTCACGTATATAGGTCGGGTAGTTTGTTGTAAGTTAATGGCGTGTGATTTGTGTGACGTGGGCGTGTATTAAGCGACCGTCGGGTTTTCATATAGAGTTCATCTAGTTTACTTCGTATATATAATAGCGACTTTCTCTAGAAGTAAGGTAGTAATTTCAACTCTCAATGTACTTTACATTTCGTACTTAATACTAATAACTTCTAGAGTTCTCATATTTTCGTGAGTGTTTTATTTTTCAGTTAAATGAAACATTATTATGCAGTATATTTATACTAGTAGTTAATCTATCAAAATGTAAAAATTTGCAAAGAAAATTATGTAATGCTTTCGTAACATACAACTTTCCTATTTTATGTTGAATTTTATGTTCCTTTTTAGCTTGAATAGGTTCATTACTGTACGTTCATTCAATAGTAATATCCTGGTATCTGATTTGGGTATTGGAATGGTAAATTTCAATAAAAGGATTTTGTATACGAGTGTTACTTAGGAAAGGTACTGTTATTTATACGTCAAAACATGTTTTCGATTGATTAGCATTCTGGTCTTGTTCTGATTTACCGTTGTTGGTCTGTACTTTTGTCAACAAACTAAAAATTTATAACAAACTGTTAAATTTCACAAGGGGATTTCATTTGGATATGCTAGCTATTGCTGTGCCGGTTATTTTAACACAATAGATCATGTCAGAAAATGAATATTTAAGGTTAAACAATTAATTATGTTAAATTATAGATAATTTCAAAAATTTTAGAAGTTAGAGATTTTGATAGCATGATTAAATACAAACATACATACATATACTCACGTCTATATACCCGAAGGGATAAGCAGACTTGTATGATACACCCACATTTTTCCTAATATAATTAGGTCCTACTCACGTATTGGTAATAAACCTATTGCCCTCAAACAGATACTTTGGAAATTAGAAATCATCAAATTGAAGATATGTTGAAAGTTAAAGGCACTTAAGAAGGGAAGGCAATTTAGGAAACAGGGTATCGCTTATAAAGATGTATTAGAAAGTACCAGCATAATACTCCTTAATATTTCCCTGCACAGATGACTCACAGTGGGACAAAATGTTTTTTTTTTGCCAAAATTAGATAACTCTCTTAGATTTGAAAGTTTTATTTTTGTTTTGAAGGGTTTGGATAGTAGATTACAGGAAAATTGGTCCGGAGTTGTAGTATGGCTCTGGGGAGCAGATACCTTTTAGATATTTTGTCGGTATTACTAAGTCGCCGCGGCACAGCGCTTCGTAAGTCTTCTGCAGCTCTTCGTCAATAACAGCTTCCTGCATAGATTATAACAATCGTTAACAAAACAATAACAATCAGATCAAACAGATTAAAGTATAGTTTTATCAAATAAATAACTATAAATTATATATTTCGCTTAGAATTTAGATAATTCGGTGTTGTAAAACATGTAATTACTTACTCAAAGGTTATGTACATACAGTACATAACCTTTGAGACCAGGAGATCTAACCCTTCGTATATACATCGATATATTATGGAACGCGAAATGTTTTAGTCAAGAAGTACCTACATAATCATATAAATAAATAATAATTTAATTGAATATATTATGATTTAATCAAATACTAACCCATCTGGAAAGCGTGGTACAGTAGGCCAAAGCCTCCTTTCCAAGCAGGCCTTTGTCCTGCAGTGGACTAGGAATGGCTGTTGATGATCATGATTTAATCTTGTATGCATACTATTTATCTATTAATTAATGATGGTGAGGAAAGAATAACGAAAAAATTGTATTAAAAATATCTAGTGAATATATATAGTATACGCGAATGTTAATAAGTTAAATTATGCGAAATTTTATGCCCGTAAACACATACGAGTGTCTTTTGTCATTCAAATCCAAATCATATCTTTTTATTAAATCTAATTGCCCGTGATCGATGAAGTGAACCGATATAGAAGCGGACAAAAAGAAATTCGCTTTACGATATGTACGACAACTCACTTACCTCCTCGACTTGAAATTCATGAACTGTCATTATTTGGTTGCTTGGCTGAAGTAAAATACAATATTAATTCTAGAACTAAAATTTTTATTTTAATAGATAGCACAATCGTCCATCCATCCATCCATGAATCTAATTAAGGAACTATAAAAAAAAATAAGAAAAAAAAAAGTAAAAATAAATTTGAAAAATATAGGAAGAACAAAGCTTATTTATCTTTTAGTAGCAGTAGCAATGTGCATGAGATTTCTTTAATTCTTGTTAACCCCATTTTAACTAAACTAACCTAGCTAGTTTATAAAATTCATAAACATTGACATTTTAGGTTTAAGAATTGTCGAAACTGTAAAAATATTTCTAAATAGTAATTTGTTACATTACATTTCACCTATTAAATTGTTTGCAGAGCTAATATAATTATAATACTCGTAGTTTAGTGCATGGATAAGAGGTATTTTCTTCACTGTATTTTCGATTAGCTTCAGTCATTCATGCTAGGGCAGCTTTAATTTCTATTTTATCCGATAATAGAGCACGTGCTAGCTCGTAACAGTCACTAGCAGTGGAATACTGAAAACAATAAAAATATGACATTGTAAATAAACACGTTAAGATATATATAATATTTGGCCGAAACAGCACATTTTTTTTGCATTACTGTTTTTTTATCAACTGTAGAAAGTAATGTACCTGTTTGAGTTTTGCAACATAATTGCGATTGCTGTTAGTAAGATCCTTCACATCTAAGTTGTAAAATTTTTGTAATCGAGCAATATATTGTGCAGTATCGGTAGGTTCTCCTCTTCAATGGTCTTGATAACTAACTCTGTAAATATCTTAATCACACTATTTTGAAAACTTTACTTATTTAAAAAAAAAAGATAATTCGGTAAACCACGTGAAATTTTATTTGTAATACTTAATTATATAAAAGTGTAAATCTTTCTTGTCCGTCTGTCCGTCTATCCGTGTGTCACCATCTAGGTCAACCGGAAGTACCCTATAGGTTTTGAGTCGAAACCCTATATGGTAGTTCCCGTTGACCTAGAATCAAGAAATTTGGCAAAAAGAAACGTCTTACAGCACAAATAAAGGAATAATTCCAAAAAATAAATATAATAAAAAAAGTTGAAAATTAAGATAAATTTTGGTACTTATAAATTTTCGCGAAAATCTACATAAAATTTGGGTAGGTACGGAACACTTTGCGCACGAGTTTGAATCGTACCTGACCGGTTTTTTTTCTTCTTGAAAGGTGTAGTAAGTCCTATTCCATCACTCAGAAACTCACTAAGAAACTCACATTTGAAATAGTTCATTGTTATTTGTCTCTGACTGACAGTAATTACTAAGAAAGGGCACTAAGTTCAGGGTCACACTTACTGAACACAAGGCTTAACTATATAATAATACATATAAATGTGATACAAATTTCAAACTTGTTCTTTCCATCACTGTCACTAAGAACGCAAATCATTGGATACGATACTTTCTACAAAGCTCATGCTTTAAGAAAATTATAGTAATATTTTATTTACCTTCTCTTTCTATCATTATGACTACTAAATTCTGGAAACCCTAGCAGATTCTTTACAACCTTAAAGTTTTATAAATGATTGAAATGTAGGTTTATGTATGCATGTAACTAGGTAAGTATTTATGAACGTGTATGTATTTGGTACGTATGTATGTATATTTATCGCATTGCTTCAGTCTAAGTATTTAATCATTTTCTTTTACTTTACATATCAATGTCTAGTGCATTTAGCCTCACATTTCAGCTGGTGGTGGTAGGGTGGTCCCTAAGGTATACTGGGATAAAATGCCTGTGGCATTAAGTCCGCCATTGTACAACTCATACTTGTGCATAAATAATAAAAATAAAATAAATAAATAAATTATCCAGGTCACATACTAGTCTCTTCAAAAAGATAAAAGTAAAAAATCAGATACATCTTGCATGACTTTATTGCATTCTCAGATGTAGAGATGCAAGTAACTAAAACGGCAAATAACTATTTACATTATTTAGAAATCTATAATGAAAAAGCATCATGCTAAACCGAACGTTACCTCTTTAATATAGAAAACCTTTTCTCTTTCATATCAACATATGTAGTGAGGTCCTCTATTAGAGTCTTATGAGGTCGCAGCTAATTTTCAAGTTCTGTCACTGAAGTAAAGAAATCCGCATGTGTCGTCATGAAAAGGCTAAAGCATATCGACCAGTACATTTGATTCAGCTTATTATTTTTTTTAGTTTTGTAAGGCTACTGCTACAAATAATAATGTTAATCAAATCTTGAAATTGATTAGGTACAAACATTATCTTCATAAATAAGATAAATCCTTTTGAAAAAAAGGGAACCCACTTCAAACAATACTAACAAATAAAGCACTAAAATGCCTAGTAGCAATCGCGGTTGATTTGCTATCATTTTTTTGGAGAGTGCCGTTGTCTGTCTCCGAAACTTATCATCAGGTCTATATGAAACTTTAATTGGACCATTTCGGCATAAACTCCTTTCGAAAAAAAAAAAAATTTTGAAAATCCGTCTATGATGGAGTTATGCCCGAACATACATAAATAGATATATTAACATCCGAATTGATATTCCTCCTTTTCGAAGTCGTTTAATAACTATAGGGTAATAATTCTATAACCCTATATTTATTCCAATTAAATATGTGATTATTATACATAAACGTGGTAAAATAAAGAATACAGAGTGTTACTACTCCTATTCATACCGTGGGTGTCGTAAGAGCCAACTAAGGGAGAAAACTACGCAGAACAACAGCACTGCAGAGCGAAGGAAAACTTGACACAAACCCTGTACCAACCCGTCTGGCCAGCGTGGTAATAGGCCAAAACCTCGTTTCTAAGGTGAGGCTTACATGTGTCCAGCAGTGGACTATTAAAGGCTGTTGATGTGATGATTGATGTGATTGTACATAAACATATAAAATAAGGTTCTTACTTAATTTCACTTACTTATTGGTAGTTTCCACCTTACAGTTAATGAGTGATGTGTAAAGACATAATGTTAAGAAGAACTTTCTATGTAATCTCGCAGTGTAATTTACTTTTACTCCAAGCGGGTTTTTTTAAAACTTAGTTTTAATTCACTTTTAATCTTTGTATTGTAATTGATCTAACAACCGCATACTGACCACCGGAATAAATTGAAATTTTATGACCAAACAACGACATTATACGAACATATAAGATATTTGAGTTATATAAAATTGAAAACTATGAAAATATTGTTACTGAGTTATTAGAAATGTACCAGCAAATGGGATGTAGAATGTCGATGATGATGATGAAATTTCATTTCTTACACTCTCACTTGAATTTTTTTCCACCAAACTTTAGAGATATTAGTGACGAACAGGGTAAGTGGTTTCTTCATAACTATGGAACAACGTTACAGAGATCGATGGGAACCAGGGATGTTGGGAGACTTCTGTTGGTTCCTCATGAGAGAATCAAGCTAATTTGTTTTAATTTAAAATTTACTGTTTCCATAAACATAGCTAATTTAAATCAATTCAAATGCTGGCGAAATTTTGTTATCAGATTTAGCTTCAACATTAGCGTTATACCCAGGATACAGTACTTTCGTTTCTGTTGCGAACCAAAACTGTTTTTTTTTTGTGTTTTAGTATCACTTACAATTTCGCATAGGCTTTACTTGATCGATTTTCTAATCAAACTGTAACATAATTGCAAAGGGGTTTGACTGGTTTCTTTTATGGTTTCGGCTTACGTGACGCTAATCCTTTTTTGGGAATGTAAGTCTTCTTAGCTAGGGATGCAGTTACATACAGTCGGGTATTGGTAAACGTTAGTTATAGTAAGGTAGGTATATCGCAAGTCTTTTATGGTTTGAACATGTCCGTCCTGTGATATGAGTCGCTATAAGACAAGGGACATTAATTGACCCAACTACTATATCTATAAAGCATTTTTTTTTATAAACTAACCTATGGCTTCATCACAAATTTAAGCACAAAACTCTAATCATGTAACTTTATGATAAAATTAGCTGACACGTGCAACTTCGTCTTCTGTTTCTCTCAAAAGGAATAAATTTTCTCTGTTTTCGCAAAATTTTTCATTGATACTCGGCTCCCATTAGTCGTAGCATGATGTTATATAGCCTTGCTCCATAAAAGGGGTATCCAACACTAAAATACATTTTTCCTTTCGAACAAACTTTACATAATAAAAAACAATACAAATAATTTATAAATTAATTTTAACCTTTTGAATAGTTACCTAAGTGACCAAACCTATTTAAGTACACTAGTTTTACATTATCAACATTCTCAATGTTATAATAACGTCTTGGGTGTAGGTGCAAGAATTTTCTTGACAAAGCCTTCCTTTTGGTACTCAAGTTCACAGGGCCTGATGAATATCTGAGGTACTCGATGGACAAATTTACTAACCACTGCAACAATGTAGTTAAAATTTAATTATATGTTACAAACTCCAAAAATGGTAGAAGTGGGTTTTATGTAAATAATATTATGTTGAAGCTGAAGCCGCTGGAACCTAGTGAAACCATCGATTCAGTCATGTACTGTGCACTATTTGACAGAGGTGGGCTACAAAATGAGAATTGTGTTCCATCATACTTTAATAACTCTTAAGAAATCGACAGAATTTTGGTACATCCTAGTTCTACATCAATTGAATTATGAAGCCATCCGATATTGTTTTTTTAAAGACATCCCCCGTACCAGTAATATATTATTATCATGTGTCGCGGGGACTTGACTGACATACAAAAAATGGACACAAGGAACACCAGAACTCAGAACTGCAATTTGTGGATCACACAAAGTGATGTCCCTTGTGAGGATCGAACCCACAACACTCAGCGAAGTAGACAGCAGCGAGGTAACCGCTTAAACTACTGAGAGACGTACCCCATTTGTCGCCCTGCAGTACGGGACAGGCTGCATGTCGCATAGCATAGTCACCCTCTAGTGAAGGATGCAAGTTGAACCAGAAAGCGGCTGTGCCCTTCACTGGAAGTAATCTAACACCTAGCTCAGGAAAAACTGTAGCACCTCCTTGAGTGACGTCCGACATCTATACAAAACAAATTTAAAAACATGTTTTTCATATCATTGGTCTAAAATATATATATATATATATATAAAACATAATAGTTGTTCTCTGTTATTTATATTGACGTCTTCATTTCTTTTATTTTGTCGTCTACTGCAACAAGGTGCTTATATAAATTATACTTTTTAATCGTAAACTACTTGTCTGATGAAAAACATTGAATAAACATAAATTACATCGAATTAGATAATATGCACAAAAGGATGGCTTATGATAAACAGATGACAGAGCCGCGCAGTCATTTGTAGTGACACGACGTGTCACCACGTCAGCAGTCGGCCTGACTTGTCGCGTTAGATGTTTCATTTAGATATATATCACGATAAGATAGGCTACGACAGTACAAACTTGAGCATTTTACTTTACTAACTGCTTCACATTACATCACATCAACAGCCTTTAATAGTCCACTGCTGGACATAGGCTTCTCCTCAGAAAGTATTTGGACTACTGTACTACCCTTGCCAGACGTGTTGATACAAGGTTTGTTTCAAGTTTTCGCAATGTTGCTGTCCAACGTAGTTTGTTCCCTTAGTCGGCTCTGCCGACACCCACGGGATGAATAGATGTGGTGACACTCTTCATACTTAATCCGTCACCACACGGACTAATTGCTTATCCCTTGTGTCATTTCTTCTTGTCTATAGCCAACTAACCAAGATAACTAATTAGACATATACGTCTTATTGGTATTTCTTTTAACAATACTTTCGTAACCGTCCCCCGTCAGCGATCAGGCTGTTTTATTTGAATTAAATGTGGTTATATTGATTTTCCAAAGGATTTCTAATAAATGTGAAAACAAGTTTAAAATATGGAATCAGCGAAAACTTACTCTTTAAAGAGGGCTAATCTTTTTATTTTATACTTACATAGAACAGTACCGTAGCGATTCTGCTTAAACTTAAGGATGAAAACTTCTCTTCTTTCTAAAACCATAATTGATGAACATCGTGAATAGTATAGATACCACATTGCTATGGACGAATATGTTGGCTTAATGTTTTTTTTTTGTGAAAACCTAACAAGGGTACTGTGAGCTCAACATATTTAATTGTTCAGTTTTTTAAATAATGAAAAGAATTTTAAATATGAAATAAGAAACAACGTACTACGTAACTAAAATATTTTTTATTATAGTTATTACGAGTTAAATGTCGTAATAATGGCCGTCGTAATAATGTCGTAAAATTCTATTCCAATAATGATAACATAACATATTCAAAACATCTTTTAAAAATTTACTGATTATAAAGAACTAGCTGCACTCTGCCATGCTTTCATTGATAAGAAATAAGGAACAAAACTAATGCGAAAAAAAAACAATCTTTGTAGCGGTCTGTATATCGTCAAAATTTGAGCTCAATCGGTGCAGAACTTTTTGAGTTTTTGTAGCGTACACAAACCAATTTAACATTATATATTATTATTTAGATTGATAAAATTAGGAGAAAGCAGTAAATTGAAGTACTTATCATTTTAAGCATAAATACAAATACTTGAATGCATATAATTTAATTTCTAATTCATCATGTAATACAGATTTTAAGTATTTTCTAATGGATAGTGCATTTTCCAATAGTATATTGCCTAATGTATTTAGTAACTCATACGAGTTACACCAATTCTAGTGAGAAATATTTTTTCAAAAATATTCCTCACTAGAATTATCAGATTAGATACAGCTACAGTTTCTTCATGTACAAAATTCCAATTCCTAATTCTCAGCTATGCCATTTTTGTTTTAAGGATTTCGATTTACAGAATTACGGTTACGGTACTTACAAGTACTATACTATACTTTGATATTATTTCTTACCTTAGTAAAATCAAAGTGTGGTTCATAATGTCCACCGATCCCGTAGTTAACCACTTGAAATTCCTTACTTAGTTCCATATTTAAACCGGTCATTTGAGCCACTCGTCTTGTGATTTGAGCAATGATCTCAGAATCCTGGTCACTTAACCAGGCTACTTTACTGATGCGGTAGCTAGCATTGACCAAGTAACCAGTTTCAGGATGGTTAATTTGAGCACGACTAAGCTATAAAACAAAGTCGGAAAATAGATAGAATTAAGAGAGACAGCACACTTTTGTGAAATTGAATGTCATGAAGTTGTTCAACAACAAAGAGTCTTTTAGTCTGGTGTAATACATTTGACCCACTTTATTGAAATCGGAGTAGTATGTAGCAACTATACACCTTATTTTAAAGTATTTAAAGTACTGAAAACTGGAATGTATATGTGATACTGACTGTATCTTATATTTAACATAAAGAAACAGAACTTTTCATACTAAGGTCTGTTCCATACTAAGGTTATATGGTTAAATAGTCCATAAATAAAGTTTTTTTTTAAACAAAGTATTAAATTTACTTAATTTTTTTATAGGCCAAAACCTCCTTTCTAAGGAGAGGCTTATGTCCAGCAGTGGACTATTGAAGGCTGTTGATGATGATGATGATGAATTTTTTTATATGTTGAATTCAAATCGAGTGTGTGAGCTAGAATGTGGCCATGTACATACATTGGCACATAAGTAACTATAAACACACTCACACATTTTTTTTTTTTTTATTGTTTTACTTCAACTTAATTTATGAACATGACATTACAATCTGCGTGGGTGTGTTTATGGGTACATTTATAATCGGAGGGATGCCGGCTCCTCTTAAATAGAAGAGTTACTCCATACCTATAACTCATTTTTAAACTTCTCCTTCGTCCTTACTATTTTACTTCGGACACAATTCGAGGAAGAAGTTTGTAGTGTGTTGGAGACAAAAGACTTGGATGACTACATCTAAGCAGTCCAAGAGCCGAGCTGTGTGCGTGATAGACTTTCTCGAACTTTATAACTCTACATATCGTTTATGTTACGCGGACGGAACCAGCACCAACCTTTGGGACTACTTTTCATCAATTTTATGTAGGTATATATTTGCGTTGAAGTAATATGATTACTATTAAAGATAGAATTAAGAGAGTTGGTGAAAGTTGAGTAGTTATCAAATTTATTCCCACGATAACATAAGATACTATATCCTTTTGTATTGTGCCATTTAACATGAATAAGGAAGATACATTAGACTGTATCCCTTAGGCGATAATAGCATACTCAAAATCAGACGAATAAATAGCGGAGTATCAACAGATGCATCTGCTTTTTATATTTATTTATCTGCTCTTAATCGAACTGAAACCCACCTCATGACATTCGACGGCCAGAAAATTCCCAAAGAGTGTGTTACGGACACATTCTTTTCTTTCAATGTCACGTAAAATACAGATATAGTTACAATGTGTAAGAACTCACCAAAGGTTTCGCATTTTGTTTAATAGTTTCAATTTCAATATCACTTAAAACATCATAAAATAAAATTAAATCAGGATTAAGATACATCGTTTCAACTTTGAAGGGTGCTATTCTCAAAAACGGATTATTTTCCGTTAAGTAACGACATGTTAACCTGTAATAAAATTGAAATACTACACTGCCCAAATAAGCCTATAATAAATATGAATTTACTGTATTAAATTTTATACCGGTTAGATATTTTAGCTGGTACTACTAAGTCACCGCGGCATAGTGCCTCGTAATTCTCAAGCTCTTTTTCATCTTTTACACTTGTTGTTTCCTGTAGTCCCAAAATAAGAGTGTTGTTGAAAGATAACAGGCACAATATAAAATCAGCATCCAACTAAACGTTCCCATCGGTAGGTTTACTTAACAGTTTTTTTTGCAGCTTCGTTCAGTAAATAAATGTTATATAATATTTACTACAGACGTAAAAAAACACGAAAGTAATAAACTTTTACTATAAAGTTGAAAAGAACGCAATATAATATTATTGTTTTACTTGAAAGAGTAAAAAGAAAAATCTAGAAAAAAATTAATTGAAATACTGTTAACACTTAGATTAAGTTTTTGGACACAACAACCGACACAAACTTGGACGGGTTTATTCGATATTACAATAGTTTTTGCACATACCAGCTCTCTTTGTTGATGTAATTGATTCCATATACTCTTAAGATACGTCTGAAACTGCTGAAGGTCCTGCACTACACCTGATAGTTTTCGTATCTCTTCTGGAACACCTGGAGGATTAACCTGAAACCGATGTAGTACTTTTCAACAGCGTCAGCGTAAAGCACCCTGTGGGTGCAGAGTATGTCTACTGAGAAGGTAAGGGCCGTAAGGTCAGTTCTTAAGTGTCTGTATTGATAATTCATGAGGAATCTGTGAATGCTTCAAGATAGTCGACTGAATAAAATTTGTTGACTGAAGAGTTCTTATAAGACCTTATTGGCAGGTTCTTTGGTTAATACTATTGTCAGCGATATATGTATATAAACTAGTTTTCAGTTCAACTCAGTTTTTTCGTAATTAATTCTTAAAGATCCTTCTTAAAGATCAACATACCAATAGCTCGCGATTAGAATCGTCTTCAGTAATACTTTTCTTCGACTCTTCATCATAGATGTTAAACATATGCTGTGTTGACGGTGGTGCACTCTTCATGTATTCTGAAAATATTTTAGTGTACTGTCCTAATTTTTTAAATTAGACTTTGAATTTTTTTATAGACCAAAGTACCTAGTTTTTTATTATGTAGGGGTTAAACGAGCAAATGGGTCACCCTTTTGTGACTACCGCCGCCCATGGACACCTTGAACTCAATGTCACAGTTGCACTTTAAGTCCCTTCTCCCCAGAGCTAGGGGGAGCAATGATTTAGAACTCCAGTAACGTCAGTCACTTGGTGAAAAGCAGAGTCAGAATTGCTTAACACCGGTTTTCTCTGAGGCCGTGGTATCACTTCGATCAGGCCCAGTTACGCCAAAGCCTTGCTCTCCCATGGTAAAAAGCTTTGGGCGACTCCCACATCAAAAAAACAGAAACATACTACAGCGCCATCTAACGAAGACACGCCGAACTACGGAGTAACGCCTGAATGGCAATTGCTAATCCTGTATCGCGATATGAAGAATTCTCTCGCCGATTAACATATATACTCGTACAATTTCTCAACATCAATCGTTGGGCCGAGGTCCGCCAGGCATGATCACCTCGCCAGGTCGGAGGACCTTTGTGTTGGCGGGACATGACACCCGTTCCTCCACAAGCCATATAACTTTTTACTATATGCTCAGATCAAATCAAAAAGGATGAAAAATGCAAACATTTTAAAATTAAATCAAATGTCGAACATTTTAGGTTAATTTGTTTCTATTATGCCAGATGGCAAATGGATCTATTATTTTAGTATATAAAATTAAATATTTATGAGCATAGATCAAAACAAGCCGTCGGTGGACCGGATTTGCTCTGTGTTTATAAGAAATAAAGTTATTACACCTGCTTAGTAAGTACTTACTTGATACACTATACGCCTCATTTAGATACTTGACTATCTCGTCTTCTGTAAATGGATAAGCAACATTTTCTTCATTATATTTTCGATGAGCTGCCACCATCCATGCTCGCCCGGCCTCGAAATATTTATTTTTAGAGAGCAATGCTAGACTCAGCTCGTAGCAGTCACTAGCAGTCATTGGTGAACTAGAAATTTTCCCCTTTTTTTATTAAATGTTAATGTCCGACTTAGAAATGGAACCTGTCTGTTACAGTTAATTTGGTTGAAAAAGTAAACATAAAAAAAGATCAGCCTGTTCCTTCTGGTTTTATCAAATAGAGAAGTTTGTTGTGAGGGTCTCAAATTTTGAAAAGAAACAATAGAAAATAGTTTTTTACTTATAAATTACATGAAAAAATATGAAGTTATGGTCTCGCAGTACTCTCTACACGCGAGTTTTAATCGCATTTAGCCTGACATTTTTTGTGTTTTTTTTATCTATTAGAATATTTAAGTACTCTAGCACATGCAAGACAATAAGATCAACTATGTGTATAAAATTGAAGTCAGGAAGACGGATACTTAGTCTTGAATTCTTCAATAAATGTAATAGTTGTTAGTTAAGCTTATGAACCTATAAGCCTATGATTCTAGACCAATGTTTATTCTTGAAAATATATCATTGGCAATTTTTTTTTTTTTGTTGGATGGGTGGAAAATCCCTTCGAATCTCAGGCTCCTCGGGGATGTAGGAGCCAGGAGTATGTGGTGTTTCCACTAAAAACCACCCCGACGGCCGGACTCAGGCGCCCCGCCCTACTCCGAGGAGGACCCGGACCATGTTATTTCAGGTAATAGTTATGTAAGTAGTTAGCAGCAGTTAATCTGCCACCAGAGGTCCCTACTCTCTGGCAGCCTGCAGCAACGTAGACGGCTGATAGCGCCGCTGACGTCCTCTACGCTCGGGATCGGCCCTCTTCCGATCCCGTTCAGCTGTCTCTTTCTGAAGCATTACAGCTTCACAGAAAGAGACCACTGCGCCCCATCCCTCCTTACCCGCAGCAATGATTGCTGGCGGGGACAGGTCTCGTCCGATTTGGTCGACCAGAACCTGGCGTTCAGACGGCCATGCGGGGCAGTCTTCCAGCGTATGCTGGACGAAGTCCCAGCCGGCTCTGCAGTGCTGGCATTGTGCCGTCTCCTCGCATCCAATCCGATTCAGGTACTCACCGAAGCAACCATGCCCAGTGAGTACCTGCGTCAGTCGGTAGGTGACGCGACCTCTCTTCCTACCTACCCAAGTTTCGAGGCTAGGCAGAACGGCACCGACAGCGAGTTGGCGCGCATTCTGCGGCTGTTGCAGCCGCGCGCGTCACTGAACCGGTGCCTGTCGGTGAGCATTCCGCTGCATTTCGTGCTCGTAATGGTCCTACCCACCCTCACCCTCTCTCCACTCCCGCGTCCATATCCGTCAGGATATCAAAAGGGGGGAAACGTGCCAGGACGTTGCCGTTCGTGTTTCAAATAATAAATAAATGTATAGAATTATACCTTTAACTACTTACATAATTATTATATTAAATATGCTTAGGTGGAGGAGGTAACACAGCAGTCAGTGGCTGTGAGCGATGACGCGTCGTAAGGAGTACTCCTACCTAGGAGTAAACCTACTCCTGGGTCGCAATTCTCAGTCCCTGTCGAAGTGTTGCCCCCATCTATCACGCGATGTACCCGGCACCCGCACGGTGAATCTATGGAACGCTAAGAAATAGGTCTACTGTTACTTACGTATAAGCGATGTTATTTAAGTTCCCATTGGCAAGATCGTTTACATCTAAATTGTAAATGTTTGCCAACCTTGCCACTGCTAATGCCGCATCTGTTAAATCCTCTTTTTCAGGGTACATATGATCTACATGTTTCAGAAAAAAATAAGGTATGGACGCTGAAATCAGAACATTATTAATTTAAAATTTGATTAAGGCCTTTCTTCAAAACTATATTCAGAAGTATAATATAGGAGAGAGTAATCAATATTCTACTATACTCTCCTCTATACTTAATAATATAAGTATCATTACATGGCCTGTTGGCCTAGTGGTTAGTGATCCTGACTGCTTACCCAAAGGTCGTAGGTTCAATTCCTACCTTGGAAAAGTAATTGTGTGATGAGCACGATCATTTGTACGAACTAAATTACTATAAGTGTCTTTACAGCAGTCTAGTGACCATATTACAGGCTCTGCCTAGTTTGCGATCAAAAGACCGAGTGTGAGATGTGTGAAGTTATTACTATTTATTATTATAGTCTAGATTGTAATTTACGTGTGGCAAATAAAAAAAAGTGTATCAAAGTCTATATAAACGAAGTTATATGAACGGAAAGAGATAGAAGAACTACAGCTATGATTTACCTGATCCAATTTTAATTATTTCAGGTAAGTTATCCAAGTCAGATATCAGCCTTTTTTTAAGTATGAAAACCTTTAATGGATTATCCAAATAACTGATCACGTCTTCCTTTATTTTTTCATTTTCTCTTATGTAAAGTTTCAAATAACTAAAAAAGGGGTAGTAATAAAGTAATAATAAAGTAAGTTTCAAAACTTAAGGTCAACTTATCGTAGTAGCTTAGTCGACTGTAGCGGAATGACAAACGGGTCAGACTCACGATAAACTGGTTACAAGTTCAAACCCAGCCGCTACGTTAATGCTACGTTTCGCTGGAAGAGTTTACAAGCATAGTCGTAATGTCACTAATATCTTTAAAAAAAAATGAAATGGTATTTTTATGATAGCCAAGTAATATATTTAGCTAAAGAAGGTCTAATAAATATTTTTTTATACCTGCGACAAAGAATGAAGAGTGAAGCTACATCTCTACGCAAAGCCAAGGGGCAAACCGATTGGAGAAGTGACGTTAGTCATTAAGTTACTAGAAGTACCAACTATATCAAGCCAAAAATGCTTAGAGCCCGCGATTCAAATCGAATTATTTTCTAGTAATATCTATTCATCATCATCATCAATAGCTTATACCAGTCCACTACTGGACATGGGCCTCTCCTTAGAATCTTTTCTACCTCTAGGTTTTGGGCTACTATGCCGCGCTGGCCATACGAGTTGGTAAAGGGTTTGTTTCAAGTTTTCCTTCTCTTTGCTGTGCTGTTGTACTTTACTCCCCTAGTCGGCTCTCACGACACCCATGGAATGAATGGACTAACACTCAGTAGTCTTAATTCGTCAAAACACGGATAATGTATTATCTATGAAAATCATAATAACTATTGAAAATAATAAAAGCTCTTACCGCTTTAGTACAGAAAGCTTTTTCTGTTGCATGCCAATGTAGGACTCTAAGTCATTTATTGTCGTATTTTGAGGAATTAGCAAGTTTTCCATTTCTGATACAGAAGTAAAAACATCTGCATGTGCCCTTATGTGTATGTTCAATATAAATAAGAAACATGTTGTACGTACTTTATTCAAATAATGAAACATTTCAATGAAGACTCAAAAAAATGTGATGCTGCAAATATTTCATTAAACGTTCTAAATCATCAAAGAATAATAAAGAATACATCGTAATTTATACGAAAGTGAAAAAGGTTTTTTATTTGTATGTTTCAGAGGCTCATTAAACAGATATATTTTGGCCAACCATGACATTAGTCCCACTTATGTATTAGGGTTCATTTATGTTTTAGGAAAAGTCTAATACGTCTAATTTACAAATTGGGCACTTTAGAGTTTGATGAATGGAAACACTAGAAGTACCTATATTGAGAGGAAAGTGGAGGAAAGAAGGCAGTAATAGAAAAGGGATAAATGCGTTAGCAATATCTCAAAAATGTCAGGATCGCATACCTATACCTAGTTCTAATTGGTTCTTTTTTTATGTAAGGGGCAGACGAGCAGACGGGTCACCTGATGAAAAGTGACTACCGTCGCCGATGAACGCCTGCAACCCAGGAGTCACAAACGCGTTGCCGGCCTTTTAGGAAGGAGTAAGCTTTTTCCTTGAATGTTTGAAGGTCGTATCGGTCCGGATATACCTTTCAGCTTGAAATGAGGTAATTTAAATAATGTTTGACTTCTTAGCTTACTCTTTTTAATATACTCTGGTTTACTTTCCTAACTAGTCACTCCGTAAATAAGAGCATTTTGTGAATCTCCCAAAATCCGTTAATGTAATGTAGTACTTGCCTATATGTGTGACAAAAACACTACATTCGTGAACATAAAAGGAACCTTCAAAATGTGACCTGCCACCAAGTCGTGTTATTTGCATTAAGGGCCATGATAATCACAAATTTTCACTTCTCAATATTTATCAATATTGTTTGAAAAGGGAATAAGAACTGTAAAAGTTATTTTCAGGACTTAAGTTGGAAGGTATAAGTCTCTGAGGCAATATAAAAATTAAATTAATGTAGGTAATTTAAATCTGATAAGATATTGGATTTTTATGATAATTTGTTTTTTTATGAGGTTGTTAAGACCAAAACAGAAATAGAAGTATTAAAATACTAATAATTGTCTTTAAACAAGCGGAAAATGAATCATTACCTATAAAATAATATTTACGTCTGTATTTTCTTTGTTCTTTGTTTACTTTATGGTAATAAACACTTCGTATAAGAATGCATACGTTATAATCATCATCATCATCATCTTATTACCCTTTTTTTAATTTATTTAGGGTCGGTGCAATAATTGTTTTTCTTCCATTCTCTTCATTACTATCACTATCTTGACTATTGAACAATAATGATACTGTTCCTTACCGCTACTGTGTCAAGCGAAGACATTATTTACAGAAAGCTTTACACCGGACTCAATTGTAATGTCTGGAGATTTGGATTTTAAAAATCTCTGAAGATTCTCCAAAGAATTACTCAACCTTTAGAGATCTCCTCGAAATAACTGTTTGACTTAAGTAAAAATGAATTATTATTTTTTTTTTTTAATCTTTTTTATTTAGGGGCTTGTAGTCACAAAGTAAAAATGAATAATCAATTGTTTTTACACGCTTTATATTAGCTTCACTTGTATGTTTAAAAGAAAAAAAAAAGACGGAAAACTTGACACAAACCCTATACTAACCCGTCTGGCCAGCGTGGTATAGTAGGCCAAAACCTTTCTTCCTAAGGAGAGGCCTATGTCCAGCATTGGACTATTAAAGACTGTTCATGTGTGTGTGTGTGTGTATGTTTGTTTGTATGTTTGTAACCGACTCCTTGGGACGTGATTTTGACTGACTTTAAACGGTCAGAATTTGTTCAAACTTTGTAGAGATATCGAGGACCGATGACAATACACTAATTTCAAAAAATATATTTAAAAAAAATATAGTTTTAAAAAACTATAAAACACGCTTTCTAAAGAAAACCAAACTAAAAGTAGATAATAAATTTGAAAAAAAAAGCGTTGGGTGCCTGTTGTCAATAGTAAAAAGCATCCCACGCTTTCATTCAAATTTATGTTCTATTTTTTTTTCAATAAAGCTGGTATATTATAAATGTGAAAGTAAGTTTATTTGTTTCGCTTTCACGCCTAAAAAAACTTAACCGATTTTAAAAATTCTTTCACCAATGGAAAGCTACATTGTCAGCGAGTAACATAGGTTACTTTTTACTGTAATAACCGACATACACACGGGCGGAGCCTACGCTACTTCGCTACGTTTTCTTTCAACATATTCAGAAATTTTCTCAGGTAGTCTAATAATACACCTTGGTCTACGCTTTTGGGATATGCATAGGTGTGAGCGAACCCGAAGACGTTTTTCTGTCCTAACGTAAAAAAGTATTCCTAATGTGCTCTTATATGTAACAAAATATACGTAGATGAGCTCGTGGCCAAGTAGCAACCGAGTAGGTTAACACATTGCAAAGTTAAGCAATCTTAGCTAGGTCAGTCTTTGGATGGGTTACCATTCTTAAAACATTGAAACCCCTCGGAGAGCAAGTTAAGTGTAGTTGGAGCCCTAAAAAGTTCGAGAACAGTCTTTTCATTATTAGTATGAAATCAGTAAATTTCGCAGTTCAGCCGTATCGTACTAGACTTAAAGCCAATCCCAACCTCGTTTGAAAAAAGGCACGGGGGAAGAAGATAAAGTATTTTAATTTCATAAATAATTATCAATTTATTAATCACAGTAAAGTAATGTAACAACACCAGCATAATAAGTGCAAAATTTTGTATCTTCAATGTAAATCAATAGACTGATGTTCTTGAATAATGCTGATGTTCTAAAGGGCGGAACGGGATTCCTCTAGATGGAATCTTCTTGGTAGTTCAGGTTACAGGGCCTTATAAATTCTTGACCGTACTGGTGAATCCATTTACTGGACACTGTAAAAAAGTATATTTGGTTTATAGAGCTCTTAGGCATAACTCTCATTAACTCTAACGCACTAGAAATAAATGATGTGGCGCGGAGGACTCTATAAACATTTATTAAACGGACACAAAGAACACCCAGACTTAGAACATCAATTTGTGAATCACAAAGTCCTACAACACGAGGTGGCCGCTTAAAATACTCGTACTACGGCATTCGTACTTCCATGCTTTTAACTTTAGCAATTTATTTTACAACATAGAAATTAGTCCTAGAAATATTCTCCAGGTCTGAAAATACTGCTAAATATTTACATTGAGATAGCAAATTATTGTAGTGGGTTATGAAACAAACACTGCGTCAAGAAAACTGTAGATCGTTGTCACGTCTGACATATGGCAATTGGCACTATAACAATTTCGAAATTACACAAGAATGCTCTTTGTTTACTCGAAGATATTAATATCTATTACATTATTATTACTATTAAATATCCTCTCATAAAAGCCATTCATTATTTTATTGTTCTCGAAAATGCAATTCAGTGTCATCAATCTTAAAAAAAGAGTCGAATCTATAGATTTGCCAGTTAACATCGATTGTCCATTACGTAACCCATAATAACAAAGATTGTCGCATGACAAGGCCATTTTTGGAAACCCATATGTAAAATATTCGTCTATATCTCATTAATTACAGAAATTTGACAGATTTTTTTACAAACATAATACATGCAGGTATTACAAGATATGATTAAATTATTAAAGACACACTTGAAAGGCGGTTCATTGCAAAAAATTCAGAAGTAAGAGTAATACAAGAGGGTATTTGAAGTTTCTCTATCTCAGTCGTTTGAATAGATTTAAAATAATAAATTTATATAATGAGATGCATACCCCATTTGTCGCCCTGAAGCACGGGGCAGGCAGCATGACGAGTGGCTTTGTTACCAGCTCCAGAAGGGTACATGTTAAACCAAAAGATGGCTGTCCCTTTTATAGGGTAGATGGTTAACCCTAACGTCGGAAAAACAGTTGCACCCCCTTGATCTACGTCTGACATCTGTACCAGAAATAATGGAATATCTGAAAACACTTTTGTGAATTCAACAAAATAAAAGTAGAATAGTTATTTTTTAACAGCTAAAAGTCTACACTAACTTTTAAACTTTCGCGTTCCATGATAATTAATATTATTTAACGGGAATTAACGCGATCTCTTATTTAGGGTATTACTTACCTCTGGTTTGCCTGACGTTTCGACCAGGTTGCACCGGCCGTGGTCACAGGCTGACCTAAATAAGAGATCGCGTTAATTCCCGTTAAATAATATTAGCTAAAAGTCTTACGTAAAATAATGTGGTAGCAATCCTTTCTTCAAACTCTGTTGTTCCGTGTTCCAATTTCTAGTAAAGACAAATAGAAAACGTAAGCGTTTTTCATTAAACGACATTCATGAATTAAATATTATTAGACTATTAATAAAACTCAATAAAAATAAATAAATGAAATTAGCTGAAGAGCCTTTGTATTTAACATGACATAGAACGTCAAAATAATAGCCGTTGTCTTCTCTCTTTCTCTCTATCCCTGTCTTTTTATTGTACTTTCTTACCATAGAAAAATCAAGGTGTGGCTCATAATGTCCTCCAATCCCATAGTTACATAACTGTAATGGTTCAGCATACTCGACACTTAAACCAGTCATGTCAGAGACTCGTTGTGAGATGCGATCAATAATGTCAGAATCCCCATCGTACAACCAGGCCAACTTGCTGATACGGTAACTTACAAAGATGTTGTCCTTAATATCATCGTCAAATGCTTTGGCGCGTTGAAGCTAGAATTAATGTTAAAAGTGTTATATATGTAAGTGAGGCAATCCAAAATCTTAACGTTGTCATAAATAAAAACAATTTATTTATAACATTCGAATATTTATGAAAGTATATTAAAAAAAGGTATAATGACCTCAGGTGTTATAGAACACATGAAATAGTTAGCATTATGATTAGCGTGCATGTGTAGGTAGCCCATCCAATAAATAAAAACTTATGCCTAATTTTATTTATCGCCGATCTATTGATACTTTGAACATCAACGTGATACGATACGAGAACTTAAGCCTATAAACTAATAAATATAATAAAACATAACTACAAAGTGCGCTCACCAAAGGCCTTCCCAATTCCTTGATATTTCGAATTTCACTATCAGTTAAAACATCATGGAATAAAAAAATGTCAGGATTGAGATGCTTCGTTTCTACTTTAAACGGAGCTATTTTCAAAAATGGATGATTCTTGCTCAAATAATGACAAGTTAATCTGTGTAAATATATTCAATGTGTTTTAATGAAACATTTTCTAACATTAGGGATTTAAAGATATTTTCGCCCCAAGACTGTTATATAGGAGCATACTCCTATATAACAGTCTTGGGGCGAAATTATCGTTAAGCAACAAAATAAGATGTCTACGCTTGGCGATGACTCAACCGGGCTCATTATTTACAAAAAAGATATTTTCTTTGAAAATAGGTTAGATAATGTAGCAGTACCTACTGAGTTCGAACGAACAGCAACATAATTTAAATGCTTATTTTTTTAGCTTTAAATACGCTCATTCAAGGCTTTTTAATTAGAAATTAATAAAAAAGAAATAGAAATTGAAGTTATTCGTGAACTATTTTTATTAGGTATATATTATATAAAATTTCGAAACTATATTACTATTTAAGATCAATTTTTATATATTTTTTTTGCATTTGCTGTCGTTCAATCTACGATCTCAAAAGTATTGTCCCGTAAAGTACAAAAAACCTGCGTCAAAATTTTAACTTTTTCTATGTAAATATATCAAAAATAATAGAAATTAAACCTCTATGATAATAACTATTCTACATTTTTTTTCAAAAAGTTAGTTATAGAAATTTTATAGTTTTTCAGAATGTAAACGCCTAAGTCGGCCGTTTCTGTAAGGCCATGCTTAAATGACAGGGTTGCATTGGCATTCAACGCCCGAAAACCACTCGTCGTATAAAGTCTGTACAAAAATGTAATTTGCCTTTAACGAGTAACAAATTCCCGTCATCTGCACGGAATCAAGAAATATAATAATAATAATAACTTCACACATCTCACACACGGCAGTCTGATCCCAAACTAGGCAGAGCCTGGACTATGTAACAAATTGTAATTGATCCAATAATTGACTATTTAAAGCTATTTCAGGTTATAATTATGTATGTACGGCATTTGTAGTAAAATACCTGCTAGATACTTTCGTAGATAACACAAACTCGCCGCGACATAGCGCCTCGTAACGTGCGAATTCTTCTCGTTTCTTCGTATCCTGTACAAAAGAAACGGTAAAAGTCATTTATTTAACTACTAGCGATCCGCTCCGGATTCGTACGGGTGCAATGTAGATACTACTAATACTACTATTGTGGTGTCAATGTGGAGTAATTAATTTTACTATTATTTTCATAGGACTATACTACAGAACATCTTTAAGTGCAATAAATTCTATATATTACATTTAAAGATGTCCTGTATTGTAGCCCGCTACGATCCTGCCTTTTAAACCTCTAATATCTTGTAAAATATTCATTTTAATGATATGCTGTAAGGAGCAATATTAATTTACATTAAATGCACAACAACGTATTTAATTGGATCAGGAATATTAATGTATTGTTTAAAATAGCTTCGTAATTAACTCATATTTTTTTTATAATATTTAAAAGATAAAAATGGTTACTGTAGGTTACCCTTAAGAGATAGACATATGCCACTACGAACTTTTTGTAGTTCTTTTTAAGAAATAGAATTTCGTAGTACGTCATGTTGGTCTATCTCGTAAGGATTACCCAGCGTTTGCAATGTAAGCGCGAAAACCCATGTTGTTCCCTACAAATCTTTTAAATTCTCTTATTTTTTCTACTGTAATATGCATGTATTATACATATAAACCTTTCTCTTAATTTACTTCCTCTGTTGTTGAAAACCGCATTAAAATCCGTTGCTTAGTTTAAAAGATAGAAGCGTACAACACAAACGACTTTATTTCATACTATGTAGAGATATTATTCATAGGTAATAATGTAAAGAGTATTTTTTGTAATATCTAAGCAATATCATCATAAATAATAATAATATAGTCGGTTCTGATGTGAGGTGCCCTTGACAGGAGAGTCCGTACGCTGCTGACAGCAATTCGAATGCACCAACCACGTTCATCGGTTATGAGATTGTATATTCTCTCTATCCTATGGTCTATGGTCCCTATTAGGTGTATAAAAATCAAGGTCCTGAGTCAATAATAATATGATAAAAAGATATGGGCAAATTTCAATTTTCGAAAACTTGTAAGTACCAAAATTTACCTTAATTTTAAACTTTTTTTATTTTTCAGAATTTTCTCTTTAGTTGTGCTGTAAGACCTTGCTTTTATCCAAAATTGACAATTCTAGGTCAACCGGAAGTACCCTATAGGTTTTGGGTCGAAAACCTTATGGTAATCCCCGTTGACCTAGTATCACGAAATTTGGAAACGTCGTACAGCACAAATAAAGGAATAATTCAAAAAAAAATAAAAAAGTTGAAAATTAAGATACATTTTGGTACTTACAATTATTCTCAAAAATCTACGTAGGTACGGAACCCTCGGCGCACGAGTTCGACTCGTACCTGACCGGTTTTTTTTGTATATACACACGTATATTAAATATGGAAAACACCCAAACTCCGAAACAAAAACTTGTAGATCATACAAACATTTGGTCCGCCTTAGGAATTGAACCCTAGACCTCAGCACAGCACTCGCATACGTTACCACTGCACCACCGAGGCAGTCAAAACATATGTTCTCTCGCAAACCTTCATAGGAATGTTTGAGTAATAGCTTATCATTAGAGACCATGGTTATATTCTTGGTTCAAAATGAGAAAATTAGCACTTTCCCATTCCACAGAAGACAAATCAGTCACAAGAGAGCAAGTCGATCTCCGGTCTCCGTGAGCGCTTGCTCCATAAGCGTTTATAAGCGTTTTCTAGCACAATAGCAGAAACAGGCCCGAGACGGTGGCGCCATGTTCCGCGTGTGTCTTTCTGTTTTACCCTCTGAGTCAGATTCCCCGACCGACACACAGGATCGCCTGTTTGTTAACAAGTAATGCGAGGTTACTGACTGGTCTCACATGTGTTTTTTCTCGAATTTACATCTCAGGCCTTGAGAATGCGGACTCCGTACCTCTTGTGACTCCTCTTTACGCGTAGAATCTTCTTCAGTTCTAACGCTATCTTCTTTTTTTTTTCAGCATCGAAATAAAAAGAAAAAATAATAATTTATTGCCAAATAGTGCATACAATATTGTGCGTTACACTGGGGCCTCACACTAGGCAAACCAGCCCTGTGGGTGATCAGTGTCATTTTCTGTGCAATTTGAGAAGTGTTGTTATTATTTTTTAATTTATATAATTATGAGGTCCACTAATATCACAGACATTTGTGTTAGTACAACCTTCACTAACTAATTAACTTACAATATTTACATGTAATTTAGTAAGGATGGTTCTTTGATGAAACCAGAATGTGAATGCTTGGACTTTTAAGCGTATTTTTTTGTAGTTTTACTAAACTATATAAATACCTAAAATATTTTTGGCATTAGTAATATACTGCATTATATCGGCTTTCGTAAACGGATAGGAAATATTTTCTAGGCTATATTTAAGTAATGCTTCCATCATCCATGCACGTCCAGCTTCCAAATATTTCCTTTCGACCGTTAATGTTTGGCTTAGCACGTAGCAGTCACTAGCTGTCATTGGTGAACTGGAATTATTATATTATTCTTATTGATCATTTAATGTTATTATTATATTAGCAATATAACTCTTTACTTAGAACACAGGTGTTCTCAAGTGCAAAATTGATTAGCTTTAATTGTTTTTCAATTTTAGACTTAATTGTGGGAATACTTGATAAAATAAGTTTTATAAGAGAACCACCTCAAAATCTAAAAATAAAATATTCTTTAAAGTAGCTCAGAAAGCAATATCAACTAATTCAATAGTAAATTGTATCTAAGTTGAGGCGTTGAAAAACCATAAAAAGTTTTTAATGGGTTCATCCATTAAAATTAGTGTTTACTTACTCTCCATGGAGTATAGGTATCTCGAAAGGATTCTAGAATATTCTTTACTTTCATTTTGTTTACCTGTAAGCTCTGTTGTTTATATTTCCGTTGGCAAGATCCCTTACATCCAAATTGTATGTCTTTTGTAACCTAAAGAGCGCTTCGGCAGCACCTATTAGATCATTTCGATCAGGGTAAACTGTTCTTTCGTGGCGCAATAATACATTTAATACATATTCTGAAAAAAAAAAACATTCCAATTGTTTAGAAGTATATAGGGAAAGTCTCAAAGAGAATAATGATTCTTACTTCTTCGTTCTTATATATATCATAATTTAAAAAGATGAGAGACCTTAAAGGTAAGATTACTCGATGTTCTTGTTCTAGTGGCCTCGATAAACACAGGACGGGCATACAAGTACGTCACCCAGTCTATTTGAGCTACTAAAGTCTCGAGCTCGCTTTCCCATTTGAGACAAGCGGTATACTTTATCCCAGCTACCTAGGTATGTAACAGGTATAGACGTTTTCCAAGCCATCATTTACCTTTTTTCTTTGTCCCACTCGAAAACAATTACATTTTGTAACGGTGAATCGTCTAACAAGAGTAGTTTGAGTTGGTCCATCTACAAAATTTCGATATCGCCTAGTATTTGAATTTTGGAGGTCTGTGGCCTGAGAGTTGTGGTGGCAATCGCTCCTCTTAAAAAAATCAACCGTGTCGTATTACACTGAAAGCCGATCCCAACATAGTTGTGAAAAAGGCTTGGAGGATGTTGAATCGTCTAACACAGATTTTCCATAATCCACTATTTAGGTTAAGTGACTTAGTCTGCAGGCTGCAATGAGTCCTGTCCAAAAGATGCTGCTTCTTGTACCTATAGTTTATTGTTTTGGATTAAATAACACTTCATTTACATATGTATGTATATAATAGTTATTCTATCGTACTCATTTGCCTTTATCTTAATATAAAACAGACAGATCTACAGTCATTACATCCTATATTTCTTAATATATTATGGTTAAGTAATATACTAAAAATAGTGAAATATTACATATTTTTACATTTTTAAATGTAGACGAAAACAATAAAGATAATTACCTGATCCTTTTCTTACTATTCGGCATAAATAATTCAGGTCGGATACCAATCTCTTTATGATAATAAAAGCATTAACTGGGTTACTCAAATATTTAGGAACGTCCTTCATCGCATTTACCTGTTCTCTTGAGTAGAGATCCAAATACCTAAAATCACAATAATGAAATATAAAAAAACAACACTAGTTTTAAAAATTAATATTCAATTAATTTATTTTGATTCTTACCCCTTGATTATAAAGAGCTTTTTCTCTTGCATTTCTACATATGGTTCTAAGTTATCTATAAACTTTTTATGGCCATCTAACAAACTTTCAAAGTCTGCCACTGCAGTAAAAATTTCTGCATATGACATATGCAGGCATATCACGCCAAGATTGAAGAATAGTAGAAAAACCATTGTGTGAAACTTACAGTAAGCTATTAGAATCAAATCCGATATACCAAAACAGTTTTACGTGTATTTTCCATAAAAATATTAACTTCATTTAAAACACACGACAAACGATATTTGTCAAAACTCAATTAAAACTGCGCATTTTAATTTATATAAAAATTTACATAACATGAAACTTAGTAAACGATATTTGAAATATTTTTCTGTATTATTCAAATATTGATAGTTTCATATTACAATTAATTATAAGATTGTATTACTTACTGCCAGTAGTATTTACAAGCGCCTGTTTCGCAATATCGACATATCGATTAACTTCATTTTAAAACTACGATAAAAAATAATAATACTACGATTTTAACAGTTGTATTTGCATATTAAATTAACGATACATATAAATTTGTTACTCACATATACACACATGTCGTCATTAAAGTTTTTTAATGTCAATTCCATATATTCTGACTCTTTGGATCTTTCAGGTGTATAGATGTCGGCCATCCGCAAATAGCTATTGTTTTCATCATCATCAGCCTATCGCAGTCCACTGCTGGACATAGGCCTCTCCCATTGCACGCCACTTAACATTAACATTGTTTTGTACAACATGAAATTTTATTGAGAAAAGGAGGTATAATTGATATCAATAGCTTAGTCTATCGGCACCGTTAAGCGATCAACTTCTGACGACTCGTAAGGCTATTTTTTCTATGCAAAAAGTGTAGTTACGTTGAATGTATATCTATAATTTAAATAAGGTCTTCTTGGAGATTTTTTATTTAAAATGATTTTTTTTTTTGAACTTATACAAAATTATTTTCTACTTTTTAGTTCGCCTAGGTACAAAAGCGTGTTTTTAGTTTTTTTTAACTATAATTTATTTTAGGTAATCAACATACTGGTCCAAATTATCTATACAATTTTGCTATTTTGATAGCAATTTACTGGAGAAGCAGACTCCGACAGCCGAAGTCAGCAAAAGCGTTTTTTACTGGCTTTACGTTTAAATTTGGAAAAAAAACAGAATCTCTTGGGGCAAGGTCCGGTGAGTCCGGACAAAGCCTTTGAATAAAATTAATTTGAATTTCGGATTTGAAGATAGATAATTAACTCTGAAAATGCTATTTTTTTTAAATCTTCAACAGGTAAATACCTATTATTTATTATAATATAATAATACATTTTTACAGATTAATAAAATCCGTAATATTGTAAGTAAAATTTCACCGCTTATGTTGGAATGTTAAAATCTAGGTCTTATAATAATTTACACGTAACTTACTCAGGTAACTAACTATAGGTTCAGTAATGTTTATGGGCCTCAATTCTGCTATTTTATGTTTACGCCAAGCCACTGTCATACCACTGACACGCTATTGAGATGCCATCGAGTGGTCATTGGCATCGGTATAAATATCGGTAGTTAAAAATATATTACGTTTTTTGAGGAAATGATTTACATATTTATTTTTATTATAATAAATTATTAAAAGAAATAAATAAACAAAAAAAGTTATAAAAAAATTAAATTATAAAAAAAAGAAATAAATAAATTATTAAATTAAAAAAATAAAATAAATAAATCATTTCCTTATAATTTGAAAATATATTACGTTTTTTGAGGAAATTATTTTTTTATTTTTATTATAATAAATTATTAAAATACTAAAAATAAATTATTAAAAAAATAAAATATAAAAATTATAAAAAATATATATTAAAATAAATAAATAAAAATAAAAAAATAATTTCCTCAAAAAACGTAATATATTTTCAAATTATAAGGAAATGATTGATTTATTTTAATTTTATTTTATTTTTGTTTTTTATTTTAATAATTTATTTCTTTTTTTTATAATTTTATGTTTTTAATTATTATTTTAATTTTAATATTTTTTTGATTTCTTTCTTTTTAATAATCATATGTTTTCAATAATTTATTTTAATTTATTTATTTATTTTAATAATTTATTATAATAAAAATAAATAAACCATTTCCTCAAAAAACGTAATATATTTTCAACTACCGATATTTATACCGATGCCAATGGCCACTCGATGGCATCTCAATAGCGTGTCAGTGGTATGACACTGGCTTAGCGTGAACATAAAATAGCAGAATTGAGGCCCAGGAGACTGGTAGTGCTAGCCTGCACTCTGTACAACAATGACGACGCACGCTTGCACCCACCTGCTTCAAAACCATCAAGATGCGCATCCGCAAACGTAACTGAAGCGCTATAGAAGCAAGACAACTGCAACAGCATCCTGAATACATTTTGATACTGAACTTGAAGAGTCAACTGGTCCAAAGACCGCACGTAAAAAAATTCTGGCAGTATTCTTTAAAAAGACTAATTTTCAGTTCAGCAGTGCAGCGTGCAAACCTTCGGACAAGCATAGTATCCCCAACTGCGACTTCTCTCCTTTCCCTTTCTACATCACAAGCATCTTTAAAACTGTCCATTACAATATGATCCCGATTTTAAACTTATGGACACGGTTCAAGACACCTCCACTTAAAGTGACAGGACGGTAATTTTCAACACCTTGGTTGGCGTCCCAAAGATAAGCAACTCGCTTCATAGTTGTTACTTTATTTAAGCAATACTTCTAACTTAATTTTAAATTTCTCCAACACAATGCAGTGTAGGGTAATTTGATGGTCTCTTTTCGTACTCGAAGTTAGAGGGCTTGGCCTTAAGGTAAACACTGTAGAGATGCAGTCTAATCTAAATACAAAGTAAGATTATGTTAAAAAAAATCCTCAACAAATAGAACGCGTTTATTCGAGCTATATCTTACATACAATATATGGCACGAATGAACACGTAGGATGAAAAAACATCTTTCATTTTTAAGGAAGGTTTTATTATATCACTCCTAAAACGACTGAGTTCTTCAATCAATGTCCGCTCAAACTAAGCACTGGGATATCCGTTGTACCCCCTTCAGACACGTTCAGAGTCGCCGTGTGCATCTGCGCAGCAAAAAAAAATGAGTTTAATGTATATATGTGAATGATACAGCATATTTTTTTTTATGATTACTGGGCAAACGAGCAGACGGGTCGCCCAATGGAAAGTAACTAACGTAACAGGAGTCACGTTGCCGACTTGTGAAATAGGAGTACGCTCTTTTCTTTAAGGTTTGAAGGTCGTATTGGTCCGAAAATATCCCAGGTGACAATTTGTTCCACAGATTAGCTGTGCGAGAATTTTTTTTTGAAAAGCGCACACAAGTAATGGTGATGAAAGTTTTATCGCGTGGTAAAAGAAACAAAGGAAAACCATAGGCATGCTGGGAAGAAAGGAGAAGCTCCATTAGTTGATCGTTGACAAGTATAGAAGTTAAACGACTGCATGGATGGCGTAGTAGTTTAAGTTGGTTCGATCCCCACAAGGGACATCACTTTGTATGATCCCCAAATTTTTGTTCTGAGCCTGGGTATTTTTTGTGTCCGTTAATTAATATAAGTAAAGTTCCCCGTGATACGATATATTCCTAGTGCTGGAGCTGTCTTTAAAAGAAACAAAACTAATTAAGGGTATTAAATTAGTAGTAACTTAAAGCAATGTAAAAATAAGTAGTAGACGATGAAAGGCTATGTTATCTTTATTTGATTTTTACATTTAACATTGGAATAACGGTTGATATAGCGGGCAAACAAGTTTCGTCACTTACCCACATTGTCTTTTTATTTCCAATTCTGTTTTGATAGTCTAAGGCAATCTGTTTCACTCGAAAATTACTCGGATACAAAACGAGTATTTCACGTATCCATTGTAATGCACCTTTTAGATCTCCTGTAATAGGAAATCAATAGAAATCGATCGATCGCCTCCCTTTATATATCACTTATTATAAATAAACAATCATGCCCAATACGAGTATTGGTATGAGATTTTTTGTGTATTTAGAACCTGTTTTAATTACAGAGAAGTAACAGTTACACAAAAAAGTAGTAAAATTTAATATGTAAAACTAACCTACCTAACTTATCAAACGATACACGTATGTACTCAATTATAGAAGTTATATATCGAGGGACAAGTGGTTTCTCTTCCTTGAATTTACGGAGAGCTTCAAACATCCATGTAATACTATTTGTTAAATCTTCTGCATGGTATAACGCCCGCCCTAGTTCATAGCAGTCCCATGATGTCATTGGAGAACTAGAAATAAATAAAAAGGCCTAGATAAGACAGTCAAAATATCTGTAGAAGTTAAAGAATTAGTAGTAGTAGTAGTTACAAACCATAGCTTTTCAAAACTAGACAAATTCGTCATTCTATCAATATTTATTAAACCATAACACACTTTTTTTTAAACAGTAATGCTAATTCTCTTTAAATGAAAATTTGAAGCATTTGCCGAAAACCGAAACTGAACTTTAGAATGAATAAAAAGTTATGAACTGAACCTGGTCCATATCATACCATAGTATATTATTGCATACATGTTTCAATGCACTAAATAAAGTATCAAGCTAAAAATAAATTCCCAGTACTTGAGCGCAAAGAAGAGTGCTTTCCTAAAACTGTGCCAAAATAAATGCCCATGTATTACCTATAAACGATACCATATAATTTCCCGTTAGCAATTTCTTTAATATCCTCATTGTATATATTTCGAAGATTATTGAGGGCTTTTGCTGCGTCTATTAAATCTTTCACTGAAGGGTACTTCAGGTTCTTGTGATGTCTATTAATATTCTGTGCGTAGTCTGGTATAAGAATAATCAATTATAATATTGAGAATTATTTAATACCAAAAACGTCTTAAAAGTGAAAACAATTATGTATCGATCTATTGTTAATATGCGTATTTAAAACTTGTTTTAAAATATTATCGATGGATTGAAAGTTACATAGATATTAACGAGTGAAACTAAATAGAACTATACTTATGACGATATTACTGTTTTTTTTTTCCTCGCGGAAATCCCCTCGGATACCACTCGCATGTCGGACTCGAACCGACTAAAACCGCACGCCGTCTCGGGTACTAATAGCCGGGGAACCAGGTATGACGATATTACCTAAGGTATAATATAATTCAAACAAAAAATTAGTGCACAAGCAACAGCTGAGATGTAGCAAAGTATGGCAACATTAGTATGACAGTAACATTCAATCCATAATATTATATTAATACTGACCGACCTGACGACTGAACGAGTGATACAAGAATCAAAAAAGTTACTTACTCAAGTATCAATTAATTTATTTGTTTCATGCGATCTTCTCTTTTTATTAATAACTTTTAATCTGACCCTTATTGTCTTTTATCACAATCACAAGTCTGTCTAGTCTATATTTAAATAAATGTTAAGTTGGTTTGTATACGCTTCAAAAACTCAAAAAGTTCAGCACCGATTGAGCTCAAATTTTGACTTGATATACAAACCATTTCAAAGGTTGGCTTTATCTACTCTCCCCGCCTCTTTTGTTCCTCATTCCTTATCAATGCAGCCCCAATGTGTCTCATCAAAGCGTAGCTGGGTACAGCTAACTAGCTTATACTTATTATATGAGAAAACAATGTCTTAAATTAAACATTCATATAACATTCTTTGGTTTACAATTAAAAAAATCTTCAAATATAAAATTTAGAAAGTGAAGAAGACTTAAAAATTAGAAAAGTTGTTAAAAACTTAAATATATTTTACCTGACCCACCCCTGATATACAATTTAATGTAGTGCATGTCTAATGTTAACCTCCTTATAAGGGTGTATTCATTGATTGGATTACCCACGTATTTTGGAATATCTTTTATCGCTTTCTCATGCTCTCTTTCAAAAATATCACTATACCTAAGAATTAAAAATTAAAATCTTTAATTTAAAGGTAAAAAAGATAAGTTTTTAATGAATCTTTACTGTAATCAATTATATTTTCTATAATTCATAATCTAGATTTTAATTACGAAAGATAGAGCTTCCGTACTTTCCCGCAACAACAAGTGTAAGATACTGCTATGGGACCTTTACTACGATCCTTTTACTTCCATTGTCTTCCCTCCTTTTACCTGTCTTTTCCTATCAATTTTTCCACCCATAAACCCAAAGTGACAAAGCGTGTGGCTAAGTGGTAACCGAACAGGTTAACACAAAGATAAGCAATCCGAACCAGGTTAGTCTATGGACGGGTGACCATTCTTAATATATTAAGACGACACCGTATCTCGGGAACACGTTAAAACGTTGGTCCCGATTGCCATACGAACATCTGTGGCAATCGCTACGGGTAGTTACAGCCCTAAAAAGTCCAATAACAGTCTTTCTACAGAACTTTGATATCGCCCAGTACCTACTTGAGTTATGAAGGTCTGATGGCAGTTGCACCTTGTAAAAAATTGAAGTTCAGTCGTATCTTAGTAGACTTAAAGCCGATCCCAGCCTAGTTTGGGAACAAAGCTTGGATAAAGAAAATACCCAAAGTTGCGTGAGTGGGACCAAACTATCTTTGACAAAATGTGATAACTATAACAGGGCGAAGAAGTATAAGAGGGATGAGTAAATGTATGTAATCTATGAAACTTACCTCTTTAGGAGAGACAACCTATTTTCTTCTACTTTAACATATGATTCCAGATCTTCTGTCAGTGCCTGATGAGTTTCCAACAAATGTTCGACTTTGGATGTAAGACTGTATTTATCTGATCCCACTTTCAAGCCAAGATATATTAAAAAAGCTAAACACGTTGAAAATAACATATTGGAACAAGCATTCCTATTTACGAAATACCTGTAGAAATGTAGTGTAGTGAGTTAGTAAATTTTGCTTTTTACTAAATAGCTTTATTTTATATATAGTTTGCCTTTTAACTTCGCTATATAAAGGTACATATAACGAAGTTAAAAGTTTATTTTAGTTTTGGCCTACTTTGCCAACCCGGTTGTCAGCGTGATATAGTAGGCCAAAACCTCCTTTCTAAAGAGAGGCCTATGTCCAGCAATGGACTACTAAAGACTGTGTCGATGATAATGATATATATATATATATTACTGCCAATTTTAAAAAATACACATCAATAACATCTATTTAAGTAGCGGGGAAGATGGGAAATCTTGACTCCATATAAATTAACCCTATAAATTTTAACGGTTCATTTTTTGAATCATACCCTTATTATTTTTAAACGATCTGTTCAATAGGATAAACGAAAAAAAAAGCATTTAGGTTCTTTTAACTTTTAGAGGCGGTATTTTATAATTTATGAGCTACAGAATTTAATCAGGAAATTATAATTGTAAAAGCTTATGAGATGACGTAAATAAAAAAAATTATACCACTTTACTGTTATAACTTATATTCAACACTCTTCCACTCAGTAGCGTGTCCGTGTATGCGTATTGTAGTAATACAATGTGAATCACGTACAAAATGGGTCATTATTCAATTGTATAGCGAATCAAATTACTGAACCATAATACATCAAGCGCTCTGTAAAGTTATGTTTTCACTGCGAATGAAAATCATAATAGTTTGTGTGGAATAATGTAAAATGCTTGAATGATAAATTGGCTTTAATATTTTGTTTTATTGCGGATAATCTTTGAGAGTTAAAGGATATGTACATATGTTTATTTATTTAAATACGAGTAAAATAGAGCTGAATGAAAACTTATTTCTATGCATTAAGAAGAAACAAATGATTTTCTTTTCATTTATAGACAAGGCTAGATTCAGAAAAAACTATCTATACATTCTTGATGCGTATCGGATTCCCTTTCCGCCACCTTTTTTCGCGAGATGACTTCCTCGCAAGAGTACACGACCGCGGTAAAAATCACTGCCGGCCATGGAGCGTAGGTTGTCCGGAAGCGAGAGATCGATTCTTACTACTTCAGAGCCGTACAAGCCTCGAGCGTATGTTGCACCGTGTCTTCAATTCCCTTCTGGCAGCCGAGTGCAGGTACTTTCCAAGGTAACCATGTCCAATATATCTAATATCATATATATCTAATAAATCCTAGGCCTATGTGGTCAATAAATACATTTCCAGTTGGGTAATTAGCCCTAGGTGTCTCTGCTCGGTCCGTTCCAGTTCTTGGTCTTAAACGACATCGGCGAATGCTTCCATCACTCTGAACTGTCGAGCTTGCAGATGACATGAAAATATTTAAAACTGACTTACAGGCTAATTTGACTCGGTTGGATGATTACTGTAGAATAAATCTTCTTGACTTTAATCTTTCAAAATGTTCCGTTATCACATCCAATAGGAAATTTAACTCTGTCTTCTCTGACTGCGTTTTAAGGGAACAGAAACTCCAAAGATGCTTTGATGTATGCGATGTCACAGCTCTAAATAATCCTTTCAGGAGCACATAGACAGTAAAATATCTAAGGCTTCTCAGGCATGGGGCTTCGTGATGTGTGTCAAGTGAATTTAAGAAAGCCCAAAATATGAAAATTTTATATTGCACGAATGTTCGTGGTATTTTAGATTAAGTTAGTCAGATTTGGAACCCACGTTGTGATAAATACATATCTTGTACTGTGAAAATTCAAATGAAATTTATAAAAAGACTATTTGAAACTATGCGCCTGGTTCATAGTCTCTCTCTTAGTTTACGGTGTGAAATAGCAGACGTTACGTTTCTATTGATTATCATATGGGGAGGTGTAGATTAGCTTATATAGATTAGTTTATCTACATTCAAAAATCACCTTTAAAGTTCCCACTAAAGTTTCAAGACACCACACTTCACTTTTCTGTGGCGAGCGAGCAACACGATTAACCAAAAATGTGAACATTTAGAACTTGACATATTTGTGACTTGTCAGCAATCGGTGAAACGGGCTCTTAGTCTTGAGTTCTTTTCAGAATTCTAATTAAGTGTTGTAATTCTTTCTTAAACGTGTAATAGTCTTAAATACTACATCCTAGCACGTACTTATTGCAAACTGTTTTCTATTCGTGAAGACCTGTTAATGGCTGAGTGTAACTTATAAAATCTATACTAATATTATAAAGAAGTAAAGTTTGTGTGTTTGTATATTTGTTAAATTGTAATGGGTAATCTCGGGATCTACTGAACCGATTTTAAAAATTCTTTCACCAATAGAAAGCTACATTATTGCTGAGTGTCATAGGTTATATAAAAAAACGCAAAAAGAAAAGCTTTTACGTGGTAGTCCGTTTTGCAAAGCGAATCGGAGAAAAAACGATCGAATGAAAGCGTTTCTTACGAACGCTGCCTTAACTATGAAAGATATATTTTTGAGTTCTAGAAAAAAGATGTGGAGCTTGAAAATGCCTACAAAAAAGTCAACGACAGCATATGTCTAACTTTTATATTTAAGTTACAAAAAGTAGCACTCCACCTTTAAGCTACCTCTGACAGTCTCACTAGAGGAACAGTCAGTTTGTTCCATACGTAAAAATGGGATAATCGGGAAACTTTTACAAGAAACATCTTTAATTATATGGGACGGATGTACCATGAGTCATAGAGCTCATGTTGAAGCAGTAAACCGAATGCTCAAAGACCTCAGAAACTCTGATGCTGTAATGGGTGGCGTTACTTTTGTTTTCGCGGATGATTTTCGGCAAACACTGCCTGTAGTAACAAAAGGAACACGCGCCGATGTCATCAGAGCATGCTTAAAATCATCTCACTTATGGAGTTCGGTTGCATCTCTCAATTTACGAACAAACATGAGAGCCCATTTGAGCGACAACGACGATGACGACTTTCCGCGTCAACTACTCAATCTTGGCGAATAAGAAATTGTCTCTCCTAACACCAACAGCAATTACATTAAACTTGACGAGACATTAGGACACAGAAACGATACAGTGAATGAAATAAATAAACTCATTTTAGAGAAAATTCCCGTTCAGGTCAAACACTATCAGATTCCCACTGATTTACCCATACCGTTTAAAAGGCAACAGTTTCCAGTGAAGATCTCTTGTGCCCTCATTATTAACAAGTCCCAAGGTCAAACATTCTCTAAACATTCTCTCTGGTGGGCATTGACCTGAGAAAGCCGTGTTTTTCCCATGGGTAGTTATATGTTAGCTTATCTCGGGTTGGAACTCCTGATAGACAATATATTTTGCTACCAAATGATAACATTACATCCAATATAGTTCACAGAGAAGTTTTGAACAATTAAAATTACCATAACCAAACTAACTTTTCCCGCGACTTGGTCCTCATGGAATTCGTTTATCGCAAATCCCGCAGAAAATGTTTTTTCTTTCGGACAGAGTTACTTTCGAATTTTGTATTAGCATGCAAATACAAACTATACCTACGTATAACCCTCCTTTTGGCAGTTAGAAATTAAAACATAATACTCTGTACTAAAAAAGGGTTATTAACATTATGCCCAACGAAGTGGGCACGGGTCAGCTAGTATTAAATAAATTTGTAAAGCTTGTCTTCGTCATTCGGAATGCAAGATTAAAGAGCAAGCGAAGGTGCTGGTCGAAGTGCTACCTTAAGTCTAAAGCGAGTCTAAATGTTTTATAGGAGGCCTGACCGATGCAAGGACCGAACGGACTGCGATGGAAGCTATTAAGGGGCAGACGTCGATGGGGTCCAAAGAAGACAATAGCCTCCGTTCCTCCGTTCTCCCTTCTCCCACCCTTAGTTTATCTCGACTGATGCAGGATACAATTAGACTGACTATAAGAATTGAAAAGCCTTGTATTTCAGTTTTAAGCGAAACCTTCATGCGTGAAAATCCAGAGTACCTTACTCGTATTCTCTTTATATAATTTTGAATGCAACAACACAGTGACAACAGTGACAATCGGAGTCGACCTTCTCAATCTGAAGAGATGCAGGTGCGCGGCGGTGATCACTTACCATCAGGCCACCTGACTGAACGTTTGACCTCCCAGACCAAATAAAACAGTGGTATGTAACAGTCTTATAAAGTTAATAGTAGAGTAGTATGATCTAAACTTAGAGTTCCTTTTATATTCAGATTTCACTGTTGGATTAAAGTTAAACTAATATGTAGAAACAACTTAAGTGTAAAAGTTTAATACATTGGTGACATTGTGAAACTAGGTTTACATTACGCTGCACTTGGTGCAGATTCATATATTTCCTTGCTTATGTCGACAAAAAGACAAATGTGTACAAAATAATGTATACATTGCTTCTCGAGTTAAAAATTGACCTTTATTGAAGTTCAACGTATAGATCAACAAGCTATTGTGTCAATCCACAATCCAATACTGAATTACTTCGTGGAGCTGTACTTCCTGGAAATCTATGATTATCAAAGTATTGAACGAGTACAAAGAACGTTCTTAAAAGTAATAACTCGCCGCCCATTTTGTTTTCCCATAAACCTCTTGTACGATCATTGTATTGTTTAACTGTCAGCTAACTTTGTAAATAACATAACTTTATGAAATAATAGGTCGAGGAAATAGTTATTTCGTATTTTGTATGCCTGTCGTGTGTTTGTATCGTGATGGTTTTTATATAGGAAAATGAAAAAAAAAAATATTAAGAAAAATAAAAAGTAAAAGTCGCTTGCCCGCGATTTACTAACTGTTTTTCTGTCCCCCAAAATGAGTCAATCTATCGAAGAAATTCGATTAGATTGATTCACTTTATATACGGTACGAGTTTCATTATCATCCATCATACATTACTAGGGGTACAGAATCTGCCGTTCTCCTTTGTGTGTTTGATCAGATTTCCGTCTTTCTATCTAGACCACCATTTTGTTATTTACACAGTTGACTTTTTTAAGTGTAATGAACTATTAGCCATTGTTGTCGAGCAGATTTTCTTTCCTTAACAAATAGAAATTATTACCTCAAAAAAAGTATTAACGCCTAAGAATATCACTTGTACACGCTCAATAATTGTAATTAGCTTTTTCATAAACCACCCTTAGATAAAGAATATTATCATAAATAATAAAAATAATCATAGTTGCATTTATTTCAAGGTGAACATTATATTCAAAATTGTTAATTGTGATTATGCCTGGTAGATACAGGATCGGGCATTTTGTGGAGGATGTCTTGTGCTTGGTACTCCAAGTTACAGGGCCTGCGGTATTCTTGTGTCCCCCCACTCATGGATCCATTTTGTGGATACTACAAAAATATAAGTAGATATGGTCTTCTTTTTTTTTAAATAAACTGTAGGGTTGATGTAAAGAAGTATATCTTTTTTGAGTCATTAATGCACATTTATAACACTGTAACAACTTTTAACAATAACGATTTAATTTCATGATATCAGCAAATAGGTATTTAGACATTTATACTATATTGATCTTGTTTTGTGTGGAGCTATTGTGATGTTCTGCTGGTCTAGAAATAGAACTATTATGTTTGAAAATATATAGCATCTCAATTAACACAAAGGCTGGAATGGATAAGGGTTGATGAAATGTCAATTGGATTTGATTGAGGTAATTTAAGTGAGTGAAAGTAATAAATTAGGTCAGTTTTTTTTTACAGATCATATTATTGATAACTTATGAAAATTTCTATGTCGATTTCAAATCACAACTTTTCATGTTTTGATGGAATGTGTTCGGAACTAACAAATTATAGAACGCCTGCTTAGTGATAAGTTGATGGCCATTAGAAAATGTAACAGTATCCTGGCCGTTCCTTTGACAGATACAGCTAAGGCTATTTGCACTTTGTATTTTCAATACTTAAGTTTAGTTTTAAACAAAAAATGGCCGTGATGGAGCGACATAGTCATCATTGTGGCTAAGCTCCGTAAATAAATACAAAAAATAAAAATTCACAACTTAAAAAAATGTTATACCCTTGAGTATTCAATTTCAGTTTTGGCTTCAGACAGAAAGCGATAGTACCTACTACAGAACTGCTTTGACAGTATAAAGTTGTGGCCGGCATTAAAGTAAATTCAAAGTAGGTGCACATTACTGTTAAATATTGAATATACATATATGTATATACAATACAACAACGGTTACTATAGATCAAAGTAAGTTTTTTTATGTAAGACAAGATGTGACATCTCAATGAAATTTACGCTTCTGCAATATCCTGCACAGCTCACAGGTATTGGTGCTGAATTGATGATGTAGTGGGGCCAAGAGAGCCCTGAATCCTAGAGTGATATATTGTCCAAAGATTTGATGAGAAGATTGAGATACCTAGTATATTACTCTGGTGTACTGGCTAAGGCTTTATGAGATTCAGATTTAGCCGCATATATACTCGTAGAATAAACCTGGTTGATCAACTTCTGGCTGAAATACTTAAGTTTCTTTAAACTTTAACAAGTTACTTTACTTAATAGTAAATACTGTTTTCCTGGATAGGCGGGTACCATCTACGACTATATCTTCACTTTTAATCAAGTGATTTGGAAGATAAACGAAGATGATTATATTGCTCCATAAAATTATATGTGGATGGAATAAGAAATAAATCTCCCGCAGATCCTAGAGAATGGAAGCGAGGGAACTACTTTGTAACAAATTCCGATAAGCATTCAGTTCATTCCTAACTTACACAGGGAAAAAGTTCTTGATCATTTTTTTCTGCTTTCACCAGAATATTGGATTCATTTGCACCCAGCTACTTCCAGGGATATAAGGCAAACGATGAAAATCCATAACGTAGACTGCTCTGCCTAATAACCAATTATTAAAAGCGGACCAGTAAATTACTTATTGTATATATTTTTCTTACATTTATACTAAAAAACATCATCATCAAAACATTGGAATATGTATTAGTCTTCTGTTATATTGTTATTAGTTCTGTCTAAATAAGTAACCGTGGCCTGTTTAACATCAACAAAGCTTCTTCTTTCTGGGTGTCTTTAATATGGGGCCTGGGTGCTTGCCCAGACATCCTTCTTCTTGGTATTCTAGATTGCAGGGTTTTATGAACTCTTGACCCACTTCGTGGATCCATCTAGTAGCCACTGTAAAAAGCATATTTATGAATTAGTATCTAAACTCGGACTAGTTACCCAGAGTTGAGCTATTTTACATTTTACTCTTCACCATTACAGCTAAAATATAGGTTCGTACCCCATTTGGAGCCGGTCAGTACAGGACATGCAGCGTGCAACATGCAGTGGTTGCGCTCTCCTGACGGGTGTAAATTGAGCCAGTAAAGTGCGTGGCCCTTCACAGGGAACTTGCTTACACCAAGCTTAGGGAATACTGTAGCGCCTCCTTGAGTTACATTTGACATCTACACATACATAATATACACAATTACAATACTACTACAATTCGTGTGCATGACATGGATTGTTGTTGTATTTGTTTCAAGTATTTCAGACAATTACGTTGCATTTGTTAATCGATCGATGAAAAGTTTATTTCTATAGGTTAATAGCTACGCCACTAGTCTTTTGTATAGGTGATTTCTAATACTATGTATTCATAGTCTAAACTAATACATATATTCTATATGTAGGTTTAGGACTTAATTGGGTGGCTGATTTCACTTAAAATGTGTATTTTTATGGATTTATTTCACATTTGTAGATAGACCATGATCCATGAATAATATAAAGTCCAGTGTTCATTTGAATCTTTATTTCTAAAGATTAGGTATATTTGCAGATAAAGCATGAGATAAGAGTATTGTTGAATGTCCATTCAACAATACTCTATTATTGCCTTTATTTTTCTGCCATCAATAACCATTATTTTTCTGCCATCAATAGCCATTATTTTTCTGTATAAGCACTACTTAAATTATAATAATTGACTTCTTATCATATTTAAAATCTATAACGTATTATTTTGTACAAGTACTCAATCTAACTTTAGATTACAGAAATCTAACCATTTCTAAATACTTACGTAAAACAGCACAGTAGCTATTCTGTTACCTCGGTCTTTTGAAGGCATATGCTGTAAGAATATAAATGTTTTTTTTATAAATATTTTTATCTTTATTTATTACCCTTTGGATGTTTATACAATGGTATATAAATCAGTTTATATACTGTTCTGTTGTTCAGCTCATATTATTATGGCAAAGCACACATTAATGCAAACAGCAAAATAGACCCTATCCGTTTTATTTTGCTCCTTTTAATACTGCATAATCGAAATGTTAGAGGTAGAGGAAAGAGTAAATCGATTGTAGTTATTTCTCATTTGTAATCCTGTTATGGCATTAAAAGCACTATGTGTGGAAAATTCATCAACAGATATTTGTTAACTTTGAAATTATCTCCAAAATTATAGTTTGGATCCTATTTATGATAATAATGTATCAGCAGTGGTCCAATGGTTAGTGATCCATGCTAAGCCAGAGGTGGTCAATTCCCACCCAGGCCGAATGGCGTAGTGGTTTGTGTAAGGGAATGTTACGCCAAAGGTCGCGGGTTTGATTCCCGCTTAAGTCAAACATTTGTGTGTATGAACATTTGACATATTTGATACACAACATATTTTATTTGGTCTGGGTTTTTCTATTTATATGTATATATTTTGTGTATTTATATCAGTTGTCCAATAATCATAGTACGGGCTCTGCTTAGTTTAAAACTAGGTGGTGTTGTGTATTATAGAATATTATTATTAATATTTAAAATGGTGACAATAAAATAATGGGGGCATTACACAAGTTTGTCACAGCATTGCTTACTTCAAAGAAATCATGATGCAAATTGTAGTATCCTGCAATACCGTAGTTGGCAACTTGCAAAGCTTTCGAGGAGTCTAAACTCAATCCCGTCATGTGTGTAACTCGGCGTGAGATGCGGGCGACAACATCTGATTCCTCGTCATAAATCCATGCCGATTTGCTGATACGTTGTTTTACGCTGGCCTCCTCGTTTGCAGATATATGAATTTCGGACCGAAAGAGCTGTGTAATAGATATAATTTAATGATTTTAAATTAAAAAGAAATAACCTTTCTATTCTAGAATATTTTTTTTTATATTAAAAGTACTACAATCAGTCGATTGTGAGGTTTCCTATACACCAATGTTAAACAAAAAACTTTTCTGGTTGTTTGTGATGTAATGACAATATGTAGGCTACCTCACATTTACAAAAGTTATGTTAAAGTTCATCTGAACTTGTAGGTTTTTCAAAAAGCTTTTAATATAAAATTAATTGTTCTCAGATAAGGCGGATAAAGGGCCTTAAAGGAGATCCTTCACATAAAGGACGTCTTTAGAACATAAGCCACACTTAACCTCTGGTTGAAAGGTTCTTTGATTTTATTATGTTTTTCGAAAATAGCCTACACGTACAGCCTACAGTAGATTAGATAAGATTTATAAATGCAAAACCTTGTATATATAATGTTTTATATATAAATACGAGTATATCACCTCGTAAAAAATAATTCGCAATAAACGAAAACAGGCTACTACTATGCGTTACGTATACCTGCGTGCGAAAATTGCGAGTTTTTTAAGAAACGATTATTACAATAATTAACCTTATTATGAGTTTTAGACAATCTATTCAATTATTTGTTTATTCACCTTGGTAACTTTAGAAAAAACAGGACGGAAACTCAAACGGTTGACGAAAAATTTGCAAGCATTTGTTATCTTAGAGCATGTATGCCCGCGTTTCTCTGTCTTTCATTATATTTAACTTAGTAATGGGATAATTTCTATCCAAATCCAATTTCATACTCACCCTCATCTTAGCCATTTCCACGACAGTATCAATTTCACTGTCACTTAACATGTCATGGAACAAAATTATGTCGGGATTAAGGTAAAGCATCTCTGTCTTTATAGGGGCTAACTTCGTAAAGGGATGATGTTCAGTCTGATAACGGCAAGTTAATCTGCATAAACTCAATATTTTAGAATGCCATGAACACATTGAGTATAATTAATATAGCAACAGAAGATGTTTTTTAAATAATAGAGATGTGATTCAAAGTAGATATTATAATATATTTCTTTAATGGAACTTTATTTACTCAGTTCTTTGTACACCATGAAAATATTCCTAATCAATTGCCGAAAAAGCACATTTGTAGTTGAAATATTAAACAAATTTAATGTTCTAGCAGTCAAGTATATCATGTTTACAGCTACACCATAACTAAATCAATCATCGTGCAACGTCATAGCAAAAAGGAGGAAAACCAAGACAAAGGCTTTGTGATTATACGTATGAACATCAACGATTGCGTTATACCTGCTAGATATTTCCATAGGCAATCCTGAATCTCCGCGACACAGCGGATTAACCGCAAACTCATGAGGGTCCTTCAGTAGTCGACGAAGCTCCTTTTCCTCTTGCATCTTAGATTGCTGTCAGTTAAAAATTATATAATGAAATATGTGTGTATCATATCCAACACAAGTAATATTTATATTACCTAGAAACCTTATATAAAATAGTGAACGATTTCTACTTGAAAAATAAATGCTTTAGAAAGCTACGCTTATACAAGAAACTGAATTTTTATCCATAGGAATTTAAAAGGAAAAAATAGTTAATAAATTAATGCTCTAAGATGCTCTAATTTATTTATTTTCCCTTTGTACAAGTAATAAATTTCATATTTCTGTATTTATGATTCATTTTCAAACACTTGACGGGCCTGTTGGTCTAGTGGTTAGTGGCCCTGACTGACCGGAGGTCGTGGGTTCGATTCCCACCCAGGACAAATATTGTGTGATGAGCACGGTTATTTGTTTTGTGTCTGGGTGTAATTTATCTATAATATGTATGTATTTAAAAATATATAAGTATGTTTATCAGCAGTCTGGTTACCATAGCACAGGCTCTGTCTAGTTTGGGATCAGACGGCCGTGTGTGAGATGTGTGAAGTTATTATTATTATTATTACTTCAAACTACTAGCCATCTAGCAGAATACACTGTGGAAGTAGTAAAATTAAAATTATTAATTATTTTAAAATTATCTCACAGAATATTAACGCAGTGGTAAAGTTTAAGAAAGTTTTTGCTTATTTAACCAGAGTCACGCGTTTAAATTACTTATGATTTTAAAACACTTTTTTTTTTCTTATCTGTTGGAGGATGTAATTTTTTGTCAACAGATAAAATAGATTGTTAGTAGTTTACTAAGGATTGGTTAGTGCTAATAAATAGAATGATATTTCTAAATATAACATTGACTTACCCATATGTTATATCTTGAATCTCTCATATTATTTCGACACTGCTGCTCTATTTGCCTAGCCCTAGAATTATATGGATCTATGTCATATAATTTCTGTATCCAATATAAGGCACTTTCCATATCGCCTGTAAATGTTATTGTAACTTGTAGCTGCGTGTTAGTAATTATAACTTTTATTATAAATGCAAATATATATTATAAATGAAATAATACTCAATCGATCATACTAAAATATTGTGTACACGTTATGAGGGATACAGAAAACACAAAGGAAAATCTACTCTGAGGGACAGTGTTTCTATTAATAATAAGAAACAGCTAACCTTCATACTTTCAATCGTTTTTACTCAGCTTAATGAACCCATTACCGATATATATGTCATTGAAGCACAATTGCGTTACCTGTTTTTAAATACCCGAAGCTAATATGCCCTAATATATCTATATCGGTGAATGCGTAATGTATTCCTTCAACGTTATACTTGCGAAAAGCTTCAAGCATCCATTCAAGTCCGTAGACGTAAATTTTCTTATCATACAAGACTCGGCCAAGTTCGTAGCAGTCACACGCTGTCATTGACGTACTAAAATAAAAAAAAACAGACCTCTACAGATTGAAAAATATTAAAATAACATGTAGTACAGTAAGAATGTTAGATGTAAAGAGAAATAAATAATTGTGAGTAGGAGTTAGGATACAGTATTCAAAAATTATCGCATGAAATACGTATTACCTGTAATCAATATCGTACAGTTTTCCTTTTGCAAGCTCTTTGGCTTCCATATTGTAGACATATTGCAATCTTACAAGTGCCTCTGCAGCACCTGCTACATCCTCCATCGTAGGGTATTTGTTAGCATATTGCTTATTTGTTATATCTTCTATGTAGGCTGAAGATTGTTTTAGAATTAATGGCGGGCAGGACGATTAAGCGTCGCGAGCAGTTAAAATGTATTTTGTATATATTTTACAATATTAAGTACTACATCACAAGCAGCACAGGTCAATGACAGGTGAATCCCGTCCCGCCCCGTCCGTCCGCAATGTGTTTCTACCTTGAACAACCGAGGAACTAGTGTCGCACTAATGACTTAGAAACCAAAAGAGTTCATATATCCGCAACACTCTTAATGTGACAATACAGTAATTAAAAATTAATTGCTCGACTCGATTTAGTGCTTGATATAACTTGTCTTCAACAGCCTATACTAGTCCACTGCTGGACATAGGCCTCTCCTTAGAAAGGAGGTTTTGGCCTACTATACCACGCTGGCCAGACGGGTTGGTATAGGGTTTGTTTCAAGTTTTCCTTCTCTTTGCAGTGCTGTTGACCTGCTTAGTTTGCTCCCTTAGTCGGCTCTTACGACACCCACGGGATGAATTGGGGTGGTGACAATTTGTATTCTTAATCCGTCACCACACGGACATGTGGTCCGTGTGGTGGTGTCCGTGCGGACATGTGGTGTGATGATGATAATTTGTCTTTGTCTTCATCACCATCATCAGTAACAGACCTGCTAGACATAGACCTCTCCTTAGAAAGGAAGTTTTGTTGACAGATTTAGTGGTTTTGTTATAGATCAAAGATGATTTCAGTAAAAAAGTTTGAATAAACTAGTTATTTTTATTTATCCACTCAGAAAGTTGTGTTCACGTAATACTGTGGAGTTGGAGATTACCTAATTGCTTCTTAACATTAAAATATAATTTTAAACTTATTTATAATCAAGTGAGATATAGCGTATTTTATGAAAAGTTACAAACTAAAGTACAATTATAAGTAATCATGATAATTACCAGTTTCGTCTACGATGCTATATTTGATAAAATCTAAATCAATAGTTAGTCGTTTAATAAGGGTGAAAATGTTAACAGGGTTCTCCAAGTACTTGGGAATATTTTCCATTGCTTTTTCATGTTCTCTATTAAACACATTCAAATAACTGGAATAAATATGATACAAAAATTAAATAAATTACTGAGAGCCCTAGTAATCTTATGATTTATTCTTACCTTTTTAAGATAGCAATTCTTTTTTCATGCCTTTTGATATATGTGTCTAAGTAATCTTTAATCGTCTTATGAGCTTCAAGTACGTTTTCGAATTCAGCTACAGCTGTGAAAATATCTGACCGTACCCTCACGCCATAATTGAATAGAAAAAATATGCAAATTGCTTTCAGCATGCTGAAACAGCCAATTCTTTTCATTTCATAGTAAATTTGTTTAAAAAGATTCGCTTCACCTCGCCGTCAACAAACAAAAATGGTGAAGGATAACAATAGTTCTATGCTCAATATTTGTCAAAATAATATATTCTTTATACCACTAATCTTATAATGTTGCTTATTACGTCACTTTAGGAATTTTCGAAATGATAAAGGGTGTCTCAGTAAGAGTGCACTTGTTAAATTTAGAATATATAGTTTTTCGCGCAAGTGGCAACTCTGAAATTTATGTTGCTATGCTATGTTTATTCCGATTATTAATAATGGACCGCTTTCCGAAAGAACAACGCGTTATAATTGTGAAAACTCATTACAAAAATGGTAAAAGTTACGCTGAAACCGCTCGCAAATTTCGCCAAATTTTTGGTCGAGAAAGTACACCTAATGTGTAATTCAAAAAATTTGAAGACACTGGGTCGATTATGGACTTTGAGATTCCTTTGCGTCAATTGCTGCTGTAAACGAGAGTGTCGCCGAAATCCCGAAAACATCAATTCGTCATCGTTCTCAACAACTTTAAATTTCACGAAGCACTATGCAGAAAATTTTGACAAAAGACTTCCACCTTCAGGCGTACAAGATTCAACTAACTCAGGACCTCAAATCAGCAAACGATGAACGATAGAAAGTGAAGTCAATGCCAAGTTTTCGAAGAAAGTCATCTTCTCCGAGAGCATTTCCATCTGAATGGCTACGTGAATATACAAAATTGTCTAATTTGGAGCTCAGAAAATCCGCATGCAATCCATGAGAAACCAATGCACCCACAACGAGCAACTGTCTGGTGCGGATTTTGGTCAGGCGGCGTGATTGGGCCTTACTTTAAGATGAGACCGAAATTGCAGTGACTGTGAACAGCATTCGTTACAGGAATATGATAACGGAGTTCTTGTGGCCTCAACTGGACGGTATAGATCTGGACAACATTTGCAGGCAAAATCGGTAGACAACATCTGTTTTAGCAGGACTGCGCCACCTGTCACACCGCGCATGAAACAATCGACTTTTTGCAGCAACGATTTTCAGAGCACACTATCTCACGAAATTCTGATGTCAACTGGCCACCAAGATCGTGCGATTTATGCAAATAAATCAGAAACAATTCCTGAGCTCAAATCAGAGATCCAATGCGTCATCGGTGAGGTACAGGTACATCTCTGTGTACAAGTCATGGTAAATTTCATGAAAAAAATAATGGCTTGTCATCAGAGCCGTGGGGGGCATTTGCCGGATATTTAATTACATACCTAATCAGAACATGTCTTCTTCACAATCCAATAAAAATATAATAACAACTCTTTCATAAAATACGTGTTTTTACTTTAAAAGGAATAAGTGCACTCTTACTGAGACACCCTTTATATACTAATATATTGATCGACAAACTGTTTTCACGCCTGACACAATGACACACACTGTTGCAATGTAAGAAAGTACGAGTATTATTTTCAAAGATTGACACATTTGTTTCAAGTGGCAATACGACTATTCTACAAAACAGACTAGTGTAACTATTGTTTCGCCCGACTAAGGCATGTTTTCATTGCAAAAAAAGTCTCTTATTCTCAATCTTTAAATTTATCAGAATTTGAATAGATACGTAAAATATAACTGTAATACGTAGTTGGTATTATAAAATTCATATCTAATACATTTTTAGGAATTTGGCATCCGCAAAGTTAAAATAACATTACATGAAATAAAAATTATTTATTTTTAGGTTTCTTGTGTGATCGGATAACAAATTTTAATAATATTATTAGTTATATATTTATTAGTAGGATGGATCGGAGACAAAATGGAACCAGAAAATTCCGAATGATTTCTCGATTTTGTTGATATGATTTTGGTAAAAGTTCCCGTTGGTAAAAGTTTAGCTCGCAAATTGCTTTCTACGTAGGATGAAACTTCATTACAATTGTAATGATTTATCTCGTGTAATATATTTCACGAATACTTTATCTATTCAATCAACATTCCATTCCATCCATTTAAATAAATAGGAAATAAAATCATATCATCTATGAAACCCACATTTCCCATATCACACAGAATATTGATTTGACAATATTTTCTCCATAGATTTCTCCATAAAAACGAATAGTTTTAACATAATGCCCACAAAGCGTACACTTGGACCACATCCTTTATCGCCGTCTAGTCACTACGGGCCCACGATGCCTTACGATATATAGCGTGTTTTTTGTGACATTCATAAACAATCTACAAAGACGAAGAGGTGATGAATATCAACCTTATGTGAAAAAACCGAAAGTAGATTGATTAGTTTCCGGGGTAGTATACCAACAGTGAGCGATGCGTCTGTGTGCATGTTAAATTTTAATGTGGGTGTTCAATCACGAGTTCTCACGCTGGGGGACTACAGTCTTAAGTCCTTCTTCTCATCCGAAATTCGACTTCCCTTACCACAGTACACACTAATAGAAACCAAATCAGGTATTTCCAAGTTAATAGAATATGTACAACATTAAAATTGAATATTACTTTCTCGCTCTGTTAGATTATGATCAGATTTGTGATAATTAGTCAGTCAGACCTGAATTACAGATTCCCAACCTGGATAAGCAGATAGCAAAATATAAAAAAAAAGTATGAATTTTAAATCCTATCCTTGTTTTTTAAATCTACTTTAATTATTGTGTGCAGTACAGAATAAATGTAATTAATAATAGATTAAATGAAAAGACTTTCTTCTGAAGTGAAAACTAGCCTTACTTAAGTGAAAGAATAGTAACACGAGTTCAGTTTATTTTGAAATTCAGTATTACTCGTACTGTGTATCAGTGTAATTTGAAACAGATGTGTTAATCTTTGAATGTGTTACTTTCACATTGTGTCCAGTGTCACCACGTCTGTGTCGGGGTGAGAACAGTTTGTCGAATTTATATTCTAAAATTCTTAGCGTGAAATTATTGGCAAAACTTGTCGTGACGTAACTATCAGAGAAGCTACTCAATAATTTGCCACCTTTGTGGTAAAAGAAACGTGTTATTTTGATAAATCCTGAACATAGAGGTATAGTTCACCACAACTGCGAAGCTTCATACGCAGATTTACTAAAAATGAGATCAACTACTTATTTCCATATGCTGCAAGCAATGTGTTTCATTTTTCTGTTCAATTATGGCATGAGGATACGAGCAGATGTTTTCACAGCTGTAGCTGAATTTGAATACGTGATTAAAGCTCATAAGACGATTACAGATTACTTAAAAACATATATTAAAAGGTATGAAAAAAGACTTGTTGTCATAAAGAGGTAAGCTTGCGTCAAAAGGTAAGGAACGCTTTCAGTAATTCCTTTTATTTTTAGATCATATTTGTTCCAGTCATTTGGATGTGTTTACAAGGGAACACGAAAAAGCAATGGAAGATATTCCCAAGTACTTGGAGAACCCTGTTAACATTTTCACCCTTATCAAACGACTGACTGCAGATTTAAATTTTATTAAATACAGCGTTGAGGACGAAACTGGTAACTGCTATGTACCCCACGATAATATTTTATTTTGTAATTTCCCATAAAATACGCTCTTATTTTTTTTTATGTTAGAGAGGGCAGATGAGCAGACGTGTCACCTGATGGAAAGTACTCGTAACCATCGCCGCCCATGAACGTCTGCAACTCAGGAGTCACAAACGCGTTGCAGGCCTTTTAGGAAGGAGTACGCTCTTTTCTTGACGGTCGTAAAAAATAATTTTTAGTGTTTTGTTATTTTTATAAGCCGTCATCGGCCACAGCGCTCCATTCATCTCATCCTAGACGCTATCGCCCCTTACTAACAATAAGTACGTTATTTTTTATTTAACTACCAAAGTATTCACTAAAAATAATTTTTATGGCAAAACAATATTTTCCGGGTCAGCTAGTATTATATAAAAAGAGTTTTCTATCAGGTACTGGAACATATTTTGATTGTAGTCATCTCGTGTTTAAGCTGGTTTTATTTTAACAGTGAAAGATAAAAAAAAAATTAACTATATATTTTTTTTAAATCTTTTAATAAATTAGTTTATTGTCATCGTTCCTCGATTTATCTACAAAGTTTGAACGAATTCTGACCGTTTAAAGTCAGTCAAAATCACGCCCAAAGGAGTCGGTTACAAACATACAAACATAAAAGTGAAGCTTATATAAAGCGTGTAAAAAGGGTGTAAAACGTTTTTGTTTGTAAGCTTGAGATGGACAACTACACTAATACACTGACAATCAGTGAATCTGGATCGGTAACACTATCGCGAACACTTGCACGTACAAAACTTATTTAGTGCTACTTCTGTCGCAGTCATAGAATTATAACAGGGGCAATGTAAATTGGTAGCCCGGGAGAAGTATTAGAACTCCAATGGTCCGTCCAGCTTCGAAACGGAAAGACCGTTGTCGTCCATAAGCGCTGGCCTGGGTGTGACAAGTAAGGCCACGCAGCAGAAGCAGGCCGGGATGGCAATGTAAATTGGTCTGGTCTTAAATGTATTCTTTGTTACACATATTTGTGACTACAATCTCTCGACAGCCTCGTTCCTTAAACCCGAAGCTAGAAGGCTGAAGCAGACAGCGGGTGGGGTAAGACAGTGACGCAGCGTCAGCAAATTGTAATAATACTTAATAGAGAAGAATGTAACACACCGCCGGTTGTAATTAATTACAACCGCTCGCAACGCTTAATCGTCATGCCCAGCCGTTAAGTAATTCTAAAACAATCTTCAGCCTACATAGAAGATATAACAAATAAGCAATATGCTAACAAATACCCTACGATGGAGGATGTAGCAGGTGCTGCAGAGGCACTTGTAAGATTGCAATATGTCTACAATCTGGAAGCCAAAGAGCTTGCAGAAGGAAAACTGTACGATATTGATTACAGGTAATACGTATTTCATGCGATAATTTATTTAACACTGTACCTATCCTAACTCCTACTGACAATTTCTTACTTCTCTTTATATCTAAAATCAATAATGTTTCTAATTCAGAATGAAATTTCAAAAAAATCTATAGAGTTCGGAAGATTATTTTGTTCTCTTTATTTCAGTACGCCAATGACAGCGTGTGACTGCTACGAGATTGGTCGAATCTTATACCGTAACAATGAAATTTTCGACGGACTTGAATGGATGATTGAAGCTTATCGCAAGTATAGCATTGAAGAAACACATTACGAGTTCTCGGATATAGATATATTAGAAAATATTAGTTTCGGATATTCTAAAACAGGTGAGGCACGTGTTCGTCAATGAAGTCGTATATCGGTAATTATTTTATATTTAATGCTTTTTTTCTGTAGTAGGCAATTGACAACAACACCATTTTTAATCCTTTTAAGTCATTTAGAGGTGAGAGATGTTTCTGCTTCTACTTACTTCATCACTGTTGATGATGATGACTGCCTAAATGTTTTGTTTTTATTCCTAATGAATGATGTTTATTTTCAAGAATAAAAGTACTTTATGTTCTTTTCTGTACCAGTTTTTTTGTTGATGGGGTGGCAAATCTCTTCTAATCTCCGGCTCCTAGGAGATGTAGGATACAAGATTAAGTAAGTAAGACATAGTAAGACCCGTTATGGAGTATTGGCTCGAGAGGCGTCACGGGACCCTCTCATACCGACTGACGCAGGTGATCACTGGAAAAGGATGTTTCGGGGTTCACCTGTGTCTGATCCGCAAGGAGCCAACGCCTGAGTGCCACCACTACGATGGCCAAACCGTGGACACGGCTCTCCACACGCTGGCAGAGTGCCCGGCGTGGGTTGAGCAGAGGCGAGACCTCGTGGTGGCCATCGGAGTGGGAGTTCTCTCGCTCGATAGCCTGATTGCGGCTATCGTGCGGAGCAAGAGTGCGTGGAACTCTTGCAGTCTCCTTCTGCGAGCAAGTTATGCTCGCGAAGGAGACGGCGGCGCTGGACCGGGAGAGGTTTAGAACTCTCCCGGCCCACCAGGCCCGGGAACGGGCCAGGTACCGCAGGCGACTCAGGCGCAGAACGACCTCCGTCTTCCATAACCGCAGGCCTGGGGTGACAGATGAAGCCATCTGTCACACTAGCAGAAGCAGGCCGGGGTGGCGGCGAGCGCGTTGCGAAGCGCGCTCGCTTCCAGGGAGCAGAGGGAACATGGGGTTCTAACACGAGGGGGGTCGTCTACTTGTTGTAGATGGCCCGAGGTATGTCGGGGCACCAGGGACTTCCTTTTTAGGGTATACCTGGTTCCCCGGCTATTAGTACCCGAGACGGCGTGCTGTTTTAGTCGGTTCGAGTCCTACATGCCACCGATAGGTGGTATCCGAAAGGATTTTTGAAAAAAAACAAAACAAACACTGCAAAGAGAAGGAAAACTTGAAACAAACCCTATACCAACCCGTCTGGCCAGCGTGGTATAGTAGGCCAAAACCTCCTTTCTAAGAAGAGGCCTATGTCCGGCAGCTATTGATGATGATGATGTCCATCCGTAGACCACCCGTCGACAACGAGTGGACACCGAGTGACGAAGTGGTATTGGTCGGATGTCCGGTGGGTGTAATAATTTATGACCTTAGGAATGGAAACACTATTCCTAAGCAGATTTTTTTTTTCTAGATGAAAGGTAACCTTTGTTTTTCTGTATCCCTCATAACTTGTACACAATATTTTGGTATGATCGGTTGAATAAGGCGTAATAGCCTAACAAATAAATTCCTACTTGCATTTTTAATATTTGTATAATGAAATTTACAGGAGATATGGAAAGTACCTTATATTGGATCCAGAAAGTATATGATATAGATCCACATAATTCTAGAGCTAAGCAAATAGAGCAGCAGTATCAAAATAATATGAAATATTCAAGATATAGCATATGGGTAAGTTCATATTTTGAAATGTCATTCTATTTATTAGCATCAATCCTAAAAAACTACTGACAATTTATTTCCTCTGTATACACAAAAATACATTCTCGAACAGCACAGCCACAATGAGCAACAGGAAATCATGTTACCATTTCATTTGTGTTCCGTCACGTGTAAGTGTATGGCAAGGGATTCAGGTACACCCTAGAAAGTAAGTCCCCGAGATGATAAAACATTACTGGACAAACAAAGAATTTCAACATATAAGTATGTTCAAATTAGTAAAAAAACTGAAAGTATTTGGCTATACATATTTTAATCTAGCTGCCCCGACAGACAACGTTCTGAAAAAAGTTATTCCTTTGTCGCAACCATTGAAAAAAAAGTAAATAAAACTTATTTCAGAGTGATCACTTTTCTTCGAACTTTTTTGGTCAGTCATAGATTAATCTCCATATAAACAACTTGAAGGCATACCAAAGATGATCCTAACTTGCGTTTGTGTTGTTGTGATTGACGTCAAATGTTTGACAGCTAGGGGCCGCTGTTTTAATTTACTCTGTGTTTTGTACGGGAAAAGAAAAGCTTTGCTTTTTTTTTTCTATTTTTATCGCAATTTTCACTGAGACACCTTCTTTGTGCCTTAACGAAAATATGCAAAAAAGAAAAACTAGCGGAATAGGAAGAAACGTTTTCGAGTTTTGCGCTTAGCAACACAGTTAGCGATTCATTTTTATTTATATACATTATGTAATCTTATTGTTAAGTAAATGGGATTTAGTAACTTATAAACAAAACTAAAAAAAGTTGAGCGTCGCGGAACGTCTAGCAGCTTGACGTTCCGCTACGGCTGAACTTTTTTGTGTGTTTCACATCTGCTAGACTCGAGCAATTGTGAAACTTCGAATTTGCTTTTTGGAAATAAAGAGTATAACTTTGATAATCGCAGTCACTTGGGCATGGCATTAGATGTTGCAAATAAAATATACCTATTTCACGCTAGTGTGTCATGTAGTGTGTAAAAACCTACACAAATCACTACTTCAATTATCACTTAAGAAACACCTCGATACTACTATAATTATTTAGCTGTAATGTTTTTAATTCTAATCTCTAAATGTAGAGTGTTATAAAACTTAGCTAATATTTAGCACAGAAATAAGGAACTACTATTTTATTTCCTTTCCATTCATTTAGCAAATTTATGTTGTGTGTGAGTGAGCATTAGCTTTTCAGAAATATAAATAAAAATGTTAAAGTGTACACCACAGCATTGTAATGTACTTAATTTTATTTATGACCGACAGCAATCCAATTTGGAAACGGAAAAGAAACAATTGAAGGAGTCGAATAATATTGTGTACTATTCGCTGTGTCGCGGAGATGTAGAATTACCGATCGAAATATCTAGCAGGTAGCTGTAATCTTGATATCCTTATTAATTTACACGTTTTATATATTTTTTCTTTGCGTGTGGGTCCTGAACGACGGCGCTGCAGCGCTCGCGCGTGTTATGATGTAAAATTTATTCAGGTACCGTCTAATTCTCCATCTAGTCTATCGTTTTCACCACTTCTTTTTCTGTTGATGGAATTTCGTGCTTTGTTTCTTTTACACAAAACATAAATTATCGATAAAGAATTTGCTTCTTTCTAAATATTGTAAACGTTTGAGATTTGATATCGCCATTATTAAAACCAAAATAAAATAATAGCTAAACACGAGACACGCGCGCACGCATCAACGTTCCCGCATGCGCAGGACTAGTTGGCGCTTTTCCACTTGGTTAAGTATCACTAATGTTACCAGTAATTTAAGTTTTAAGAATATTTCCAGACTCCGCCGTGCTTCTCAACGCAATGAATTTCATAACAATCCATCTAATTTACTCGACAGAAATAAATATCATTGAAACCTTAATTAGCATGTTTTATTTGCAGATTAACTTGTCGTTATCAGACTGAAAATCATCCATTTACGAAATTAGCTCCTATAAAGACAGAGATGCTTCACCTTAATCCCGACATAGTTTTGTTCCACGACATGTTAAGTGACGGTGAAATTGATACCGTCGTGGAAATTGCTAAGACGAAGGTTAGTATGAGAGTAGGTTTTGATACAAAACTAGCCCATTACTAAGCTAACTAACTCTTGGCACCATAATCCTTCTAGTATGGTAACAGAATGCTCTAACTCGAAATATCTTATGGTAAATTTTAATTCATTTATATTCATTTATAACCAAATTTAAGTCAAAAAATCAAATTTAATTCCGATTTCAGGCATTAAAGGCACCTTCAGCCTTATACAATTTACAGCCTTATATATTAAAAAATTACAGCCTATATAATTACTATTGATTGATAGGGATATATCTCATATAGATATTGAAGTAATTAAGGATAGAGACACAGATTATTACGAGGTGAATCAAAAAGTTCTTAAAGAGAAAAAAATGTTTTACTTCTCTACGTAATCTCCCTCTAAATCAATGCTTTTAGCCACTTCAAAAAATCATATTCTTGACACTCGAAAAACTCATCTACAGCAGCCATAACTGCGTCATTATCTTGAAATTTATGAGATATGCTCCTTTAATTTTGGGAATAACGGACTAATAATATTTTTTTTTCTTGACATAAAGGAAATCACTAGCGACTAAGTCCGGAGAATTTGTGTATAAGTGGACAAAGGTTGAACAACTTCCGGGTGATGATGATGATAATTAGGAGCGTTATCGTGAAGAAACAACTCACCCAGTGACATTTTTAGAGGACGTTTGTCATCAACCATCATTGATCAAATTTTCATAAAACGGTCCAGTAATAGTTTTTCCTTTCAGCATGTAATCAATAAACTTCCTTCAGGCTTCCTTCAGTATCTCAAAACACCGAAACCATAACCTTGCTAATAAGTGGTAAGAGTAACACAATTTTTCTTTTTGGTCAGAGAGGATGGTCGTTTTCAAGACATGCTATGTCTCTTGATTTCGAGACGACGACGAACACGACGGCAAAATTGATCTAGAAATTTCCAAACGTCGCGTTTTGCTTTCATCGGTTAATATTTGTGGTGGGTACCACAAATATTAACCGACGAAAACAAAACGCGATGATGGGTATCTTGCCGACACACATGAATTCCAATGAATTAGTTAAAATATATCGAATGCTACCGGATGACATATTCAGGGTCTCACCAAAATGTTTCATGTTAATTCTTCTGTCTCCCAAAACTAAATTCTCGATTTATGCCCGGATTCTCGAAAATTAACCGTGTTGTCATTTCCATTAAATGTAAATGTGAGTATAGTTTATTCTTGTAATTTTAGAACTTACGGCTTACCTAAATGTCCTGCTTGCGGTAGTGTCGTTTTTCGGTTCGATTTTGGGGTTTTGGATTGATCTTGACCATTATCGGTTAAGCTACACGATGGCTGGGGCCTGTATGCCGTCTATATAGGCAGGCCACCTCAAAACTTTGGTTCTTTCTTCAAAAGGCCCACCCAGACCCTATACTACTTGCACAGTTTTCTTTAACTTTGTTTATGGAGTAAAAAAAAGACACCTCTGTCCTCTGTGGTTTGTTTCGGCGTTTCCTTCCAGAGTGAGTCTTAGGCACCTTCTAGCTGTAAAGTCCCACTTGTAAAAATCATTGAAAAGATTAAGTAACAGAAATAAATATAATTTATCATTTCTTCCATAACGGAGTTGACTTCAGAAACCTTTTAGAAAAGGGTAAAGCACAATCCCCTAATGTCTGCTTTTTTATGGTATAAGGGACATGGACACCTGCAACTCAAAAGTCACAAGTGCGTTGCCGCCCTTGGAGTACCTCCCGCTCTAGTCAGCGGGAGGGGGGATTTGGGCTCCGGTAACCTCACTCACTCAGTAAAAGGCAACTAAAGAATTGCTTAACACCGGTTTTCTGTGAGGCCGTGGTATCACTCCGGTCGAGACGGCCCATTCGTGCCGAAGCATGGCTCTCCCACGGCTGAATGTCTGATAAATGTCTTAAAAAATTCCTTCATTGACATTTTTTTAGGCACAGATACTTTATCACTGCACATAGCTCTCTATAAATATTGTGTAACTGTATATCTTTTATTTTTTTTTATCAAACTAGCCCTAAAATTATTAATTATGAACTTTTTGATTTTTCCTCCTAATTACTTTATGAAACACCTGCACCGACATGAACTAATATCACAAATACGTATTCGTTATTTTTTTGTCAGCTGGTTGAGCCTTACTACATGTGGCACTTTACATAAACTTACCAAATATTCGATTCTGTCATTCTAACAACGTTACTATTAAATAATATAGGCAAACTATGTGTAATCGGTGTAGGCCCGGGTAATGTATTCCCAAAAAGCATTTAAAGAAGAAGAAGCATCCATTCTCTGTCGCAACTCATAGCAGTTAATATTAGATTAAAGGATTTTTAAAACCTTTTTAAATGAACTTAAAAATATGTGTGAGCATCCAGACTTTTGTATTAGATCATAAACAACTACAAGACAAAAGTTTCGTTTTATTTGAGTGTCTCTACAACTACATGTACTTATAAAAACAATCTGTACTCACGACAATCGACTCTTTCTAGAAGATACTATTAATATAGAGATTGGGCTAGTGTAGATAAGTATTTTTACATTTTAGTTTATAAACATAATACATTAAATATTTACCTTTGTACAGCTATTTCGGTCCAACATTATATCTGCAAAAATCTCGAAAAGCCGTATTAGCAAATCAGCATGGTTACCTGACGAGGAATCCGAAGTTGTGGCCCGCATCTCACGCCGAATTACACATATGACGGGATTGAGTTTAGAGTCCTCGGATAATATTCAAGTTACCAACTACGGTATTGCAGGATTTTTTGATTTGCATACTGATTTCTATGAAGTAAGCAATATTATGATTACCTTGCAATTTTTAACTGTCGTGATTTTTACAATTCATTTATTATACATATATTAGTAGGTATGCATGTTAGGCTGCATTACTGAGAAATGCAATGCATGTTATAGATATACACGTGAGCAATGAGTTGGACCCGTCCAGGTCTCGTTAATAATACTAATAGTAAGTTACCTCAGCTACTTAGAGTGTGTCGCCATCAAAATGAATTTATTTAACTCGTGAACATGTTTGTTCAATGATTTTCGTTGTTGCTTAAATCAGCAAGAGAGTTGCCAGAGACTTCAATTGGCAGTTGGTGAAGAAGCACCATATCGCAGCTCTGTGTATTCGTAGTTTGGAGAATTTATATGTGGACGTGATAATCTAGATGACGAGGTACGTGACGATCCGTACGACAACTTATAGAAAGTGTCAAAAAAATTACTTGCCAGAAAATTCGTGCATTGGAATGAGCCATGTGCAAAACATTTTGCATTATGACTGAACGGATGGAGGAGGACCAGAAACGACTACGTGTCCAGTGGTGCCGTAGATTGATAAAAAAGTTTAACGGAGGACAGTCATTGGCTGTCTATGATGTCGTGACCGGTGACGAAACCTGGGTGTACTGCTTTGATCCTGAAAGAAAAAGCCAGTCGGCAGAGTGGGTCTTTGCTTTTGAAGATTTGTCGACGAAAGTTTCGACTCGAAAAGTCGAGGCATTAGTAAAAAATAGTTGCTTATTTTTTCGGCAAATCGGGACTTTACACTACAGTATCACTTGAAAATCAAAGGACAGTGACTGCAGATTGGTACGTCAACACTTGCTTGCCCAGAGTCTTAGGAATAGTTCGCCAAAAGCGTCCTCGAAGCAATATCCACCTTCACCACGATAACGTATCCTCATATTCCGCTAAGGTAACAGACGCCTATTTGAAGGCTTTAAATGTGGAACTGATGACGCATCCGCCTTACAGCCCGGACCTCGCACCCTACGACTTCTTTTTGTTTCCAAAAATTAAAGACAAACTTAGAGACATACGTTTTACGAGCCCTGAATCGGCGGTGAATGCGTTCCATGAAGTCATTGAAGATGTTAGTTCTTATGTTTGTTGTTGTTCCTTTTTTCGCTCTCGCCAGCAATAAACTTACAGCTTTGTGTATGACTTGTAATACACTATCATGGCGACGTGATTAATTATTTTTTTTTTTTTTTAAAGACAACTCCCGCACTAGGAATAAATCCTGTGTCGCGGGGGACTTTACAAACATACATGAAGCGGACACAAAGTACACCCAGACTCAGAACAACAATTTGTGGATCACACAAAGTGTTATCCCATGTGGGGTTTGAACCCACAACACTCAGCGCAATAGAAAGTGGCGTGGCGACCGCTTAAACCACTACGCCATCCGTGCAGTCAAATACCATAAATTAATGACCCTGGTCTAATGGTGCCTTACAAACTGTCAGTAACTGTACTGCATGGCTGTACCTATTTCCGCACTGCATATCGTATAAGTCTTTTCTGTAGCTTTTCCCCACATTACTAGGTTGCTTTGATCGGAGAGAGTCAATTGAAAGGCGTTGAGGTAAAACTTTAACAGGGCAGGTGACTAGGTGACCAATCGTATAAAAGTGTGCGCCATTTCAAAGCTGGTGGGATACAAAATTCTCCTAGAGTTAACCATTCATTCTGCATTTCTAGGTTCATTGCGTGCACCTTGTAGGTCTCGTTTTCATCTTGTTGTAGGAAAGATTTTATTATCCCTTTATCGGTCTGTCTTCTAGCATTTCCCAATCCAACTCTACTGGACTGGGTACGCACCATAAATTCCTTGTGGAATTTGAGCCGTGACTCGAGATCTGATGATTTTTTGTCTTTTGGAAGGATCTAACGATTTCGTCTTGTGATTTTGACAAGACATGCATTTTGGTAACGATTAAGGGTTTGTAGAGTTCCGAAGGTCTTTTAATTTAATTCCAAAGTTATTCGAGACCCTGTACAACGTTGACGGGTCTGCAGATGTTGTTAGCCGAGCCCGAGCCTCGACTTCAATGTCTTAGTGACTTTCGCGTCCAGTGTTCTTAAGTGGTTCTGGTTTATATCGTATACGAGAAACAGCCAGTTAAGACGTGATGTTAAGTAGTTGTCGTAAATTCAAGGTTTTTTTTAAGTTTCTGATACGCTGTTGGTCTAAGGTAGACCAACAGCGTATCAGAAACGTCAATGTTTTTTACGAAGTCATCGACTATTGCGTTCAAAAATGGAGTACAACCTTTGTACTCCATCTTTCTTCCAAGGAATTTAAAGGGCACGGTTTCTGGTATTATTGAAAGTCGTCCACCTTACGCAGTGGTTCTTGGCACTGCTTCGGGTTACGTGTGAGGATCGCGAGGTTCGTATATTTTCCATTGACCTAAAACCGATAGCTCTTATTTATGGTCTCTCTGGTCTTATTTATCAGAATCCAGAAACTTTCAGTATGGGCATACTGAAAGTTTAGTTACAAAATGCCTTTGAAGAGTTTGTTGCCTCCCGTCCAGCTGATTTTTACAAGAAGGGCATCAATAAACTGCCAATGCGTTGGCAAAGATGCGTCGATTGCATGGGTGATTACTTCGAATAACAGAAATAAAAAAGTTTGAAAAAATAAGTACTTTCACTTATTGCATACAAAACGGCAATTTCATAGGTAAGCTGGTGGGATACAAAATTCTCCTAGAGTTAACCATTCATTCTGCATTTCTAGGTTCATTGCGTGCACCTTGTAGGTCTCGTTTTCATCTTGTTGTAGGAAAGATTTTGTTATCCCTTTATCGGTCTGTCTTCTAGCATTTCCCAATCCAACTCTACTGGACTGGGTACGCACCATGAATTCCTTGTGGAATTTGAGCCTTGACTCGAGATCTGATGATTTTTGTCTATTGGAAGGGATCTAACGATTTCGTCTTGTGATTTTGACAAGACATGCATTTTGGTAACGATTAAGGGTTTGTAGAGTTCCGAAGGTCTTTCTTACCTATTATATGTAAGAAATTAAATTTTACCAAAGTCTTTTTTCAATATTTTCATCAACTGAAAAGTAAGAAAAAGTAAAAAAGTAGTAACAAAAGAAACGAAATAAAATATTCTTCAATGTATAATTTCAACCTCTTTTGTATAATTTGTTCAACCTTTTATCCAATATTTTAAACGGATTAGGAACCCGAGATACCTACTGGTAAAATGTAGTTAAATTAGGCAATTATAATTTTATTATTTCTTGTAACAATTTAAGTGCTTATATGTGTAGTTGCCTAGGTAAATATTTTCTTTCTTTTTTTCTTTATCTACTATTTTTACCTAGCTACCTACGATTGTGACAACCCTTGCACATCTTTAGTTGAGACAGTCTTGTAGGTATTCAGCAGTCTATCAAAGGAGTCGACCTCACTATTAGTATTTACTACACAAATGCCTATATTGTAAAGTTACGCACTCAGGTCCCAACTTATCGCGCACGAGTATTATCTTTAAGATTTACCTAAGCCTCCCCAGAGTAGGGCGTCTGAGACCGAACCTCGAAGTGGTTTTTGTTGAAAACATCATGTAGGTAATCCTGTTTTGCCGAGCCTGACGTAACTATCATTTTAGAGATTTCTAAGTTAACAAATATCTAGAGTCCGACCGAAACAGGATATACCTATAGATGAAAGCGAAACCGAAATTGAAATCCGTCCCAGGTCCCAGTTTCGACTAAAACCGAAATTTTTTTTTTACATAAACAGACAGTTAACACGTTTTAAATAAATTAGAACAACAATAAAATTATGTACTAAATAGTTATTGTTTACCGGCTGTGCCCTGTCACGCTTCGCTGATGCAAATTGTGGTGGTATTGATGAGAAATGAGGAACGAAACTGACACGAAAAAAACCATAGATATCTAAACCATCTTTGAAGCGGGTTGTACGAGTATATTTGTGTCAAAGTTTGACCTCAATCGGTGCAGAAATTTTTGAGTTTTTGAAGCGTACATTTTTATATATATAGGTTGAGATCTAAGCACTTAGTGATTGAATTATTAATTCCCTTATCTAACTATTAATTCCCAGCCCCACTAAGAATGGAATTTTTGTATTTCTGCACTAATAACAAAGAGAATATAATAAAAAACATTTACAGTAAGCATTCATAACTAAAAAGTCGCTTATAATTAAGTTGTAAGAAAAAAAACTGCTAGTTTTTTAACCTTTTCACTTTCGTTCAGCGGTCTCTGCGCCACGGCTCTCTTTACCCGCCAGCGACGATTGCTAGCGGGAACAGATCTCATCCAATTCGATCAACCTGGACCTCCCGTTTATACGTGATGCAGTACAGTCCTCCAACGTTTTAGGTACTTACCCAAGCCTCCATGCCCAGTGAGACCTGCGAGATAGGTACCGCGACCTCTGTCCCTGCCTACCCCAGCCTTACCACTTTGACATTGGCTGACTTCCCCAGTGCTTTATTTCTCCGCTCTCACCCCAACAGATCAAACAAGTCTGATCATAGATCTTCTCATCCGTATCCACTAGGCTATCTAAAGGTGGGAAACGGGTCCGGTTGGTCGCAGCCTCCAACGAAGTAGTGTGGTATCCTGGTACAATCCAAATGGCCGCTATTTGCCTGCTTGAGCTTACCTCGGCAGCTGGAAGAAGCTGACAGGCGTTTGAACGACTCACTTCTGGGGAAAGACCGGTCCTCAGGACCTCATCTTACTTGAGGTTCTACATAAGGGGTCCTAAGACCGACCCCTGAGGAACGCCGGGTTGTACCTTCCTTTTACGTTCTTCGCTGTCCCGATTCATATACTTTATGGATCTATAGCGAAGATAAACTGCCCGGTCTACTTGTTTTGTTGATTTCGAAAGTATTAATGTGTACATTTTTTTAAATACGCTTTATCACGTGTGTGACAACCATTAAAGTATAACATCTAGTTTTTTTTTAATAAACTATATACGCGCAAAAAGTAAATACATGTAACTGATGATATTTAAAAAAGAAATACTATATCATGATTGATGATGATGCTTATATTCTTACAGTGTATACGTGAAAAAGACAAGGGTAATAGAATAGCTACTGTGCTGTTTTATGTAAGTATTTAGAAATTCTTAGTAATAATCAATAGTTACACTAAGTACAAAATACGAACTAACCCGTCTTTGCTATTTATTAAGATAACTCTTAATAAATAGCAAAGGCAGTTTAGTTCCACTATTTACAGGTATAACTCAAGAACGGCTGGACCGATTTTTATGATGCTTATTTTTTGTATTTGCCACGCCTCGAGTGGATTAAAATAATTAGGATAATAAAACATGTTTTTGTAGTTTATGCATGAATACTAAATCAGATGAAGAGCAGACCTGTGTCTAAAAACGCAGTTGAAACCGCGGGGAACCACTACTTTGTTGATTTATAAAAGTAATAAGAAATTAGTAATATAAGTACCTAGTACCCATACAGAAAAATAATGGCTTTTTTCTGTAAAATACTAATAGGTAACCCATGTTTTATTAGAAAATATATCTAAATTAGAAGAAATAAGAAAAAAAAAAATACATACTTAGTCAGGTCATAAATTCTGTCGAAAACTGTGGGCAAAAAAGTATCCGTAAAGCGTGGGATTCTGGCAGTCTAATTTTTTTCAACTTATGACCTGACTACGTATATTGACATATACCTTATTCTTATGTGATCCGTTAATCTAAGAATGTACCACTTTAATAAAATATAAATTTAAATCAAATCAGTAATGCAATGAACTTCTGTATAGCGTGTGCATTTTGTTTGATGGCTTTTTTAGTGTATTACCTTATTATATAAATAGTCACCTATACAAAGACCGGTGAAGGAGCCACTGAACAAAAATTAGGTTCTCTAAGAATAAAAATAAGAATAAAGTTTCCAATGCAACGTAATTAGTGTTTCAAACAAATACTACAACAATTAATGACATGCACAAAAATTGTCGTGGTATTGTAATTTAGGTATATTATGTGTGTGTATATGTGTAGATGTCAAATGTAACTCAAGGAGGCGCTACAGTTTTCCCTGAACTTGGTGTAAGCATATTCCCTGTGAAGGGCGACGCAATTTACTGGCTCAATTTACACCCGTCAGGAGAGGGCAACTATTGTATGTTGCACGCTGCCTGTCCTGTGCTGACCGGCTCCAAGTGGGGTACGTACCTACATTGTAGTTTGTGTAATACTGGTGTAGAGTTGAAGCTGTCACAATGAAACAAAATAAAGTTAAAGCTTACCAAAGGAATGAAAAACTTGAACAGCGTTTCGACTAAAAAAATAAAGAAATTATGATCTAATTGTGACCACTCTTGACAACCAGTCCAAGTTTTGATAGAACTTTCATAAATATTATTTTTACAGTCGCTACCAGATGGATCTATGAAGTGGGTCAAGAGTTCATCAAACCTTGTAGTCTAGAGTACCAAGAAGAAGGCTGCCCTGGCACGCATGCCAGCCAAATATTGAAAACATAAAAAAAAGCTTTTTGATGTTTGACAGACCACGGTGTTCCGTATCACGTGAATCTATTGCAAGGGTCTCGGGTATACCCAAGAAAATCAGCGAGAATACATGAATGTTCTTTGAAAACTTTGAACTAAACTAAATTTATCCAACTAAACTAAATATTTGAAATTATCACTTTCGCGCAGGTTTTTTTGATGTACTTAATATTGTTATTTTTCTCATGTAATGTTTTCAGTAGAAAATAAACAAAAAGTACCATAAGTTCTTTACTACACAAATAATATTTTTTAATTAGGTTAAATCCATACTAATATTCCATACTAAAAAGGTAAGTGATACAAATAAGGCCTACCTTATTGCAAACACTCACATCTTGACAAATATTTGAAGAAGGTGGATTATTTTATAAATAAATGCAAGCTATTATTCTTTGGTTTATAAATTTTAAATAATTAATAAAAGATATAGTGGTTTAAACGGTCGCCACGTCGCTTACTACTACGCTAAGTGCTGTGGGTCCGTCCCCACATGGGACTAAGTACATTTTGTGTGATCCACAAATTGTTGTTCTGAGTCTGGGTGTTCTTTGTGTCCGTTTCATGTATGTTTGTAAAGTCCCCCGTGACACATGGGATATACTGATTCCTAATTTCCGCATTAGGAATCAGTATATCCCATGTGTCACGGGGGACTTTGATGTCTTATTATAAAACAAAACAAACAATTAGAAAATTAACACATCTCAAAAATATTACAAAATAAAAAAAAACTTTGATAGGCCTTATTTAAACAAGATTGCCTAGTAACATAATGTAATCAACATTAACTGCCGCTCTCACGCTTGCTTCAGACCATGTAGTAGGTACACTTCATAACAGAGAGACATAATCAGATAACAAATCTGTAAATATTCGTAATGAAGTTAAAATTCAACAGACTCCTTTTTTTACAAAAAATAGGCTCATTATAAAAGCTAAGCTTTATTTAATACTTGATACTTCAGAAATGTTTCATAAAAATTATAATTTAGAAGCAGACGATTTAAATGAGCTATATTGGGATCTGTTGAATACAGCTTGAAACAAAACTTTATTATACAACGTATTAAAACTCGATAGAAATCACGATAAATTAATAACGCGCTACAAAAATAACCCACTTTCACAAACGACCGCCTGCCATTGTCGCTGTGAATGCGAGAGGACTTGCGCACTGTTTCCCGATCCGTGAAGTTGTCGTCTATGTGTGTGAGAAGTATTTTTGACGTAAATATATTTTAAATGACTTTTCGGCACTACAGGCCTTAATTGAGCATAGGCCTTATTTGTATCAAGTACCTTATTATAAATGCCTAAATGTGTCTGTCTGTCTGTTACCTCTTTACGCAGAACCGATTTGGATGAAATTTGGTAGATAGTTTGAGTCCCGGGAAAGGACACATGATAGTTTTTATCCCAGAAATCATCCTTTAAGGGCGCGAAAAGAGGGGTGGAAGTTTGTATGGGAAAACAATAACTGCTAAACCGATTTGGTATGAAGATAATTTGCCACCATATTCAACAACGTCGGTAAATCACTGTGAAGTCACATTAGTAGGTAAGCTGAGGAACTTGTTAAAATTGTTTAAATATTGTCAAAATAATTTTATTTTTGCTTAAACAAATAAAAATAATGAAATTATTACGTTTCAAAAGCATATCATATAAGTTCCTTTTAGTCGACTAACCCAATAAGTTACATTTTATTAGAGTTAATAGCACTTCAGAAAAAAAAGGATTAAAAAAAACGTAGAACGAAAATTGACCTTCGTATGTTCAAATTCAGAGCTAATGTTGCGGATGGGAAAAAAATAAAATCTCAAAATAATCTTGACAGTATGTATTCATAAACTTGGTAGTATGTACTTCAAAATCTTAGTTATATTCATTAGATACAATATAAAAAGACGTATTTACTACTACACTGCAAATACATTTTGATTGTTTTAGTTCTTGTTTAAAAAGGTGAGTAGGTACTGCATGTTATTTCACAACGTAAGTAAGATAAGAAATACTTGACTTAACTACATTAGTCTTAATATTTATTTTTTAAATATTTTATTAAACAAATTTGGCACTGCTTATAAATATTCGAATAAATGCATAAAATGAGATTATGTTCATTCACATGTTTGTACTTACTACTAAAGTAATATGACTGGTATTTAATTATAATATAAAATTTAAAAAAAATGTAAATATAAACCATAGACCTATAGATAAGAAAAAGGTTTTAAGTTTTCAGAAATCTACTTATGTAAATTCACATAAGTTGGTCTATATATCCACAATATTTTTACATTGGTTTTACGAACGAATACTACATTGCACCATATAATACGGCACACTGCCTATTGTATTATTTATTGATAGTTTAAATTATAAACACAATCATAATTATGAGGCTAAAAAAAGAAAACCACTAAGTGACTTTTTGATAGTAAAAAATATTTCTCAAATAAATTGAAGTCGAAAATCGAAATATCAATTACAAGATGTTTTCAAATTTTATCATGAGCCACAATCTAGATACTGAGAACTAAATCTTTTATCGTCAAAGCCTATCAATTGAACGAAATAAATATTATTATTTACTAAACTGGGAATAAGTTACGTTTTATTATTTTATTTAATTTAACATATCGGCAATACATAAGCCTCTGTTGTTTATATTAGTTTCTTTCGACAACTCAGTATCTTCTAATAAACGAAACAAACTGACAATTTATAACTATTTAATATACCTAATAATAATGGATAATTTCGTATTTATTATCATTTTTATTAATTATAGTTTAAAACTTGGCAATCTGCGATTGAAGCATAGTGAAGTAAAACTTTATCTTTGGTACGAGTATGTCTAATAAAATATCAATAAACAGATCTAATTAAAAATCGAACAATTTGCTTCGTTTAATGAAAGTACACAAGTCACAACTTAAAATTAAGAACTTTAAAAAATTATCTAGAGGCAAGATTTCATATCGCTGTTTCATAAAGGTTAAGATTTTTTTTTAAATTACTATGAAATAAAATATTATTAGACTTATGATTACCACAAGATTTTGTTTTAAAAACATATTTTTCAACATATTGATATCAACAACAACATATTGATTCAACGTATTGATATCAATTCTATAAAAATGTCGAGCCACTGTAAAAAAAAAAGTATATATTTGTGCATTAAACTTAATGAACAGCCACTGCATAATCCTTGAACTTACTTTACTCACCAACCACTAATATTTGCACTACTTCAGTACGTGTTTGTACAGTTTTTTGAATAGGATAGAGTCGTACCTCTACCTAGATGTCTTCGGGACTGGGCGAGGGATCTTGCGGACGATGCCCTCTTCTTGGTATTCCAGGTTACAAGGTTTGAGTAACTCTTGACCGCCTTGGTGAAGCCATTTGTTGCATACTGTATAAACAAAAAAGTACATACGTACATAAAATATGATTTACATTTTTCTTCTTACATCATCATTATTATCAACAGCCTTTTATAGTCCACCGCTGGACATAGGCGGACCTTAGAAAAGAGGTTTTGGTCTACTACACTACGCTGGCCAGACGGTTTGATATAGGGTTCTTGAATCTGTCGTAATATGTAAACATATTACGAGAGATTTGCTATATGTTTCAATAACATTCATCCTTTCTATCAATGACAGAATAATACAAATATAATAAAGTTGAAGCTTGATTGCTGAAGCTATTAGTTGGTTATTTGATTGAAGCTTGGTTGAAGTTGCATTCACTAAGTTCTGGAACCAGTAGTCGGATTTGAAAGATGGTTTTTGGAATTGATTACCTAATGTTTTCGCAATTTCAAGGTTATTAAACATCACGCTATGAACATTAGGAGTGCATCAGTGACCGAGAAAAGATATTTTTTAAAATAATAATATTGCATTGTCGTAAACTAAGAAAATCAATTATGTCATGTAGTAATTCGTATAGCTTTATAATCCATTAATAGTAAGTATGTAAATAATTTTAGTTTAGAGTTGTTGAGTAATTTGTGAGATTTTTAATTTTCTTCAGAAAAGTGAAATCGAGTATATGGTAACAAATAAGGCACGACCGGGTACCCCCGACTAGAAACCTTTATTATTTTATATAATGACAAGACTACAAGATAAATTAGCAAAACTTTGGACCGTTGTCGAAATAAAAGCTTTTGTTATTTAAAAGACGTACCCCACTTAGAGCCCTGTAGTACAGGACAGGCAGCATGCCTGGTGGCGAAGTCCCCTTCTCCCGACGCGTGCAAGTTGAGCCAGAACGCAGCCGCGCCCTTCACCGGGAACACGCTCAGACCCAGCTCCGTGAACACCGTGGCGCCTCCCTGAGCCACGTCCGACATCTGTGGAAAATAACATAAAAGTGCCATATAAATCATATGTCATCGAAATTATCAACAGCCTTTAGTAGTCCACTTGCTGAAAATATACTTCTTCTTAAAAAGGGAGTTTTGGCCTATTATACCTCTTTGGCGATACGGGTTTGTGTCAAGATTTCCTTCTCTTTACAGTGCTATTGTTGTAAATAGGGGCGATGACACTCCGTATTCCTATTCCTCTCCGTATTCTTAAATCACTTACACAAAAACAAGGTATGCTTTGTGTTAACTGTAGGTGAAGTGAAAATTTCTTAGGATTTATTTATTTTTTAAAGCACTTTTATTCGATTTTCTTGTAACTTTGTTTTACAACGTAGGAAGCAAATAAGTCGTGAGGTGCGTCACTCATTTAACACTCTTACTTACTCACGACAATAATTAAACTTAAATTCTTAGAACTAATCTATTCATGCGAGCTGGATGCGAGAAGCCCAAAATCGATCTAAGTGGCGTGCAATGAGAGAGGCCTATATCCAGCAGTGGACTGCGATAGGCTGATGATGATGATGAATCTATTCATGGATCGCTCGAGTATAGATTTATTTCGTTTTGACTAGAGATTAAGGTTAGTAAAGATGGTCTAATGTGATGGCTCCAAGATAACTTTCTTTTACTTTTTTTGTGTTTTTTTATTAAATCATGTTATTTATATTGTTTAAACTATTATTTATTTTGGTATATTTCTTACGTAAAACAGCACAGTGGCTATTCTATTGCCGCCGAACTTAGTGAAGGCGTTCTCTTGCTTCTGAAAACAAAAAAAAACAAATAAGAATAATTTAGTTATTTAAAGCAAAAACCTTAATAATAAAAAAAGGATTTGGAGGAATAAAAGTGTGAACATATCATATCACCTTTGTAATATGAGTAACGATTTAAAAAACTTTCGCCGGTCATAATTATATAAATAATAATTTTGAATTATGACTGTGACCATTGCCGGAGGATTCTCTTTAAAACCTTAGGCAATGTAAAGCCATATAACACCCATAACGTAATCGTGATCGTGATGACTTTATTAAACTATTAAAGTTCAGGTGTTTTAAATATATTTCATTCCATATACCTACATTTAAATACAGTTGATATTATTATTTAGTTGCACACAGTATGTATACATGTTTTATTTTAAATAAGTGAGTTTATTTGTTCACGTTTACGACTTTATTACTGAACAGAACAATATCACTTAACTTTGCATCCCATATTATTTAAGAAAATCTACGGGCAACCTATTCTATCAGATATCGCTGTCCTAGTGCTATGGGGCGACAAATAATGAATCAATCAAAAACAGTGAATAACAAGAATAAAACTTACTCTTGCGAAATCATAATGTGGCTCATAGTGCCCGCCGATCCCATAGTTGACGACTTGCAGTTCCTCAGCCGTGTCCATACTGAGACCGGTCATGTGTTTCACACGACGCGAAATGCGGGCTATGGTCTCCGACTCTGTGTCTCGTAACCAAGCTGATTTGCTTATACGGTAGTTCGCTGGAACCAGCTCGCCGGTCTTAGGATCATGGACTACAGCACGTTTGAACTGCGTGCAAAAGAAACATACAATGTACCTACTTAATAAAAATTAGTTTGTTTGCCCTTTCTTCTCACAAGGCTCAACCCCTTGGAGAGACGACGATTTCAAATAATTTTAATATAATAAAACGAAGATATTCTGACTTTGACTTTGAATAACCAATGACACAATGAGATTTGGACTGACAAAGGATTGACCAAAAAAAGTTCTATCAAGGACAAAACTGGGTGACATTTATCCAATGAATGAAATTAGTTTAAAGCATTTTTGTGCTTATTGTGTTGCCATATTTGTTATTTGAGTAATATGTCTGGACTCCTGAGTAGTAGTATTTACATTATTTTACACAATTTGTTAACTTGAGTAAAAATTCTCAAGTGAAACAAGAATACTTACTCTAGGCCTTGACATGTCTTTGATGGTTTCAATTTCAGCATCGCTCAACACATCGTGAAACAAAACCACGGCAGGGTCCAGGTACATCATCTCCACTTTAATAGGCGCTATTTTCAAAAACGGGTCGTTTTCAGTCATGTAACGACATGTCAGCCTATAAAATAATCAACAATATGGTAAATAGTTGGACGGTAGCGTAATGGCAAACGTATGGAACCAGACCCCAGACCCAGTGCAGTAACGCCTTAAACCCACTAACAACATAAACGTGTAACATGTATTTGTAAAAATTGAGAATACTATCTACTTTTAATATGCCACAAACATTTATATTAAGTTTAATAAGCATTAGTCGAACTACTGAGCTTCTAAAAGCTGTAGCTTGATGATCAGACACAAACTTTCACCTTGATAAACCTATTTTGATTAAATGAACATGACTTTATTCTATTAAATCGTTCAACAGGTGTTTATATTATCAAAATATACTTACTATGAAACTAAAAAAGGAAATTCAAAAACAGCAATATTATTTACGAAGCATGTTTTGTTCTTATTTAACTTATTTTGTTTAATTAACTCAATAGCAAATAACAATAACTAAGCATTGCGGTGGACAATTGACAGATTTATCATTCTATAGATTAAAAATTAAATGTTAACAATATTGTTACTCATTAAATAATTTTTTTTTTTTTTTTGGTGTTGTCAGTAATGTGTAAACAACGATTATAAGAAACAAACAATTAGTCGACTTGTCCTTTGGAAAATAGAAACACTTAATTTTGTCAACTTCTAATAACAATCAACCAAGGAAACGGAACTTCATACAGAACAGAGCAGTCAGTTTTTTTATTTGTTCACTGACATCCAGAAGGACAATTAATAGAAAGGAAGTGATTAAAAATATGAATTCAATTCAGCTGCTACAGAAAATCAGTCAACAATAATAAAGCACATTTACATATTCTAGAGCGTAGCACACGTCTTGGCTAATTGACCATGCAATCTTTCTATATTACAAACAGAGAATCCTCTAAAGCAATACTCGTTACCTGCTGGATATTTCAATAGGTATATCCATATCACCTCGACACAACGCCTCATAAGACTTTCTCTCTTTTTCATAACCTGTCAACTCGGCCGGTTCCACATCTCGTTGCTCGAGGCCAGTTTCCTGAAGCCAAAAATATAGTTTTATATAAGTATGTATTTTGTTTACATTGGGCTTGTGGAGCCGGTAAAAGAAGTTGTCATGTCGCTTCTTCGGCTTAAAGTGCGATCTGCTATTTCTTATTCGTAGTTGATTTTAAATAAAAATTGTTATCTTTGAAAGCTGTTAAAAGTTTGTCTGTCATAAACATATTATTTATAGATGAGCAAAGGACAAACAGACAAATTAATAATTTAATAAATGATATATACGAGTATTTGCAAATTATATATTTTCGACATTTTTTCTACCACAGGAATCAGTCGCTGAGTAAAAGATTTAACACAAAAGGAAAGCCTCCATATTCCAACTGAATCACATTCCATCGCAGTTTTTTATTATAAATAATGACAATAAAAAATCTATTAACATGCATAAATATAAATAAACTGTATTTTTGTTAAGTATTAGGAAAAACGTCTCAATTTATATTTAAATGATAATTGTTTCAAGCTCATTGTAAATCCAGTAATCAGTTGATATCTATTTTACATACATATCAGAACCAGTTTAAGATCAGTAAGAGAATTTTAATGCTATAAGTATAATAATGTGTATAGTAAAGTCTTGGAGTAAATGTTAGTAAAACCGAGAAAAAAATGTACAAACGTACCCCTCTGCGTGCCTTCCTAAGTTTAGTCTCTTCTTCGGTAATACTCTTTTGGTAATGTGGTATGTTACCCACAGCTCGAGAGTGTTTTGGATCTACCTTTAAAAGTTTTTGCGTCCATTCTAGTGCACTCTTTGTATCACCTGCAAATGTTAATTTTATTCTTATACTTAGCGACAATCATTTTACTAAAAAAAAGTCTTAATTTTACTGAAAATTCAAGACTAGTTCTAATACTAAACATCTATGGTTAAAATGTATTATAATTAACGTTTGATCACTTTTTATTGTCTTGTAATTGTCCCTTTACTAAACAAAAATAATCTTCACCGAACTTGTGTGAAACAATAATTAATTGCAAGCGCTGTGGCGATTGTAGATATATGCGTACTAAACTGCATTCAAGGGCATTGAAATATGAGACAAAAATTCGTGCCATCAGCAAATGAGTCTCGAGTTCAAGTAACCTTACACATCTCCATCTCATCATCGTCCCATCTAAAACTAGGCAGAGCCTGTACTATACTATACCATAGTAGACTAGACAGCTGATAAACATATTATAATATATTTATAAATATGTAAATTAGACATTTATTTTATTTACGACAGTGTTCAATATAATTTATAATAAGGATAGACTTACCTAACAGGTAATATGTAAAGCTAATATACTCTAGTATATCAACATCAGTAAACGGATAAGGTTGTTTTTCTTCCTCATATTTTCGGAGAGCCTCAAACATCCATGTGCGTGCGTTCACGAAATCTGATTCTTTGTATAGCACTCGACCTAACTCGTAGCAGTCGCTTGCTGTCATTGGTGTACTAGAATAAAAACAACCAATATATACATTAAATTCATAAAAACTATATATGTATATTAATACGTGAAAAGAATTCTTTGCACCCATTTTCAAGAGAATTTCGCGAACGCGCGTATTTCGAAATGGGAACACTTAAATTTGAAATCAGAAGAAGTACAGAAAGGTAAGTATTTTTTAACAAAATGTGCCAAAAATTTGAAAATTATGTAGAAACGGATTTTTCAAGCTTCGCGCGTTCAGCATAAGTGTTGACGGTCGTGTACACGAGTCTATACAATAACAGTTGAAGTTATACTGTTTAATAAAATAAACAAACAAATTAAAACTTTATCAATTATGGTTAATATTTTACCACTAGACGATTTCAAGTAAATCCCAAAAGGTATTTGTAGAGAAGGAACAATGGACCGAGGTCATAGTTTTTGCACAGAATGCTCTCCATGGGCTGTAGTAACACATTTTTTAACAAATAATAGCTGCAGTAGGTACATATAGGTAAATGCGGCGAAATCGATAACTAAGCAAAAAAATTGATCTAAGTTTGGAAGAAAGAGGGATTCTAGAAACTTCTTGATAACCTATACTCATAAGTAATAATATTGTAATCTAAGTATTTTTATTTTATTTTAAAGGAGTTATTGGCCATTTGATGCGACGCGTCTGGTGACGGATTAAGAATGTCATCAACCCTATTCATCCCGTAGGGGTCGTAAGAGCCGACTAAGGGAACAAACTACGCAGGAGAACAGCACTGCAAAGAGAAGGGAAACCGGACACAGACCCTATACCAAACCGTTGCTTTTCACTCAGTGAGTGAAGTTATCGGAGACTAAACCGGGAGGGGGTTTCCGGGGGTGAGGCTCTAAGGGTGCCAACCCACTTGTGACTCTTGAGTAACCGTCCGTAGGTGTCCTGGGCGGCGGCTGTTACTTATCATCAGGTGACGCGTCTGCTCGTTTGCTTCCCTATGCCATAACAAAAAAACGGTCAAACACAATCGTCACCAGTGTTGCCACACCTATGATCAATGTTAACTAAATATTATTATAGGCAAAGGTGAGTTTGTTTGCTTGTTACGTTCACGCCTTAACTACTCAACCTAACGTCTTTAAACACATGGGTACAGAAAAGCTACCTGTTAATATTTACAGTGTTCAACATCAAATTTTAAAATGGTATACACCACAACCTAAACTGTTTAAATATATAGAAACTAACAATAAAAAAAAAGTGTCCTGAATTACGTAATCTGTTACTACCTACTACTAAACTACTCTGTTACTAAACTACTTCAGATTTAATTTACGTAATACAACGCCTAAGCTTATATTTCTTAACGGTTTAAGTGTATAAGTATGCTGAATTCAAGAATCGTGTTCTTTCAAAACGTGAATTTTTAGTCACATAACAACGTTCAGAAGTCACAGGATTTTATTTATTTTACACTTTGAAAGTTGTTTTTATTTACTTTATTTTATCTTTAAATGCACAAATGTATTATAGCAAAAGTGGATTTAATGCCGTAGGCCAGAGCCAAACATGGTAGATAAACAGAAATTGAAAATGTAATTTCTTTAAAAAAAGCACGTAGAATACCATATACTTAGAATACTTCTATAAATTACATTAGAATATTTTTGAATGATGAATGCATTTACAATAAGTAATAATTATAGCCACACATAATATATAAGTATTTATATACATTTGTACATATATATTATATAAATGCACATAAGACATAATTCTAGAAGGAGTATAACATTAAAGTGGATCTGATAAGGTGTTCCGCAACGGGTATTTTAAGGGTTTGCCGAGAATTTGCCACCTTGATCTCAAGAGGGATCGCGCTTCATAACACGACAGATTGTACCAAAACAGTAGAATATACATCACCATAGTCCATTGTAGGGAATATTAGAGTCTGAACAAGCATTGCTGTAGTTTTCAATGGAAGAAAGTTCTTAAGCCCATAGCCTTTGACTTTCTGGCACACAAATGCAAGTTGTTTTCGCCAGCTAAGAGTTGTATCAATATTTAGTTTTTATTGTTTGCTAAATCCCTCCTAAAATCGATATAGTGGCTGAATAAGCAATATTATCGGTAGTAGATATTTCAAAGATTATGATAGGCGAAGAAAAAGAAATGCCTATTCAACTACATCTTGAGTCCACTGGAGCGATTTTTTAACTTAGCTAACATTTAGGAGGCAAGATTGTCATGTAATGATTTCAAAAAGCACACTGTGCAAACCAAACCTAGCGTTCTCTTTTAAGTCTCATAATTAAAAGTGAATCCAAAGTTTTCTCATTATTTTCATAAATTATTTATTTGAAAATATAAACGACTCTTTATTATGACGTAATGCATGTGTGCTGCACTGTAGGTACCTTTTGTATTATCTTTTTAGTAGTGTTTTGTAGCTAAGCAAAGATTTAATCGCAAATTTTGATCATTCGTGATCGTGACATTAAAATGGTTCACTGTATACAATAAGATAAGAAATGAATAACACATAACATACTTTTTAAACAACCCATTAAATGAACAATTAACATTAGACACGATTTCATCTGTAGATAACTTAGTCACAAAATAGTATAGTACCTATACATAAATTATGGACATAACATTTAAGTATCTTTTTACAACGAGTTACTTACGATTATATTAATACCAGTTCTAACAATGTAATACATGTTTGGGCACATATTTATATTCATCACTACTTCATCACTAATTACATATACAGAGATCAAAACTGTTTTAACTTTATTAACGGTTAGTTTTGGTTACTTCTGATGATCTTTTTCCAGTAGCTACATGAAGTGCGGAACGAAAGAAGATTATTTCTTACATATTAAGCACTTAAGCACATATTCACAGCTTCATACAGAGTTCTGATACACCAGTTTGTCTAATTAAACCAATTGATAGAATAGCATGGATTCGTTCACAGCTGCGAGATAGCTGTTCGAACGTTTCTGATAAAAAGACAATCTAAGGTCCTTATAATAGGGGAGTATAATCAGGATCTAAGAAATCTAAGAAATTATCGTTTCGTATGAAAGCTGCGAACCTGATTGGTCAGGGTGCGGGACTTGATCGATGCGTCACTATTTTCTTAAGGCGAAAAGACAATACGTACTTCATATGTTACATACCTATAAACAACGCCATTTAATTTGCCTTCAGCAAGCTCTTTAATATCCAAGTGATAAGTTTCCTGCAACCTAGTGAGTGCTTGTGCAGCGCCTGTTAGATCCTCCAGCGCTGGGTATTTGACATCCGGGTGGTTCATTGTTACATTCTTTATAAATTCTGAAAATTAAGGTACGATGAGTAATCTACAATAGTACATGAACGTCTAGGATTATATGTTAAAGGGCGCTTCTGCATGTAAAATATATGCAACAACATTGTCAATCAACACTTAAATAGTTTAATTCTTCTTTCTAGTACGGTATGTACATAAAAAAAATGCAGCATAAAAAGCAAAACCTACTTATGCCTACAGCATTACATCTGCCATAGGCAATGTATTTGTAGGTAGTATAAAATAAATAAAAATGTAGATATCTTTCAAACAACCCTGAACATTTGAATACAGCTTTTTGTCACGTAATGTATACCAATGACATATTATAATAGCTTTTATATACCATTATGTTTTGCAAAATTATTTTAAAGCCAGTAATGCTTAAATAAGTATTAACATAAAGAGTTACAGATTATAAAAGCAAATAACTATTTGTGAACATATATTTTAATATGCATGCTTTATTAATGTGCCTTTATAATATAATAAGAATATAATTAGCGCAAGAAACAAGCGATGAACTTAAAATCTTTAAGTTTAATTACTGTAAGTATGTACCTCTCAAATTTCCCACAAACGCCATACCGTTATTGTTTTTTTATAATAAAACCATTCTAAGACAAAGAGTGTGTATTATGTGTCTTTAGGGTTCGGTTCCGCAAATTAAAAAAGGAACCATAATAAAACACTTGTCTATCAGTCATTTCTTGTATATTTGTCTGTATGTCTGTCCATGCATCGAACTATTAAGTTGTAATACCTAATAATAAATAATAAAATCGAACCTACGGTCCCTAGAAGATATAAAAAAACAAAATTCTAATTCAATGCAATTGAAAGAAAAATATTTAATTTTAACCAATTTTAATATTTTCGAAAATCTAACAAATTAAAATGGGTTAATGAAATTTGGCTCTCCAGCAGCAGGTCTCACAGTATATGCAAAGGAAAATCTTAGAAAGTCATTAATTTGTTGTTATATCACATGACAAAAAATCAATATATCGATGTAACAAGTTAGTCATTATAAAATAAAAAAAAACAACTGTCCTGTCCAAAAAACAAAAGACATCCTCTTTTGTTTTTTTCTATATTTATTTTAAATTCAGTATCACTCTGAGCAGGGTGATGTAAAGTTCTAACAACATTTAGATGTCAGGCAGTTCCACAATTAAGAAATTAAGGCGGATTAAACACGTTCTTCCTTTTTTTTAATGGTAGGTCTAGAAAGGCAAACGAGCAGATGGGTCACCTAATGGTAGTTACCACCTTCCATGTACGCCTGTAATAAGAGGGAGAAAAGGTTTGGCGTCTTCTAGTGACCTAGTGGATTTCTTAACACTGGTTTTCTATGACGCCGTGGTATTACTCCGATCAAGCCGGCCCACTTGTGCAGAAACATGGTTCTCCCACGGTATTTTTTAAGCTCCATTCCAGAAACACTACTTACTACTCCTAAATAGTTAATATTAAACATAACAGTCAGTATTTTCATTTGTTTATTAACTGAAAATAGAAAAAAGTTCTTACCTGTTCCTATTTTAATACTATCTTCTATATTATCTAGATCTGTCGTCAGTCTTTTGATAAGGGTAAAAGCATTGATGGGATTACCCAAATAGTTGGGAATATCTTTCATCGCCCTTTCATGTTCTCGTTTATAGAGATTTAAATGCCTGAAAATGGTTAATATTTTCTTAAAATTTTATTTTATTTTAAACTAGTGTAGTTTTTGTAGACATAATCCTTAATTAGTATTACCTCTTAAGGGTAGTCAATCGTTTCTCTTCATTGTCAATATAAAAATCTAGGTCGTCTATTATCCTCTTGTGTGTTTCCAGTAAATATTCAACTTCAGCTATTGCCGTGAATAGTTCTGCGTCGGTTTTTACGAAAATATTGAAAAGTAGCACAGCACAAACTGCATGCAACACGTTTAAATTAGGAACCATTTTCTCGAATTAGCCAACCTATAAAGAAAGAAACAATTAAAATGTTACATAATGTCGTCACATCCTTAATAATCATGAGAAATATTCTTGAGGAAGATTTTAGAGGTCTTAAATTTTCTTGGATTTTATTACGTTCATTATAAATGATTATAATACGGAAATATATTTTATATAATATTAATGACCTACAACACTGATACAGTGTTCACATAAACCCCATAATTATGAAAATTTTATAAGCTCAATAACATTAAATAAATTTCAATATTATCTATTATTAATGTTGCAATACATATTAATTTAGAATACTTTTTACGTGTGTATTTAACAAAATACGTAAATAGGTATGTTGTCATTAATTCGGGGACGCAGGAGCCAGGAGAATGTGGTGTTTCCACTAAAAACCAACCCGAAAGCCGGTCTAAGGCGCCCTGCTCTGGGGAGGACCCGGACCATGTTATTTCAGGTCCCCCAAGATCGACGCAGCGCCTAGCCTGGTCCTACCCGAGGAAAGAATGCTGAAAGATGCTACGTTGTTTCTGTACATCTGAGAACGTTTACCTATATACTTTTTGATAAATTCTATTGTTTTAAAATTTGTATTTATAATTTAAGTTTATGTAAAATTTAACGTTGCTCTCCTATTGTTATAATATTGTATACTAACATACGGTGCAACTCCTGTTAAGATTGGTCCCAAGTGTAGGTATACTAGAGCCGAGGAAGTACTTAGAAAGGCAATGGTTTGGGTAATTTATTAAACCTTAATTTGAAGTAAACAACCTACCTAACTTTTAGTTCAATGGTTACCATACAACCATCCTTGAAATGTTTTACCTTTAGAGCTCAGAATAACAATTGTGACGTTAATGGCTCACCATCCTATTGTAGCTGCCCCACAATAAGGAGATCTAATACCATAAAATATCCCGGGGTCTGGGGGAGTTAAAAAACGCTTTTTTGGTACTTATATTTACAATAGAGTATATTACTGTAAATCTGCCATATTTTCATGTAAAACATTTTGAAGTTGGTTTCATTTTATTTTTAAGTTTATAAGAAGGCGATTTAACGTTTTATACAAACGTCTCAGTGGCTCAAATATTAAAGTCTAAGTTAAAAATAGCAGACTAAACAAAATGGAAGCAGTCATATTATCCGCTAGGTAAGTAAGTATAGTAGTAAGTAAGGTAAGTTTTGCTACAAGTTTTAACCACGGGTTTTAACACCACGAAGACTATGAATGACGGATAACCCGTTTACCGTGTACCTTGTACGTACAGAAAACCAATTCTCGTAATGAAAGTTCGGTAAAAATTGAGTGCCGATCTACTGTCGATCTCACAAAAAATGACATGAAAGTTATTTTCTTTTTTCACTGTACCTGTAACAAACGTGTAACAAACTTTTCTTTACTGTGCGTGTGCCTAATTGCTAAATGAAATGCCTGACAGTTAAATAGATACGTAGATTCTACATGCGTGGGATTACCCATGAGCTTAGGTCTGTGAATTTAGATAAAACCAGTTATTCTTTTACATTAAATATACCCATTTATATTCTATCTGCGGTCGTATACATGTGAATCACTACATTTATAGCATAAATTATCGCTCGAGCTCGTAAAATATTATTAAGTTAAGACTTCAAATATAAAAACAATTTTGAAACGAATTCTAATAAGCAGGTGAGATTATCGAGAAATTTATTATCATTAATCAGGTAATCGATTTATCATAGACAATTCCGGTTAAGGAAATACGTTTTCGTCTTTACGCGATATTATAAAAGCACTTGTAATATAGTAGGTAAGTGAAATCAGAGACTTAGGAGGAATTAAAGCACACCCTACAGTATGGTTAGGGGCAAGATGCGCCCTTGGGCCCCGCCGCTCACCCAGTGTCTTCAGCCAGAGCTGCTTGAGGGGGTCGTCGGCTCTCTGTTCCCATCGCGAGTGGTTGAGCATACTCTACCACGGACGGCTCCGCCTCCGGCGCTTGAGGCGCCTAATGACGACGATGTGCCTGAGGTCACTTGCGCAAAACTAAGGGTGGCGGTGCTACGGCTTAAAGCTAAAAACACCGCCCCGGAACCCAATAGCTTCCCAGGCCGATCGTGGATCCTGGCCTTAGATGACGAGGCTCTCGAGCCCCGACTGCGAGGGTTCTTCAGCGCATGCCTCGAGCAGGGCCAGTTTCCGAAATTGTAGAAGACGGGTAAACTGGTCCTCAACCGAAAGGAGGGGCGCGATGCGGACTCACCATCCGCAAGAGTGATTGCAAGGCGCCTCGTCAAGCATCTGGTCATAGTGGGGCCAGATCTGGCGCACAACCAGTACGGTCTCCGTCAGGGGCGCTCCACCGTAGATGCGATCATGCGCGTGAGGGCTCTGGCGGAGGAAGCAGTTTCCTGGGGCGAACTGGTGTTGGCGGTGTCCTTGGACATCGGTGTCATCGGACTCGGTTTTAGTCGGTTCGAGTCCGACATTGCCACCAATCGGCAATTAATTAAAAGGTAAGTGGCATCCGAAGGGATTTCCGCACAGAAAAAAAGGAGGAATTAAAGCCGACACCCTTCTATTACCTAGCGTTTCATAAGCAGGTGAGATTATCGAGAAATTAATTATCATTAATCAGGTAATCGATTTATCATAGACCATCCCCGTTAAGGAAATACGTTTTCGTCTTTAAGCAATATTTTAAAAGCACTTGTAGTTTAACTGCAATCAGAGACTTAGGAGGAATTAAAGCCGATACCTACCCCTTTATTACCTGGCGTTTTAGTAAAGGCCACATAATCAATTTTAATTATGGGTTTTATACGGCACCTACTAGTTAATGTGTAAAGTAATAAAACAGCAATTCGGTCACGCTGCGCACGGAAAATTAAAAAAAATCAAAAGGTTACGGTATAACATCTTAAATATTTAAAGTTTAAATTACGCGATAGCAGTGTAGGCATTAAATGTTCCTAGTAAGTTAGTGACAAAAATGTGACTCAACGCCGGCAATAGCGTTTAAAATCCTTAAGTTATTTACCTTGTAGAATTTTGTTAATATTTGAACAGCTACGTGTAAACACACTAATAATAATAATTAAGTAGCAGTGGTTTTGTAAATCAGTAACTGGTGATATTAAGTATTTGTAAATAATATGATTTAACACTAGTGGTTGTGATTTTATTACATCCCTAGGAAGATGCCGTGCGTGTATATATTTTAAAGGAAGACGTTGTAAGGTGTAGAGAAAAAAATACATATCACGAAGAAAACTATTTTAATTTCTGGATCCATCAAACACCACAAAAATATTTTAAAGAAATCAACTCATACTAATATGAGGTTCGGCCAATGACTGCTTACGGTATAAAATATAATTTAAGTATAGTGATCATAAAGAAATTAACAAAACTAAAACCTTGAATTGAAAGTTTCCATGTTTTGGTTTATGGAGATTTTGAGAATCATGGCGAGCCGACACACTCATTCGATACGGGTAAAGTTATAATAGTATATTTTGTAGTGACCTGACATAATTAACTTATAGATTCAGCGCTTATTATGATCACAACTAAACGTGCCTTTTCCTTTGTGTACTACATCACATCAACAGCCTTTAATAGTCCACTGCTGGACATAGGCCTCTTCTTAGAAAGGAGGTTTGTGTACTACATGGATCATTCTAACCATATTTTGATGATAAACATTTATGCGCATAAAACATTTGCACTGAGTCAAATCGATTCTGACACCTCACCACAAAATCTTTAAAGTTTATACTAGATGCGGCAAAGGACATCATCCACGCTCCATACAAAAAGTACCCAAAAAAAAGTGCCGGCCAACGAAAAAAATGGTGATTTTTTTTTTTCTTTAGACGGCTAAGAGCTAAGACCGACTACTTATGAGTTATATGACAATAAAAAAATGCATTTATACGAGTTCGTTTGAACAATTTTTACTTCATTACTATAGCAAAAATCAAATAATGATGATAAAGAATAACTTAATCTCGGTTAATAATAATATAATATGACAAAAAGCCTAATTATATACAATCATCATTAGGTACCTAAGTACCTACGTAGGTATTTATGTGTAGGTATAGGTATAATGTTATAAAATATATGTAAAGAAATAGACTTCATTTCGTTACCTACGTGGCTTTATTCATATGTCATGATATAATTACGATTACATTTTCTAAACCTAATGCAGGTGGATTTATGGGAGGTTGTTGGTGCCTCGCGAACGTCATGTACCACACTATGCACATAGTGTGGGAACAGCAGCCCACCGTTCTTTTGCCAACATTGCATGAGCAATAATAATACTGTATGGCATCACGGCCACTCAATGATGTGTCGATGCCAATGTAAACATAATATACTTTGGCCCGAACATGCCGAGATTGTACTCTTCCTCTTATAATTATTATGTTTTCTCCCAATTCTCTGACGTGTTCTATTAAAAGTCTGTCGCCAAGCTCGACCGTAAAAACACCATTTGGATTGATGTGCTCGCCGTAATAGCTTTTAGCTTGTTTTATTTGATAAATACCATAACTAAATAATATTAAATCCTCTTCTGAGAGCCTTGGAAAATCATCGAACTCGGGCATATTGGCGGACATCGGCTGAAATTGTGCTCGTCTTCTATTATAATTATGCCTTACAACTATATCAGCCAGCGTGTTAGGGATTGACATTCTATGGTTTATTATGGCCAAAAAGGATTGGGCATGAATATTGTCATTTATTAGTATATGGTATGCATTAATTATAGCAGCCGCTATCTTAAAACAGTCAAACATGTGAGGAAGAGTTCGATTTATATTGACATGTCTCAAAAATCTAAAATCCCGTTTGAAACGCCAATTAACTAACTCCACAACCCACCGACAAATAGTTACAAGGCGAGTTTTATTTGCTTGCATCGTTGTCAGCTGGGTTTCATTTCGGAACTTGGCTTCAGGCATATGTGCAGAATATCCCAGTGACT